AAAAAATAAAAAATAGATAGGTAGGTAGATGAATAATAGATAGATAGATAGATAGATAGATAGATAGATAGATAGATAGATAGATAGATAGATAGATAGATTTTGTATCTATATGTCTCTTCTCAATAAATCTTTAATTTGTTCTGGTTCTATGGTTTCTCTGCTCTACTCTGGTCCTATGGTATCAGCTCTGCTCATATAAAAATTTTTCAGGCTCCACCAGAACATGCATGGAAGCATACACTTACATTTCCAATTGTTGCAGCATCTCAATTATCATGTGATAAAAATTCAGATGCTTGGCAATTGACTCATATTTGTGACAGCTTCAGTGTCCTGGGGTCATGTGATCATCTTCTGCAACCTACTGACAAGCAAAGTCAATGGGAAGATTCACTTAACAACCGTGTTACTAACTTAACAACTGCAATGATTCATTTAACTGTGATAAGAAAGTTCGTAAAATGGGGCAAACCCACTTAACAATTGTGTCACTTAGCAACAGAAATTTTGAACTCAATTGTTGTAAGTCAAGGACTACCTGTATAGAGTCACAGTCTACAGTCCTTGGCCACAGATGACATTCAGATTCAACTTTTGATGTTTTCTAAAACTGCAAAGAGTCTGGGAATAGTTCAAAAAAGCTTCCTGCATCTGGTCATAACTTAAAAGAAAAACCAATAGTCCATATGCTTGATGTGTTGAAAGTCTTATACTGGCCATTTGTCTTTTGTCACTGTAGTACACAAGTGCAAAGACAGAGATGATTAAGTTGGATTCAATTTGTACATGTGAATTAAAGGTGAGGTGATTAATTGCACAGAGGTCTTAGTGTGCGGCTCATTACTCAAATAGGAAACACCCAGGAAGAAATTTATGCTTGAATAATAATAAAGGGGGGATTGACACAGTCATCACATAAAATATATTTTGCCAGCTATTGAAAACCACAATAAAACAGAATCTTTGGGGGGGGGGAACCCTCAGAAAAATAACTGCATGTACATTGAGGTTGCTTCCCAGACAATACTGTACATTTCCGAAGAAAAACTACTTCCTGAGGTTTAAAAATGAGGACTCTACATTCTGTGGAATGTAGACATGCATCATGTCTAAAAGATGAGGGGGGTAATGGAGGAGGAAGAGATCAAATGTAATATTTTCTTTCAGCACAGACAACTGCTTTGAGATTTTCTACCCAGACAGCCTTGAAAACTGCCTGCAGCCTTTGCCAATTACTACTGACAAATACCACTTGGTCCTGAGTGATGTTTTAAGTGAAATAAAACAGTGAGGAAAACTGAACATGATGAAAGGAGTTCTTCTCTTCTCTTCCATTTTTTCTTTCTAAGAGGCGACTACAAGTTATATATTCACAAGGTAAGATATATGCTTCCTGTCCATGACAAATTCCATGTGAAGTTGAGAGCTGAAGCAAACTTTGTTTGACAGTAAGAGGAAGGGAAGACAAAACTCATTTTCATGACTTCTAAAACATTTTTTAATGTTAAACAAAGGAAAAGAAGGTATTATAGGGCCCTGCTCAGCATCATTCTTCACAGTATCAGTAAGCTAATGGAGAAAAATGATTCCTTCCCCTGTATGCATACAAGGTCCTTTCAACTCTTGACACTCTAGCCAAAATGCACTGTTCAGCATTACAAAATGCTTTTAGTACAATAAAATAGTTAGCATTAAAAGAAAATTCATTTTGCGATTATCTTAAATGAAGATACATACTGTGTGTGTGTGTGTGTTTGTAAGTATGTATAATCATATAGTATAAGTATTACTAAACAAAGTGTACACTGTATTCTTGTCACCAACAATTCATTTGTTTCCTTAATTAAAACAAAGAATTAAACTTTAATTGTTCTACAAATGCCTTTTTTATCCAGATAAATGTCAGAGCAATTTCAAAATTGTGGACTACATTTCCCACAATACCTTGTCATTTAGCAACACTGCCTAGGGATCGATTGACACTGATGTTCAAAACATCTGCAGGGCATCAAGTTACCAACCTGATAATCTCTATAATTTCTCCACATTTATACAAAACATGTTCAAAAAAAAAAATAGGCAGGAACAAAAGAGTTGGCTAGACTAGAAGAAACAATTTTATATACTTCTCTTTTTTTCTTCTTCACAGAATGTGAAACAATACAAGTACGCCGTGACATACAATTGTAATGGAGCCAGTCCATTATGGTTACATATCACAATGGCCATTAAGTGAGATGGCCTAGTTTAAGGATCCCCAACTCATTCTCCTTTATACCAGTAAGTGGAACATGGGGTGCCTCAGAGGTGGGAGGAGCCCCAGGAGACTTACGGTAGATTTAGAATAACTTTATTATCACTTTGATAATATCGACATACACTAATCGACATACATTAAAATGAAATTTCTTTGCATACAGGGTCTCAAAGGGTCACAGTGTAGGTCCAGATCTGCCTCCCTCATCTCCCTGGGACATCACTTGCTCTGCTTCCCACCCCTTGGATTGCTGCATGCCTTTTTCCCCCATCCAGGACCCCAGAGATATTTCTCCTCCAAATGGGGTAAAATGCTACCAGTTCGCACTGGTTTGGGTGAACAGGTATTAATAAAAGCTACCGGTTCAGGCAAACCAGTAGTAAAAAAATGCTACCAGTTCATCCTAACCGGTATTTCCAACGATCAGCTGTGCCGCATAATTTATATTCACTAGAAAGCAGGAAATCCTGCTTTCTAGCTAATCTAAATCACGCAGCACAGCTGTTCTTCCCCCACCTCACTGTTCTACTTACCTTCTTAAGCCTTTTTCCACACAAAGCATGTTTGGTGCGCACTGTGCATGTGCGTGCAGCGTGCATGTGCGTGCAGCGTGCATGTGCATGCAGCATGCATTTGGTGCGCACCACGCATGCGCAGGCACCAAACCAGTGGCAAACAGCAGAGAATTTCACCACTAGTCCTGACAGGCCTTGCCTCCCAAAGTCCCTTCCCACTACTCGAGGCCCGACACGTCCTCATTTACCTAGTGAAGATCTCCGGACGTCAGTTTGTCCGGCAGCCACATGGCTGATTCCAGAAGCAGATGCCATTTTCCCAGCACCCACAATTCAATGCAGGTAAATGCAGATATCTTGTAAACTATATGGTGAGTTTTCATAGGAAAGCTGGTATCCAGTTAGATGCACAAGATGATAGTGAAATATATTTCAATATATGAAATATTCAATAGTGAAATACTGGTTTTCAAATTGTGATTCTGGGAAACACAATATTCTTCAAAATATAGAAACTAAGTAATCACTATGATAAACGAGCTTTGAGCATTTGAATTAGCTTGCATATCAGCTTCATTTTCCTGAAAATGTAGCTACTGCTTGAATTTGAGACATTTTCCTTAATTTACAAAGCCTTAGCTGTATGAGCTCAGAGTACTTCCATACAATCTACAGTCACATGACTTCTAAGTAAAATTAAATATTATCTGGAATGAAAATCTCTTAGTGATTTTTGAACACTACAAAATTCATTAACTATTCTTGAGTTGCAGAAAATGATGGGAAAAAGGTGATTTTAAAGATAGCAAACATATATATATATATAGGCATTAATTTTACTATTGTAGAAAAATTGCAGTACACATGCACCCCCTAGTGTACATTTTGAAAACATTTATGGGAAAATAATTCCCACATATTTTTTACTAATTTACGTTTGCACTAATATTAGCTCACAGCATAAACAAACTTAAATCAAATACTTTATCTTTTTTAAAAAATTGAATTTTCCTGATCTGAGAAACAAATCCCATTTTATTTATAATAGAAAGCCCTTTTCTTTATTAACATATGTAGGTATATTATTAAAACCTGTAGTTTGGAGCCTGGATTCTACATTTCCTTTGCCTCCTTAACTTGGAGAAGCTTTAATTAGTTTTGTTTTCATATTAATTAATGTTATTAATACAGATGCATATGCAAAATATCAGAACAGATGTCACAGCTGAGAGAATATCTTGCTCAATATAAGAAGAATGCCTGATATGTTATATTCATAATGTAATTTCTTCACAAAGCCAATTATTGTGTTTTAAAAGCCGTAGGCTATGATGGTATTATGATCTGGCCTACTTTAGCAAACTATGTTTAAACCATGTCTTAACTTATATGTCAATATGAGCCTAAAAAATATAAAATATATGAATCAAAAATATTTCATATTTATAGTCTGCTCTTTTGTGGATGTAATTTGTATCCCACTCCATGCCAGAGGTAACTCCAAATATGCCAATACCTCAGTTGTCTAGAGCTGGAAGAATCCTTAGATTCTCTATTCCAGCCCCATTATATCCCCAATAAATACAATATCTACAACAATAAATTCAGATTATGAAAAACCATCATCCCATAGCTTAGGTTCAATCAGTAGGTAGACAGTAAAGGGTAGATTTCTGTCAACAGGAAAATAATAATTCCATGATCAGTAGAAACTGGAAATCATGAATTCTATCCTTCCTTAATCAGCTAGGTCACTCTCTGAGCCCTATGAAGGCAATGCCAAAGCACTTCTAAAAATCTTATTTTAAAAACCCTACTCTTGTTCATGTAGTCACCAGAATCAAAGCTTACTCGAAAGTATAAATACACATGTGCACACCCACATATTGCCTGGAATGATTTACCATCATACAATTTTTTTTTGTTTGGGCTAAACCTTTCATTTCTCCTGCCCTCCCCACCCCCCACAATCACCCATAAACTCAGATTCTTTTCAGTGTATAAAAACATTTAAGTCAGTATCTATAGTTAAAGCTTTTGCTTTTCAAACTATCTGTGATTCTCTTGACTATATACCACAGCAATATTACAAATTTTTGTGTTCTTTATGGAAATGTGAAAGTGTTTTAGAGGAAGTAGCCTGTAACCTGTTTATAATCCTTGTGACAACTTAAACTTAAGTTAGTTTGCAGTTCAACAAGCTAGACAAGTTTTACTTTGCCATGTTAAGTTTTTCTTATATCCTTCTTTATTATCTTCATCTATATTTACAAATGCTGCATAATGGGAATTATTTCATATACTCTTATGAAAATGCCAATTTCTTCTACACAGCTTCATATTTCTAAGGAAAAATTCACTTCCAAAAACACCAAATCACTGACCACATCACTTACAGATCTTTCCCCCTAGTGAGTGTCATCTTTTGATATTTCATTCATAATGCACTTAAAAGCTTTAATTAACTAAGTTTGAAAGTTGATACTATCTTATCTTTTCCTGAATGGACAGGTCTAAAAGCACTAACCCATGATGAATGATTACCCTATTTTATAGCTGAAAGAGGGAAACTAAAAACCATTCTAATGATAGCTGTAAAATGATATCAAGGAACTTCTGAGATCACCCATATTCTCTTTTCATGAGCACTGTAGCCATAAGAGCTAAACCACAAAGACACACAAAATAATTTCTACTGTCATAACATGTACAATACATATATTCATTGTTCTATACTGTTCTATACAATGTATTTTTTACAATTTGTTTAGTACATTATTTAAAATTAGCATCATTCCAAAAGATATTCTTTGCACCTTTTAAAAAAGTTGTAAGCAAATTCTAAATCACATAAAAAATGTTTAGCTTTGCCATATACAAAACACTGCTCTCTAATCTGTCTGATGTATATAGTAAAATGACTGACAATTTCTGTAGAAAAACTTAAAACAGCTATTTGTTAGGTTTCAGAAAGGAGGTAAAATCAGGCTATTTTTTACAGTGGCATTAAACACAGTTGTGAATGATCTTCTCCAGTAGTTAAAATGCAAACTGTACATCTGAACTTAATGATGATATTAACGAATTCAAAATTTATAAAATGGGTGGGCTAGGTGAGAAGAAAACAAGTAATGTTCAAATATACAAGGAGTGAAGATGAAGCAGTCTTAGAATTCAAGAAAACCAGAAATACATGAATGGGTCTTCTAGCCACAAACTGCAAAACAGATATGTGTGATTTGCCAGTTCTAAAGTGTTTGTAGACATAAGCTATTTTTGATGGTTACATTTACTAGTATTTTTCAAGAACCAAATTTCAGAAATTCTGAACAAACTTCAGAAAGTTCACACAATTATTTCTCTAGTGCACATCTCTCAAGAAGTTCAGCTTATCTACTCCAGCTCAACATATGTGTCAAAGGGACAGCCAGAATCTAAATCCATCAGCAGCCTAAAAGAAGTTAAAATTCAAATGACTTTCATTAATAATTAATAAGTAAACAAGCAGAGATTTTAAAAATATCGTGTTTCAGAGGGGAAGCAACTTCCATCCTTTTCCATCAGCCTTTCATATGCCATCATTGCTGAAGAAATTCTAGCTCATGAAAACTAAATTAATTTCTTTGAAGAAGGGTTTTTTAAACTGTGATCCTAGAACTTTTGGGAGTATCCCAAGAACCTCACAGAGGCCCACAAAATCAATTTGCCAGCCTATTCTGAAAAAAAATATTAAAATCCCGTTGAATAATTGTGAGAATAGGTAGCATTAGCAAATGCATCAATTTTAATTTTTAATATGCTAAACATTGGTAAATATAGTCAATGCAAACAAAAACTTTTTTGAGGACCTCTATATGTTTTAAAATTGGGAAGGTTAAGAAACATTGCTGTTAATCAGAGGTGTCACTCATGTCATTACAACAGCGTCATATGGCATATCAGGACCTTTTTCCTTCACTAAACTGGGCGTGGGTCTGGCCAGCATGTGACGCATCCAGCCCATGGGCCGGGAGTTTGACAGCTCTGCTCTAAATTATCACTTAAACTACATATCCTTATGGCCTCATTATCTCCGCTTTTAAAATATTTTGGTCCAACATTTTCTTTCTGGTGAATAGAATAGAATAGAATAGAATAGAATAGAATAGAATAGAATAGAATAGAATAGTTTATTGGCCAAGTGTGATTGGACACACAAGGAATTTGTCTTGGTGCATATGCTGTCAGTGTACATAAAAAGAAAAAGATACATTCATCAAGAATAAGGTACAACACTTAAAGATAGTCATAGGGTACAAATAAGCAATCAAATTATGTTAGAAACAGTCAATATAAATTGTAAGGATACCAGCAACAAGGTTACAGTCATACAGTCATAAGTGGGAGGAGATGGTAATAGGAATGCTGACAAGATGACAAAATGCAGTCTTAATTAAAGGATTTTAAAGATCTATGTATTCTTGGTTTGTTTATTTTTTCTGTTTATATTTTACAAAGTGTTCACGCTGAATATTAAATTGTTTTGTTGTTGCAGAAACTAGTACAATTTTGTTTTAGAAAATTAAATGGTTGTGGAGGGTAAATGCTGAAGAATCTCATATGAAAGCTGCAGGATTCTTAGATTTTCTGTATGTAATGCTTCCACCAAAGTCAGTTGATTCACAAGATGTTCATAACAATTTTTTAAATCTGAAACCTGGAAAGAGAAACAAAATTATACTTTAAAACTCTCTGGTTATTAAAATACATTTACTCATAAATGTACATTTAATATTTTAAAAATATTTATATAATACAGTAATTGTTCAGAACACACAATAAGTATAGGATGGCAGATTCTACTTGATGTTAGAGAAAATTGTCCAATAGTATGTGCTGTTTGTTTGTAGAACTAATTTCCTAAAGAAGTACTGGTATTACTTTTTCTAGATTCAAGTGAGGGCTGAAAGTTCTTTATCACATACATTTTTATTTGGATTACTATAATAGAAAAAGGTTGGACTCAATGGTTTTAAATAGTCATTTCCAACTTTATAGTTGCAGTTGCATGCTGGCTGGGATAATGAAAAAAACCTTACACCTCTAGTTTTGGGTGACTCTGATCAATTTCAATTTATTTTATACTTCTAGGAAAATTGCTACAAAGTCTAACTTTGTTAATCTGCTATCTCTAATAATTTATCAAGTAATTCATCTATTCTATTTTTATTAGGAGTGCAGTAAACAAATATTTTTAATTGCTGCACAGTTGAAGAGTTCTTTCTTCTTGAATATTTATCAGAGCCAAACATCTTTTCTATAAATTCCTGACCTTTACTGGCTGGAGATAAGCTGATATATCATATGGCAGGACACTTTCAGCTTTAAAAGGAATCTCATTTTTTTTTTAATCTTAATAATTTAAAACATTCCACTCTCAAATTTTACATTGGAGGAGAAGTACCTTCTGAAGTACATGCCGAGTTTCTTCCATCAATGACGTACATATTTTTGTTGCAAAGGCCACACTCTTTTCTTCATTCTTCCTTGAAGCAACATCTCCAAGCACTATTTTTTTCCACAAAGTACTAGAAATATAAATTATGAATATATTCGTATGTATCAGATATTCATACAAAGCAAGAAAATAGCATTTCAGGTGATATTTTCTCAAAACAATCATTTTCAGCAACTTACAATTCATCTGCTTCAAGACATAACAATTTAAGAGCTGTAAGAAGTGTCCAAGATGGTCCATCCCAGCCAAACGTCAGATCACTAGAAAAAAACATATTTTTAAAAAATCTAAATTCAATTTATTTCATACAGTGAGACAAAATACTGTCCTTCTCACTTCACCAACTGTCAATTTCAATACTCCATAGTACTTTTTTTAAAAAAAAAGAAACACAATATGCTAAACATTCAGTTAGAGCAGCGGTTCTCAACCTAGGGGTCGCGACCCCTTTGGGGGTCGAACGGCCATTTCCCAGGGGTCGCCAAAGCCCTCTCTCGCCCCCGCCCCCCCCACGCCTTCACTCACCCTCACCCTTTGCTGGATCGCCCGGTTGCCGTTCGTTTACCCCGCCCACTCCCAATCTATTGCTGCCTCTGGAGTCCCAGCTAATGGCTAGAGGGGAAAAAAACTTTAAATTCTTGCCGCGGGGCTTCAAAGAACCGCCCTACTCTCAGCTGTTTTGCGGAGGGCTCTGTTGCTAGCTAGCTGCAAAGAGGTAAATTCCTGGAGCAGATTTTTTCCCCCCTAGCTATGCTGAGAAAGGGAAATTGAAAGTAAGCAGGGTCTTGGCTGCAACGTGACAAAATGAGGCAGAGAGATTTCTTTTTCCTCACCAAAAGAGGTAGGTGCAAACTGCAAACAATGGGAAATTTAGGGCAAGAGGAGGTTCAAGATTTTAAAACACAGAAGAAAAAAAGCTCTATTTAACTAGGGAATTGTAATAATTGAGATACTATTAATTGTATATTGTGTTGAAAGCAGAAATGGTTAAGTTGTGGTTTGGAGGAATATATGGAGGAAATTATTTGGTTTATTATTATTGGTAAATATAATTAATTGATTTGTAAGAAATTGGATTGCATGGAAATAATTGGAATATTCATGTTCATATTGATTAATATACAAAAAAGGTAGCTATATAACTAATTGATTTATATTAAAATGTTGAATTTGTATTAAACAACTGTATTACATAATTAACCAATGTGAGGATGGATATAAAAATAGATGACAATGGGAAGGGGTATAATATAGAATAGAAGGGAAAAATTGAATTTGATTAAGATTAGAGATGAGGATGAAGGGTAATATTGGTTTTTTAAAAAATAGATGAGGAATAAATATGATAAAAAGGAAATATAAAAATTGTAAATTTAATTGAAATGACTAAATACTGTGTTGGAAGAAATATCCTTCTGGGTTCTGCTCCAAGTGGGGAAAAAGACACTGGAAACATGGAGACTGCTTGGAAAGATGGTTTAATGGTGGACAGGATCACATGGCTTGATGGGGCCCATTGTGTTAGTTTCTGTTGCTATTGTGTTGCAAATGTCCTTTGACAAAGGATTGACTTTCTGCCTCTGGCCCATTAACAAAGGGTGGGGGGCAGGAAGGTGGGAGTTGCTTTGTCTGTAAAATATGCTTCTCCATTTCTCATGCAGGTAGGGAAATATAATATTCTGCCTTTTTAATATTTCCCAAAATATTTCATTCTTCTAGGAAAGGGGTGGATGCTAACCTCCTACAACTGTTTAAATTTGTGAACCAGCCAAATACTCTGTTCAAAGAAAATACGTTGTATGTTTGTATGTGTGTTTCTAATTATTGCTATTTATTGCTATTTGTTCTCTTTTATTCTTTAAAGTTTAACAATTCATTCTTTATCTTAATATCTTAATATTTGTTTGGGGTTGGCTTTCTTCCCTTTCATCTTTTTTATTATACAGCAATCTTTCTCCTCAAACCTACCACCTCTCTCTTTTCTTTTCTTCTTACTTTCTCTTCCTCCCCTTCTTCTTCTCCTCCCTACTTCCTCTTCCTTTCTCCTTCTCCTCCTCTCTTCCTCCCACTCTTACCCTCACTCCTACTCTAATTTCCCTTCCCTTCCTTCATCCCTCTCGATTGCTGTATCCTTTTATGCATATGGACTACTCAAAGGTCTGAAAAAGTTATTTTTGACTGGTCCTCGCACTTTTGACCAGTCCTCGAATTTACGACTGTCCTCACATTTTACGTTTTTTGCCCTATCTTATACCATGTTGAAGAGAAGCAGTTGTGAAATGAGTGACATGGTTGTTAAGAATGCTGCACAGGCATAAATGTGAGGATGGTCATAAGTGTGAGGACCAGTCAAAAGTGCGAGGACCTGTCAGAAATGACTTTTTTCAGCCCTCTGAGTAGTCCCTATACATATAGCCATGGCCACCCGGTCACATGACCTCCAAGCCACACCCACAAAATAAGCCACGCCCACAGAACCGGTAGTAAAAAAAATTAGAACCCACCCCTGGTTGGGGGTCACCACAACATGAGGAACTGTATTAAAGGGTCGCGGCATTAGGAAGGTTGAGAACCACTGAGTTAGAGAGCTACTATCCAATTATGGCTGCAAATTAACTCTGAACTACATGAACTTTTAATATACATCTTCCTATAAAATTTCCATATGTTCCATCCCTAAATCAAAAAGTGGCAGTCCATATTTTATTATTGTGTTTATAGAAAAATATGTATATAAAATATTGACTAACTACAGGCAAAATCTGTGTCAGGAACAGGATTATAAAGTACACAAATTTCTTAAGACCCAAATCATGCATATTAGCACAACCTTCAACTAGGTTACATTGCAGGATGTGTTCCAGTATTAAGCAAGATTCCTGTATTTAATCAGGGTCCATGCAGAAGCAACAAACATTGCACAAATTTCCATACTTCAAATCCACAAACAATACTGAGAAAGTTTAATGTGAAATCTTCCAAACTTATACTATAAAGATGTAAAGATGTCTTACTCTAACATCTTGTGCTCTTGTAAAATGGAAAGTTTCATAGATTTCTGTTTGTCTTCTGAATAAACATATTTAAGCAATGTATCTAAAGAAAGTTAAAATAAAATGTTTAAAGCAAATAAAAGCCACGATACTTTTGCAATGCTGACATTTTAAGCCTTCTGTACTAGTAGTAAACATAAATTTACTTTAAATATTGAAGAAATGAAAATATCCTATGGACATTTGTGTCCATATTCTGTGGACACAAATCATAACCCATAGTCTAAGAACCAGTTTAAGAAATTTGTGAAGGTACCAGGGTGGATAAAAATCTATGATTTTTTTTAAAAAAATCAAAAAAATCAGATTTTTTTGATTTAAATCGGATTTTTTTTATTTAAATAGGATTTTTTTGATTTTTATCGAATTTATTTTAATAAAAAACTTTTGGGGTAAAAATCTATTTTAAGATAGTTTTCTATTTAAGTTACATAATTATTATTTTTTTTTTAATTTGATTTATATGCCGCCCTTCTCCGGAGACTCAGGGCAGCTTACAATGCGTTAAGCAATAGCCTTCATCCTTTTTGTATATTTATACAAAGTCAGCTTATTGCCCCCACACTGGGTCCTCAATTTACCTACCTTAGAAAGGATGGAAGGCTGAGTCAACCTTGAGCCTGGCGACATTCGAACCTGCAGTAATTGCAGGCAGCTGGTCTTAATAACAGGGTGCTTTAGACCCCTGTACTACCAAGGCTCCTTTAGTTTATTCAGCATGAAATGGAGCTTAGTTATGTAGTATGAGGCTGTATATTCTGCAACACTGGGACTATCGGTGAGTCAACAGTGAGTCAAAGGAGTAGCAGAGATGACAGTTGCTCTTTAAAAATTATGATTTAAATTGAGTTGATTTAAATCAAGCCTTTTTACTAGTGATTTAAATCATGATTTAAATTGTGATTTAAATCAACTCGATTTAAATCAAATCCACCCTGGAAGGTACATAAGGATATCCCAGAAAAGGCTTGAACAAAAGCAATAATATCACCAAAAGGACTGTGGGCTACCACTTTTTTTATTCCCCAGTATCTTATCCTAGTGCAGTGATGGCTAACCTTTTCCGTCCTGAGTGCCCAATGCATGCACTAACCCCCAAAATGTAATCCATGTCCCCCATGCATGGACAACAGAGACCCAATGATCACTGGCCGGTGGGAGGCATGCACACATGCGCGGCAGAGCATTGTTCTAAGCTTGTCGCTATTTTGTATAGATCTAGCCATAGCCTTACCTGTACTAACATGCACACAGCTGTGTGGATTATCAGAAGCAACAAACCCATATTCTAAAAGTAGTCGCTGGTTGTCATGAGGGCCGTAAGAAATGTATACTTCTTTGTATTTCTGATAGCCCAGATGTGTTTTTATTTCATAACATTTTGTATTTTCATTAAACGAAGCTTTCACCTGAGTATGAGAAAAATGTAAGTTCAAGAGAAATACATCAATACATTCTCATTACTGAACACATGATTCTTGGATCAAACCCTACACTTCTAAAGGCACTGGGCCTGTTAGGCCCACAAAATAAATACAATGGGGGGAATTAAATGTATTTACTGATAAGGCTGGAAGGGATCATTCTATGTTAATTATGTCAATTACACAATAGCTTGAAGCTTTCTTTCTCTTTCTATACTTGAACAAGAATGCTATATAGATAGTCCTTGACTTACAACCATTTTTTTAGTGTCTGAATTTACAACGGCACTGAGAAAAATGACTTATGACGGTTTTTCACACTGAAGAAACGTGATAAAAATTCAGGTGTTTGGCAACTGGCATGTATTTATGAAAGTTTCATTGTTCCGGGGTCATGTGATCACCATTTGTAACCATCCTAGCCAGCTTCTGACAGGCAAAGTCCATGCAGGAAACCAGATTCACTTAACAACGGCTGTGGTTTGCTTAGCAAATGTGGCAACAAAGGCTGTAAAATGGGAGCAACTCATTTGAAAACTAACTTGCTTAACAATGAAAATTTGGGGCTCAATTGTGATCATAAGTCAAGAACTACCTATAATCAGAGTTTTAACTGGAGTACCAATTAAGAAACTATCTGTATATTCTGATCTACAGTATATACAGTTTGATGTGGTTTTTTTAAGTTTTAAGATTAAAGTGTGTGTGTGTGTGTGTGTGTGTGTGTGTGTGTGTATTTCCATTGAGACACTTGGTCTACCCCAGCATGTGGGAGGGAGCATACTGCATCCCTTTTGCCTTTCAGCTCCAATCCAGGAGCCCTCAAGCAGTCACATTCACGACAAACCATTTTATACCGAATTTATATTTACATACACATACACAAACAGACACACATATGGCTTCCTTTTTTCTTCTTTCTTTCTATAATTAATAAAATTAATATCACCATTATTATCATCTTACCTGGGCCTTTGGATTGTGATTTAGCAGATCCAGAAACGGAGCTAGAGCATAAATATCTGGCTCTCTAGAAAAACAGTCTTTCTGTGAATGTTTCATAAACACTGTTCTTGTATTTATAGTGCACCAGGCCCACTGGAAGGCACTGAAGTTAAAAATAATCTCCACATTTTCAGGAAATAAAGGCTGCAAAGAAGAGAAGAATTGCTTTGAAGAAGCAAAAAGGTCCTGGATCAATGATCGTTGCTCGAGAGCCTTTCTTCTCAAGGGCTCGGGGAAAAGGTTCAGTGTTTCTTGCTCCAAATAAACAGGACAGGTATATGTTTTAGGTAAGAGATCCAGGTATGGCTTCCACACAGATTTCCTATGGAACCACTTCTCTGCTATTAAAAATGAACATAATGCTATCAAGGGAGAAATTGGAGGCTTCCATCTATTGAAAAGGCAAAGGAAAACATAGTAACCATGTTTTGATAATCAGAGTTTTTAATCAAATTTCTGAGTTTTAGCATCATACATGAAGTAAAATCAGAAAGCTCTCATCCACACAGTATGAAATTGAAAGAAGGAAGAACAGCTTGATAGATTAAATGAACAGAACATTGGGGCCAATGGTCTAATCCTACAGCACCCAACCAGAGGTGCATGGAGTGCCATAAGCCATAAGTTTGACAGATCACCCCCCCCAACTGAAGTTCTTCAATAATTAAGTAGATTGTCTCATGGTGGAAGTAATGCATACTCTTTTAGACACTTAAGAGTCTTAGTAAAGACTCTTTCAGGTTGAGCTCCATTCCTGGTGATTTAATGGACATAACAGCAGAATTTTTTGAGCAATAGCATGGATATTGTTAGCATCCCCAACTATCCCTATTTCAAAGCAGATCAAGTACCAACCTTACTTTTTACTTGAGCAGATGCTATAGTATTTAGATGGTAAGTCAATTAAACATTGCATCTTCAAGCCACTATTGACTCCTGGTAAATGTCTAGGCTAGTCCTTACAGTTTTCTTGTTCATAATGTTCAGAGGTTTGCCACTGCCTGCTTTCTAGGGCTAAGAAAGAATAAATAGTTGCACAACTAGTTTCATACCTAAGGTGGGACTAGACTCTCCTGGTTTATAACTGGATGTCCTATCACTACACCAACCTCACCATTTAAATATTTTTTTTCGGTCTTGAATTTCACACTATTTGCCTTCATTGGATGATTCTGCACTGTCTATTTTGACAGAAAAAGAAAAAATGTCCATATCCATTGTTGTCATACTTGTATCAATTTACCCACTTCTATCACATTCTGCTTATTCATCATTCTTCTAATCTAGAAAGCAATTAACACTGTAACCTTCTCTGCCATAAATGTTTAACCATGTCAGTATCTTTTCCTGCATCTTTTTTAAGTATAGCAAGTAGAAGTTAGAGTAGTTCAATTTTCTTAGTGACCATTTTCATTCTACTTATTACATCATTTGACTTTCTTACATAAATACCATTTTAGTGCCTTGAAACACTGCTCACTATTGATAACATTATCACAATGAATGCCTGAAGCATGGGAAAGATAGTCTCTGATGTTGCATACAAAGTGTTAGGCCCTAATTTTGAGGAAATGTGGGAATAGAATTCTGTGCAGGGTTTATTTCTATATATAGTACAAAGTACAACATATAGTACAAACAGTTCCTGAACAACAGACACAAAGCTTACATACAACAATATTCACAGATGGGAACAGAGAGATCTCAGCCTCCTAGAACATTCTGCCTCTGACTTTAGAAGGTCATTCTTAAACAAAGGAAATACATGAACAGATTCTGATGTAAAATAGCTATGCTGTCATTCATCAAAAGACACAATTCTATCATTTGAGAAATGGAACTTTTATTTAATCACATGTACCAAGGCTTTTCATAGCAAAATATATGCTGATCAGCTCAAAAATGCAAACTGGTCTCTTATCATCCAGCAACTACTATGCAAATGCCCATTTTTAACAAAGAGTTTGGATTGTCTATAATCTGCTTTTTCTGACTTCAGAGTTTACAATTCCTCACTTGCAAGGGGATTTATGGGTGCATGATATCCATGCAAAGAGATTACTAAATCAAGATAATGCTTTATTATAATCACAATAAATATGGCAAGGATTTTATTTGTTTTGAAAAAACACATGCAACTTATCTGGAAAAAGTTCTCTTACTTTATCCTTCTAAATCAATCACTAAACTAATTCTGATTTCCCAAATATTCTCTAATTTTTTTAAATTATGAAGCTTAATTAATGGCATCAATTCTAACAGAAATGCACACTGTACATAATTCCCCAATCGCACAACTTTGTTCAAAGTAATGGAAATGTTCAGATTAGAAAGTATAAATTTAAATGATAAAAGCTATTGAAATTTGAGGATTTTATTAAGTGGTGACCAACTTACTTTAAAATATATTCTCTGAGGTAACTGTTAAGCACAGTATTGGAAGTAAGCAAGCACTTTTCAGGCAAAGAAATAATCAGCTCTTCAGCCTATGAAATGTTAAAAAAACAGAATGAATATACTGAAAAAGTACTCAAATCATACTTTATTATGCACTAAAGTGAAAAAAAAAAAGAATACCCTGGCTATAGTCAACCAAGGCCCTTTGCAATTAATTAATTGCCACTTTTAAAATAAACAGATTTTCAAAAGGTTGCACATCAATTGCAGATGAGGCACAAATAAGGATCAGGTCATCTTATCTTTGATGATCCCTTGGAAACTCACTTTGGAAGCAATCCTAATCCCCACCAAAAACAGGCTAAGGAGATTTAAGACAGAAGAGCCTTGGTAGTACAGTGGTTTAAAGCACCCTGTTATTAACACAGCTGCCTGCAATTACTGCAGGTTCAAATCTTACCAGGCTCAACGTTGACTCAGCCTTCCATCCTTTCTAAGGTAGGTTAAATGAGGACCCAGTTTGTGGGGGCAATAAACTGACTTTGTATAAATATACAAAAGTATGAAGGCTATTGCTTAACGCATTGTAAGCCGCCCTGAGTCTCCAGAGAAGGGTGGCATATAAATCAAATTTTTTAAAAAAGAGTGCCATTCCTTGGCAGAAGCTCTAACAGTGTAATAAACTTGATAATCCTGTGAGAAACTCTACAAGTGTGCATTTATTACTATAACTAATTCTCAAAAGTGAATTATGTACCCAGATTGTACTGCTAATCTATCATTACATTCAGAAACATGAATTTTGCAACGAGAATAAAGTGCTTCACAAGCACACCTTCTGTTCTTGTAAATAAGTTGATGGACACAGCAAGGTATAGGTACAATGAAGTTCAGTTTACAACAACACTGGGGATATTTTAAAAACTGCTGGGTCTACTTAAAACACTAAACCGAAATTCTATAATATTAAACAAAAGCTATCTTTAACCTGTTGTCCAAATATGTTGGATTAAAGAATCTTCATCCTATCATCTGTCAATCACAGGAAATCCCAAACCAACCTGGCTTTGGAAAGGTAACTACAATCACTAAATCCAGCCCTCCCATAGGCTCTGGAGTCCCTGCTCATAAACCCTTCATCAAAACCTAGATACTAGCCTAATCCACTAGTATTGGTTAAATATAATTTATAAATCCAGCATAAAGTCACAAGGAAAATCTAAATAATATGCATTACATGAAAAAACAGGATAATATAATTCCTTATTATGGTTCATAGTTTCATCTGTTTATTCATAGGAATACTCACAAACCTGAAGCGTTTTTGTGGTCATCAATCCCCTTCCTGTTTCTAGAAAACATAGGAGGGAGAGGAAGATGCAATTAGGTATACTATATTGGTTTCTTAGACAGTTATAAGACTACTTAACATGAAAAATATAGAGTAACGAATATAGAAATCATTTAAGTCAAAACTTTTTTTAAATTTTGCAACCCCTTTTGGAAGCTTGAGAGGAAGTACTGTTGTAGTCCCACCAGCAATACAATTATGTTGTCAATTTACGATCTTCATCATGGTATATATAATTATTTTCAATCTAACTCAACAAAATTCAGCATGAATACAAATCCAAGGGCAGAAATCAAGTATGGGACCTGATCTTAAGCATTTTTTTGTATAGATTCAAGGATTGAGAAGATTATGTAAATTCACAAATGAGAACTTTACAACTGCAAGCTAAGAATTTTGGTGTCAGCTTTGGAAGCCATATTAACACCGGAAGCTTCCACGCTGCCACCTTCTTGTGCTTGGGAAATTAGGAAATTGGGAAATTAGGGAAATTAGGAGGGGGGATTTAGTAGAGGGAATGTAGTTAGACATAATAGCATTCTTCTTTTCGGTCAAGGTCATGGTGTTCCTGCATCTGGAGGAGGAGTGGTTGAACTTGAAGCTCAAGTTGGGACGGATGGTGATTGGACCATGTGATAGACTGATGGGTGCAGGGGCTAGATTTGGGGTTTTGATTTACTGAGGGAAAACCTGGAACTCACAGATTCGGGTTTTCCCAGATGTACCAGTATACTTACTCTAAAAAATGGAAGTTTGAGAAAATGCTTGTCTGAGCGTTTTTAACTGGAGTTGGGATTTTCTGGAACTCTGACATTTCATTTTAAATAGGCTACTTATTGCTGGGACAAAATTGCTCCCCTGAAAAATTTTCTAGGAAAAGGAAACTAAGATAAGAACTGGCCTGTCTGCATTAAAGCAACATCCTTACAGAGCCAAGAGAAGACTGCTTTTGTGAATGATTAATCCCTTTTACCTTCCTTGCTTTCAATAGGAAAAAAAATGAACTAAATCCAGGGATTTTTATTCTTTTGTCTAAAAGTCACTGTTCTTCAGAGATTGCAGGAGTTAAAACAAGAACTTGCTACTTTGGTCAGCACTGGAAATGATACTGTTTCTGCTAAGATCCCTAATGAATGTGAAGTGCATTCTGAATTAGCTGGCAATCCAAATAATGATATGAATTCCTGCTCACATATCTCCTCTGATCAATCTCTCCTTTACCAGCCAATCTGCCTGGAGTGCACATCCACTCAAATGAGTCTCTCCACTCTTATTGAACAATACTCTCTTAAGTTTCCTAATGAAGATTATGTGGAACCAAGTGCACAAATCAAGAAAATTCAACCTGATACCTCTGTCCCCCCACAAGATGATGTAAAACTTTGCAAAACAAACATACATTAACATCCCATCCAGGTCAGAAGAAAGATGGGTCTTTAGGGGGTATTAATATCCCATTATTGCACATTGAAAATGTGTCCATCTTTAAATGTACCCAATTATATATATGGCTCAGCAGACTAAAAGCATTGTGATTAACACCAGCTGTTTGCAATTACTGTAAGTTCGAATCTCACCAGGCTCAAGGTTGACTCAGCCTTCCATCCTTTCTAAGGTAGGCTAAATGAGGACCCAGTTTGTGGGGGTAATAAGCTGACTTTGTATAAATATACAAAAGTATGAAGGCTATTGCTTAACGCATTGTAAGCCGCCCTGAGTCTCCGGAGAAGGCGGCATATAAATCAAATTTTTAAAAAATAAAAAAAATTAGTAATAGTCGTCTCTAACCCAACTAATTCAGTTACATTTTTGTGATAAATATCTATTTTCTACTTAAATAACTATATTAACTCTATTCCTTATAACTCAGGAATCCTAGAGTAGAAGAAAAAAGTAATCATTTGAAACTAAAGAAACCATTACTTATTAATATCACTTGTTAATAAGTGTGTGTGGCTTCACATTGGGATAAAAAGTTATCACATTTTTTGCAAACTTTCACTAGTCAAAACTTCTAGAAAAGTTATTAGAACATTACCTGAAAACACTGCTGGATTTAAATTATTATTCTTGTAGCCTTTTTCTTTCAACCACTTCTTAAGAAGTATATATTCAGTTTTATAACTCAAATTTACTAAATAGGAAAGAAAATAATCACGTATCATATAAAGTATCTATGTTGATTCACAATATTATTTCACAACAATATATTGCTTCATACAAATCACACTACAAAACAAAAATGATGAAAACAAGGCCAAGACTGAGGGGTTTTTGTTAAAAAATACATTTTGTATTAATATATCACTGATCTAAGAGTACCATATAAAGTTACAAACTATAAAATTAGCTATGGTAAAGGCAATCCAACATCAATGCAACAAAACAAATATCTAATAGAAATGGGATATGATTTAAGGATAAATAAAATTAAAATCATTTAAATTTTATAGGAGCAATCCTGTAGAAATCATTAATAGAAAACCAAAATATGTGTGTTTGTATGTTAATAAGAGCCAGTTTGGATGAATGGTTAAGGTGCTGGCTTAGAAACCAAGAAACTCTGAATTCTAGTCCTGCCTTAGACATGAAAGCCAGATGGGTGATTCTGGGCTAGTTATGCTCTCTTAGCCCAGCCCAACTCATAGGTTTGTTGTGGGAAAAATAGGAAGACGAAGGAGTATTATGTTCACTGCCTTATATTAAAGGCAGGATAAAAATCAAATACATACACACATGTATACATACATAAGTAAATAAAATGGTTAATCATTTTACCACCACTTGAAGAAAAAGCTATAGATTGTTTTCTGTGTCTCTTTCGGTAAGTTCGACCTCTGCCTTTCTTCATTTTAAAATTATTTGAAAATTTGTACAGAAACTGAAAATAGAAAAGCAAACTGAGTTCAATTATTTCAATTACAGAAATATGTCATGCCCCATTTTTACAAATATGTCAATAAGAAATTTGCATTTGGTATATTCATATGTGTATACCATATTTAACATTTGAAAAATCAAAAATGTGAAAGAATAAGAACCAAAATATATCCAACATATTTCGACAGCCACAAAATGTCAGCCAGGCATATGATTGCTGGTGAGGATAGGTTTCTAGGGAACAGCATCAGAAGTGCTCTAAATCTTCAATATGTCTGTGGATCCTCAATCTGTTTAACCACTGAAGAAAGCATTTTGCCAGCTTTGGCTTAAGTTTGCTGTAAAATAGGGTAAAACCTACGGTACTGCAAGTATCTTCTAAACAATTCCTGGAATCCTTTAGTCACATCTGCCAAGAGCTGCATAGCTTTTTATACTATTAAATGTTATTTATGGAATGAGTTTAAACAGCAGGAATTATCGAAAATATAAATCTTCACTTAAATCAGACTATATTAAGATTCGCGTTTGGCTAACCACAATTCCAAATGGGCTCAAAGAGGCTTTTCACTCAATGAATCTATGGAGCATTATAATCTCGTCAGGAATAAACCATCCAAAAATGGGTAGAAAGAATTATTGAGTATAAGAATTAGGAACGGGCTGCAAGATACTATTTCCTCGCTTCCTTCAAGCCTCCTTCAGCCAATTCGCCCTTCAATATTCCCAACCTGCAGGCACGTTTTTCCTTTCCAACTTCAGCTACGTTGCACTTTCAAACCCAGAAGTCACCAGGCTTTACACAGACTGCAAGAAAGCGGAAAAGGCGGTCCTCAGCCAATTGCCTATTGAGAGAAAAGCAAGTTGGTCGGAAGGTAGGTTTCCCATTGGGTGGAGAGCTCGCTCCTCTTCTCACATTGTTCTGGCAAGAACTTGCTGCCGCTTTTCGTGTGACTGAGAAAGGTAGGGGGGAATTGTGGCTAAATTTTTTTTAAATGCTTGCTTTTCACTCCCTTCCCTTCTCCGCCTCAACCCGCCGCAGAATTTTATTCTCCAACGCGTATTTCAACCTGCGTAGATCCTTGCTTTTAAAGAATTCAGAATTCACAAACAGCTGAGAATCGTTTTGCAGAGGGTAGTAGATGGAAAACCTGGTATGCTATAATTGTAGTAGGTAGAAGTTTTAAAATCTGGTATACCATAATTCTGATATGTGGTTGGTTTTCAAAATCTTCTAATATCTGCTCGAGGATTCCGACTGTTTTATTCTTTATGCACTCTTGGTAATTGAAGAAATGGATAAAAGGGGAGGAGTGCTTATAGATTATATAACCTTGCATTCCAGGTAAGTGGAGAGCTTTCCTTGGTGATTGGAGTATGTATCGAATGTTTTTATGTATGGGTTTTTATAAATTTCCAACCTTCAGGACTTCTTTATTATTCTGAATTCCTCGTTGTCTTGTGTGACTTCAATTTGGCTGGGTAGTGTTTATAAAACATGTGTTTTAATGCTGAACACGTTAAATGAGTTCATTCAATCGAATTGCACGATCATCATGGAAAAAATATTATGTGGTCGCTAGGAGTCAAAAATGATTTGTTAGCACATACTGTGATCAAAATGTTAAGTAATCCTAAAAAATGTATTGCTAAATTTTAATTTATTCTCGACAATCCAGTCCCCACAGGTTGAAAGTTGTATTCTATCATAGTCTGCCTTTTAATATTTTTAGTGAATAGTTTCAGAGGTAGTTTTTACTTTAGGTTTTTTTTAATCCCACCTTTATTGTTTTTACAAATAATTCAAAATGCTACTTGAGCCTTCCCCCTCCCCACAACAGCAATCCTGTGAGGTGAGTTGGGTTGAAAGTGTGTAACTGGCTCAAAGTTATTAGCTGGCTTTCACATGTAAGCAGACTAGAACTCACTGTCTCCTGGTTTCACACCTGCTGTCTTAACCACTAGACCTGCGAACCTATAGCACGTGTGCCAGAGGTGGCATGAAGCACCCTCTCTGATGGCACACAAGCCATCGCCCCAGTTCAGCTCTGCCATGCATGTGCACATGCCTCCTGCCGGCCAGTTGATCTTTGGGTCTCTGCCATGCATATGTGGGGGTGGGGCGCATGTGAGGGTCATGTGTATGCACGGTGGCAGGATGTGTGCAGGGGGCACGTGCGCATGCGTAGGGGCAGGGCGTGTGCAGCAGGCCTGCATATAGATGCATGGGGGGGCTGGCCACATGCAGGGAAGTGCGCGCACATTGCATTTTGGGGGTTTCCGCGTAGGGGTGCAGGCTTTGGGCACTCAGTCCGGAAAAGGTTAGCCATCACTGCACTAGACCAAAGTGGCTCTGTAATTGAAACAAATTCGCTCAGCTATAATAATATTCAAGTTTTATATTGTGCACCTAGACTGTCCTAGAATACATTTAAAACATATTACATTAAAAGTATAGTCCTGATTATTTCTACAGTTGTCTACCCCACACCCCAGTACTATCAGGCTGAGTTTGAACTAGAAGCGTGGCATTGAATATTAATGTTCAAAAACTATAGTCAGTAAAAAAAAAAAAGCAAATTAAATCACTTAAGATTTTTTAGAAAGACTTTGATTTGTTAAGTGTTGTTTTCTATTGATACATTTTGGCATTTAATTATAGGGAAAATGTCTAGTACACGAGTAGCTGTGGTAACTGGATCCAACAAAGGCATTGGTCTGGCTATTGTGAGAGCCCTGTGCAACCAGTTCTCGGGGGATGTGTATTTGACAGCCCGGGACCCTGAACGAGGCAAAGCAGCAGTGACACAACTGTCAGGAGAAGGATTAAAACCACTTTTCCACCAACTGGATATTGCTGATCTCAAGAGTATCCAAACCCTCCGTGATTTCCTCAAGGAAAAATATGGAGGATTGGATGTGCTAGTCAACAATGCTGGGATTGCTTTCAAAGGTAATCGAAATGTAAATCACTGAATGTTGACATTGGGTGAACAACAGAACAAAGGGTTTGGGTAAAGCTCTGTAGAGAGTAAAATTGTAGCTAATGTTTTTTGCAGGTCTTTTAGTTTTTTTCTGTTGGGAAGGTGAATGTGTAGCAAAAATATGCTACAAATTTATTATTGGAATTTATGCATTATAAGTAATACTAAGCCATATGATAGGACAAGAAAGACTGAAAAGATGAAATAGATCTCTTCAAGAGAAGAAATAAAAATCAACCAGATTTCCTGGCATTCCCTACTTTTACAAATTAAAACTTTAAATCTATCATTTCTGCTTAAAATGTTTCTGTCCTGTAATATTGTTGGAGAGCAACCATCCCAGATGGGAGAAGGAATCAAGTGACAAATCAGTCTAGACTATATATAAATATAAGAGGGCTAGGTCTGTTCCCCACTTGAATGCCTTAGAGCAGGGGTGTCAAACTCAAGGCCCGGGGGCTGGATTCGGCCCAGGGGGTGCTTAGTTCTGGCTTGCAGGGCCATCCTGGAAACAGTGAAGGACCAGCCCATGGTTCCTCTGCCAGCGAAAACAGAGCTTTGGAGGGCTGTGGGTGCATTCCTGAGCTCCATTTTTGCTGGCAGAGGATTGCAGGAAGCCGTCACAGCTGAAAACAGAGCACGCATGTCCCATTTTTGGCCCACCACCTATCCCTGCTGCTGGGAACGGGCCAAAAATGGGGCACATGGAGGCCAAAAATGGGGCAAGCGGAGGCGACAGTGGCGATGAGCAGTGGTGATCCCCACAGCCTGGAACAACTGATAGCCGGTATTCCAGGAGGCCTATCCAACCGCCAATCAGCTGCTCATGCTAAATCAGGCTGTGCTGAAGCTGACCAGGCTGTTTGCTGTTTGCTGCAAGGAGGCAAATTGCTCGGAGGCAAAGGCCAAAGGGTGGAGGCCAGCAAGTGGGCGGGACTTTGGCAACATTCGCTCTATAAGATGCACAGACATTTCCACCCACTTTATACATAGAATTTTTTATACATAGAAAAATATGCTATATAAAGTATCAGTTATCTTTCAATAGATCTCTGTGTATTTTAGTTTGGTTCCCATTTTTAATGTTGGAATATATAGCCTATATTAGTTTATAGCAGTGGTGGGTTGCTACCGGTTCTCACCGGTTTGCGCAAACCATTAACAAAAATTGGGCCAAGTCCGTAGAACCGGTAGAAATGGCCTGCTGGCCACGCCCCCAAACCGGTTGCCCAGACACTCGCCCCAGCCGCCATGTTTGTCACTGCCATGTTCTTCACGCACGCGCATCCCATTACTTTGAAAGTCGAATGGGATGCGCATGTGTGAAGAACATGGCAACAACGGCAGCAGCTTTTTCTGCTGGTACTTTTTGGAGGCCTAGCTAGGAATCTCAAATACTGATGAGAGTGAACACTGCGTTGTAGTCAGTGGTAGATCAGCCCCTTGCAAACTCTGTCTCTCGAGGAGCCCAGCTGCTCACCAATCGCCAAGTTGCCTGGACTCCTAGTGATGGGATGGGGTCCTTCAGGCATTTAGTTTGGCCGCCTGTTTAGTAGCTCCAGCCACCGGCTACCACACAAATGTTCATTCCTGGCCGTATTTGAGATTCCTAGCTGCAGTTTATTCGTGAGCACCATTAGCCGGGAGAGTTAGGGAGAAAGGCCAATGCTGCTCACAAGCAAACTGCAGATTAGAGGCAGCCAGCAGATCGCTGGCTTGCTTGCTTGGCTGCTTGCCGCCCAGAGCTCGCAGGTAGTGAACGAAACCTCTGCGCATCAAGAGAGAGACAAGACACATAGAGAGGGGGAAAGAGACAGACTAGACACAGAGAGAGAGAGGCAATGAGAGACAGACACACAGAGAGGGGGAAAGAGAGAGACACACACAGAGAGACCAAAAGAGAGAGACGGACACACAGAGAGGGAAAGAAAGAGAGAGACAGACACAGAGAGGGGAAAAGAGAGAGACAGACACACAGAGAGGGAGGGAAAGAGAGACAAGACACAGAGAAATGAGAGAGAGAGAGACAGAAAGAAAGAGATGAGAGAGAAATGAGAAATGAGAAAAAGAGAGAACATGAGAGAGAGGCAGAAGGAATTGTTGTTGTAAACTGGCAAAAAACATAGAAAATCTCAGTTACATGACTGTGTGGGATGTTGTAACTGGTCATAAGTGTGTGTGTTTGTGTGCTTGTATGTGTGTGCATGGCTGTCAAAACTCCAAAAACAGGTCAAGTAGCTCTTGGGAGGTCAGACATAAATTAGAACATTTGTTAAGCAACTGACCATTAAGCGAGGACCACTTGTATTTGATTTGCCTTAAGGGTTCAGAGCTGTATGGAATCTGATTTCCTTTGACCCTTTGGGGGATTGCAAAAGGACCAGATGGAGGAATCCTCGTAGGGGGAACTAGGATTGTGACCACCTAGCCACTCCCACCCAGTCACATGACTGCCAAGCCATGCCCACCCAGTCACATGACCACAAAACCACGCCCACAGAACCGGTAGTAAACAATTTAAAACCCACCACTGGTTTATATACCACTATGCATATAACAGCTTGTGAGTTCCAGCAGATAATTGACACTTCAATTTCTAGCACTATTTGCAGCTAGTTTTATGTCTACATTTTTTCCCTTGTCCATCTGGAAGGGTAGTTATTGTACACAAAGCAGAAAATATTTAAAATTGTACCTTAATATAATAAGAAAATCTGTAAACCATCATTTGAAACAGTGGCTTAGCAATTTACTAGAGATTATTTTAAACTATAGTTTTATACTTCATTATAAGTTACAAATGATGGAGGTAAAATGCTTCATGATTCTTTCTTTTTCCACTTGTGTGAAGAAAAGAATAGGTGTAAGCCAAAGTGGGTATTTTTTTTTCAAATCATAGAGATTTATACTGTAATTCTGAATCCTGTCTTAATACTAGTGCAATACTTAAATTAAGTTCTGTTCAATTTTAAATATTTCTAAGAATATCTTCAGGACTGTTGATTTAAAATATCAGTACATCTTTCTCCTAATGATATTTAAGAGTCATATTTCATTACAGTATAATATGCATTTTTGTCTTGCATGCAGATAAAATAGCTGGTTAGGCTCTGCTAAGTATCCACTTCAATTTTTGCCGGCATCATTCCACTCATGTAATATTTAAACTTTTACATCTCTTGTTATACAATGCTTTCCTATTTTCCTATATATTAAGAATCTTACCTTCTGTTTTCTTCCATTTTGAAAAAAAAAAGTTGCAGATACAACCCCATTTGCTGTACAAGCAGAAGTCACACTGAGAACAAACTTCATTGCAACCATGAATGTTTGCACAGAACTGCTGCCACTATTGAAACCCAATGGTAAGCATACACTGGGGGTGGAGTATATTAAAGATTAATCAAGATTTTTGACAAAATGCTAAAAAGAAACACTAACAGAAAAACACATATGATTAACTCTTCCTTAAGTTCAGCTTTTAAATTCCGTAAATGTCCATGTTTAAGTCATGGTTTTTCTAGGAATTTTATATTATAGTTTATATCTCTGATACTAATCTCATTGAAATGAATGGGAATTATTTCCAAGTAAATATGTTTAGCTAGTTGATAAATGAAGACACATGAACAGAAAAGAACCTGACGTAAAGGCTGAGTAAAAACAAAAAAACTATTCAAACCCACCACATTCAGTCCTATGAAATAAATCATTGAACAAATATATTTTGCATCAAACTGTAAATCATAATAATCGTAGATTTTCTTGAAATCATTTCTTAAGGAATGTCCTTAAGGTATTGTACGTTACCACTGTCAGGGTTCCAAGTAATAGATCCATTGCAAGCAAAAACTCCAGTTGAATTCCTCAAATAATAGCTTTATTGGAAATATCATATTGTCACATATCTGGTGAAAACCAACTCTGAAGGGCCCCTTGGTTTTCACCTAATTAAAAGTTAGGTTTTTCCCTCCCAACACTGGAGCTCCAAGATGGCTCCAGCCAGGTCAGCTTCAGGGTTGACAGCCACCCAGTACCATTTTTTTAATGGACTTTGAACTGTTTTTAATAAGGTTTATGCTGAATTTTGTTCTGCTTTATAATACTGAATTATTTTTAATCATTTAAATTATTTTATATACATATGACATCTAGGTTAGACGAAAGAGTTTCCATGCATCTGCCTTACAGAAAAATCTCTAGGATTCATTTCAATGGAAATTGAAAACTCCAGTTTATCCTAAACTGGGATGTCAATTTCTATCGAAATGAATCCTGGAGATTTTTTTTCCCTCCAATAATCATTTCCAGGTAATACTTTAGTTAGCTTTCATAGCTTGGTAGGAATAACAGTTACAGGGCAAAACAATCAAGATTTATTGAATTACTGCTCATTACAATTGCCTACAAAATAAACCACTCCATTTGGAAAATTCATTGAGTTCCATTTGCATATAGATGACAACCATTCTCAGTCACACATGCACTTACAGCTGTAGTGATAATCTGAATTCAGTAACCATAAATCTATGCATGTTTACATTTATGTAAGCCTGTTTATTCAGCATTGTTCATTTTCCAGTATTTATTGAAGAAAGATTCTCTCTGTGGCAGCTCTTCACCTATTGAGCATTCCAATATTTCAGGATTTTCAGATCCATAAAGAGCACCACAAGTAAAAAAAAGTTTGCCCCACAATATCTATCTGAAGGATACAAAATGGAATGACAGAGCTAGCTGATTCACTGATAATTGTTGAGAGAATAATGCCTCCTTTTCTTTGTGGGTAAATATTATATTGTTACAAAATGATTTTTTTTTAAAGAAGTAATTTCTTAACCTATGATTTTTATTTTTATTTTTATTGGCATAGGGAGAGTAGTCAATGTATCTAGCGTGCTTTCAATTTCAGCATTGTCCAGATGCAACCAGGATCTGCAGAAGAAATTTCGGAGTGACACAATCACTGAAGAGGAACTAGTGAAACTCATGGAAAAATTTGTGGAAGATTCCAAGAAGGGAGTGCATGAGAAGGAAGGCTGGCCAAGTACTACTTATGGAGTATCTAAAATAGGAGTGACAGTTTTATCAAGAATTCAGGCAAGGCTGTTGAACGAGACAAGAAAAAACGATGGTATTCTCCTGAATGCTTGTTGTCCTGGGTGGGTCAGAACAGATATGGCAGGTCCCAGAGCCACAAAAAGTCCAGATGAGGGAGCTGAGACTCCAGTTTATTTAGCACTTTTACCTCCTGGTGCTACTGAACCCCATGGCCAATTTGTTAGTGAAAAGAAAGTTCAGAAATGGTAACTCTGCTACTGCATTATGCTTCTGTATATAAGCACTGGAAGTTTTAGATGCTACAAAGATCTTGGCAGTTAAGAAGCAAAAAGAAAATTGGGTTCCTTGGAACCCTGACAGATCTTTGCTACGGGTATATCCTCTAGCAGTTGTCCCAAGCTCCTATGCCATGGAGGTGAGAACCAACATACAGCAGATTGAAGTAAAATGCATCCAGTTGCTTAGTAACATCACTGTTTAATCTTTTGCTGAGGGTGACAATTAGTGTTGTATTTTAGTAACAACCTTAGGGATTCTCACTCTTCTCTAGATTTGGGTAGCTTTTCAATATTGGCTTTTAAGATAATACATTGTAAAGATTTATAAAGCACACATGCATAATCCTTTTTTAGTTAAGATAGCTTTCTGTAATTTATTAATTGTGTCATTTTGAAAACAAATCTTGACTATATAAAACAGTAAATAAAGTTTATGATTAAATAATTTGGCAGCTATTTATGATTCCCATACAAATACATTTTTACCCCATTAATCCCAAACAACTACTGGCAGTGTACTTTTCGAGACTCGATGGGCAATGTATATTTGTTTTTGTTTTTAAAGCAGAGGTAGGGATCTGATTTTCCAGTATATATGAAGTAAAGCTCCCAACAGCAGTATAAGTGTGACAAATAGTGAGGAACTATGAGAATCTGATCCAGCAAAATCTGAAGAGTTGCTGGCCATTCCTGCCTCAAAAGTAGAAAAATTCAAATGTGAAATACAACAATGCACATTGTACAGAAAGTTTAGTATGTATACCTTATCTCCCATCCTTTATATGGATAAAATGCAATAATAACAGGCCAATTTTATGTGATTAAAATATTTCTTCTAAAATTTTGATGTGTTACTTGACATTCAAGAAAAATTATAACAATAGGTATTTATATATTATTCGGTACATACATAGCCAAACACAAAATTTTGAAAACATTAGACAAAAAGAAGGCTTTTCCTTTTTTTTAAGGAAACCTATATGAGTCCAGATAGGTACCCTGTTTCCCCCAAAATAAGATATCCCCTGGTAATAAGCCCAATTGGGCTTTTGAGCACATGGCAATAAGGCCAAGTGCGTATTTCAGGGTTCAAAAAAATATAAGACAGGGTCTTGTTTTCGGGGAAACACAGTATAAAAATGTTAATAGGAGAGAGTTGTTTTTCTTGTTTTAAGTAAATAAAAATATAAAAATGGCATACAAATATAATTCAGATGAATTTGGTCAGTTTATACAAATAATCGTAATCTGGAGAATAGAAAGGTAAGGTATTACATAGAGAGCTGCTTCTTGGATTGTACTGTATGTAACAACTTTATTTGAATCCATAATTTAAAACTGCTAATATATTTACAAAATGTAAGAGGTTTGTGCTTGATAAGCATACCTTGTGCAAGACCCTACATGGAAGTTGCCACCAATGTGATTCAGACTTGTAACCTAAAGTTCCCTCAGTGCAAAAATACTGCTCATTTGTTCCTGCTGAACATGGAAATACAGATAGTTCTTAACCAGCTAGATATTTAAGCCAAATAACCATTCATAAATCCAGAAGAACTGTAATTCTGGCAAGATTGAATGCCTGTCCAACAGTCACTTTAAAGGAAAATTATGAAACATCCCAAGACTTTGCCCCATTGTAAAAGAGTTCTTGAAACATTAACCCACATTTGTTACATTGCCCTTATTATAAAAATGCCTGGTTCCACTTAATAACTCCCAAGCTATCTAGATCCATTTTATTTAGTTGTTACTGTCTGGTTAATGTGAGTTTATTTCATTGAACATGGATGTGATTGGAGTTGGTATTGGTAAAAATACCAGACTGACTACACAGGTTTTATCATCATTATTCTTATTGGTTGTCTCAGAATTTGCTTTCTTTTTGCTTTGGAATTTGTTAATGATTGTAATATCATTATGGTTTACTTACTATGAGTGCGGACTTAGGAATCCCATTAGAGGCAGGGAGCTTATTAAGTTACATAGTACCAGCCTATGTTCTGTGATAGAAGTATATTTACTTTATTGCAAGAATAAGGAATTATTCTTGATTTTTCTTATTCTTTAAAAAAAAAAATTACCTTCAGTTACCAGTGCATTCTTTGTGTAGGTAATTCATCAAAAATGTTAAGAAGGGGAATTCACAAGTGTATAACATGATCCAGGATAGCAATAGCATTTAGAGACATATAAAGTTTCACAGCCCTCTCTAAGCGGTTTACAGAGTCAGCATATTGCCCCCAACAATCATTTTAATTATATTGAGATAGTTGTTTACTCCAGTCTACAGCAAAGTTCATTGTATCATTTAACAAAGATAAAAACATTCCTGTCCAGCCATTCTATGTATTATATTTAAATACATAGTTCTAAAGTTTAAACTGAAAAATGATAAGACTCCTAGATGGGAAGGTGCCATACTGAATTTACAACACACATCTATAAGCAGTGAGACATTCATATGCAGTATTCAATCATGTTTTCCCCTTTGGGATGTAGTATATGGATACCTATTAGCATTTTTAATATTTTACAGTATGTACAATTATATTGTATTTGTATACTTCACAGTTTATAATCCAGCTTTAATAACTATTTTTATATCAGAAATGAAATCCCCAAATCACTTATCAGCAACTCTGAGTGTAAAGTCAAGCAATAAAGTTTTACTAAACACCATATAAATAAATTGTACATACACAGCATTGTACTGGGTGGATAGAAATAATTGGGAGTAGGAGATCCTGCAGATGACTAGTACCTGTGCCACAAAGGGCTTTATAGTTGACAATCAGCACTTTTCATTTTATCCAGAAGCTTACTAAAGCAACCAATACAGTTCATGGAACAACAATGACACATGGGCATAATGAGTTATTCACTTTGTATCAGCTGTAGCTTTTGATGATCTTCAAGGGCAGCACCATGTAAAGTGTATTTTATTGCAATATTCCAGTCAGAAGGTAATCAAGGTTTAGTGAGCATCTGAACAGTGTCCCACTTGAGGAAAGGGCACAACTGGTATACAATATGAACCTCCTGGACACAGCTGTCACTTGCTGATTGAGCAGTAGAGGATCCCCAGGTTGTACACCTGCCTTGGAGAAACACCACCTTATCTAAAACCAACTGAAAATGGCACACAGTCAGAGCCACCCAGTCTTATCAAAATTGAGCCAAAATCTGTTCCTCTCTAGACAGCCTCCACATACTGGGTTAGTACATTGATATAGAGATAGACAAATATATATATTTGGCTATATATTTTGTATTTTAATTCCTATTAGACCCTTCAGTACTTTAGTAGGGTGGAACAAAAATAGATAATAACTTTTCAGACCTCCAAAATTTAGTGCCATTTTATTTTTTAGAATCAATGAATATAGAAGATTATAAAGACATAGGCACAGTATAAATACACTAATAGGTTATATCCATGATGGCGAACCTTTGGCACGCATGGCACAGCTGGCATGCAGACCCCTCTGCGGCTACGCCAGCCGTCACTCCAGCCGAGCTCTACCACGCATGCACACGCGCCTCCCGCTGGCCAGCTGGTCTTCGGGTCTCTGCCGTGCATGTGTGGGGGGCAAGGCACATGCGGAGGACGCACATGTGCGGGGGGCAGGGCGCATGCACTGGAGCACTCGCATTACATTTTAGGGTTTCTATCCAAGCCCCTGCCCCCCGTGCCCCATTTTGGACCTGGAAAGCCTCCTACACCAATTTGAAAGCCAAAATGGGGCGCAGGGAGGTTGGGACGCATGCATGAATTTTATCCCATTTTACTACCTTTTTTGCCATTGTAACTTTGAACGGTCACTAAACGAACAGTTGTAAGTCGAGGACTACCTGTATTTAGAAGAGAACAAATATGCTCCGCAAATACATTCCAAAGACTATAATTAAGTAAAGTTAGGCTATAGTTCACGCTATATGCTGGTTGTGAGGAGAGGGAAAATCAGCATGTAGAATATATAATAATATTTACAATTTAAAAAATTATTTTTTAAAAAAAATTATATATATATATATATATATATATATAAAGAAAGAACTTAAGTCACTAGACTTCAAATAACTTTAGACAGCTTACTTTAAAAAAAAGTAGGAAAAATAAATACAAAAAAGAAACAGAACACAAAATGTAACGTTTCTGTAGCTGTTCAATGTGCCACCGGAAGTAGATCAGCTGGGTTTAGGGAATTTAGAATCATACAGGTCGATACTTTCAACCCCACCTATCGCCTTCTGACCTCAAATACTACCGCAGTTCTATCAAAACAACTTCTCACAAATCTGTTGCAGTCTCCAGAGCCGACAGCAGAGGGAACCAAACGAAAAAGCCCAGAGAAAGGCTCTACGAATGTACCATCTTTCCGGGGAGGGTCGGAGACCAACTGCAAAAGCGAATCGGTCTTCGCATCATTAAATTAGGAATCGGAACGAAACACGTGTAAGAAACCCCCTTACGACTTTTCAAAGAGAACGATCCATCCGTAATCGCCATCGCGTTCTCCGCCACTCCTGAAAAATGGTATTTCCCCAACCTGGCCGCGGAAGAGAGAGAGAGAAGCGTGACGTTCGCAAATCCAGCCACCCTTGAGACGCGCCGTTCCGTACTGTACTCCGCTTTTTCCTCCTCCTCCTCCTCCCGCTCCCTCCCACTTACAGTATTTTCCGGCTGTTGCCTCAGTCCCGCCCAGCCGTGGGACACGTCGCCCCTGCAAGAGGTGCAGCTATAGAAAGAGTGACAACGGCGGCGGCGACCCTTTTCGGACGGTGAGTCGGAAAGCAAGCTGGGCTGACTTGGGGAAATGCAGAAGGTGCCATTTGCTCCTCTTCCTTTTTCTGCAAAGGCGGCTGCGAGGTGAGAGGCTGGACTCTCCCCTCCCGCGTTCCTTTCAGGCACAGAGCCCTTTCCCCCACTGAGCAAATCCTCCCCCCTTTTCGTTCCGGGAAAATACGTCGCCCTCGGTTCGAAGCTTTACTTCCCCTTATGGGAGCAGATGTTATCTCAATCCTTGCCACAGAGGACAAAACAAATGGGCGAGGAAGGAGGTCTGTGACGTCCCTTTTCTAAATCTGAGGTCGGAAATTCGTCCAGGTTATTGCAACCCATATGTATTATAATACACCCTTCCGTGTCTTGTCTTTTGTTCTTTGGCTACACGGGTTGGAGCGTCCGGTGATTTCCGAGATTCTACAGGATGCCTCCTGACGCTGCTCTGGTACCAGCTGTTTGTGATCGGTTTGTCTGTGTAACAGCTGTTGGGTTTTGTTTGCTTTGTAGGTAACAGCAGCCTGTCAGCAGCAAAGAGAGAAAAGCTGTTATTGCATCACTGGAGGATTGTTTTCTTTTTTATCTTTCCTGCCTTATGTACACACCATTGTTAGCTGCATACTTTATTGCCGCTGCCTTTAAAAATGTTTAAAGACGCTTAAAGAAGAAAAACTGCTCAATTCCATTAAGCCAGCTCTTTGGACGATGTGATTTCTGCAGGGCAATGCATCACTGTTTCCTGGGTGTAAGCAAAATGAACTAAAGCGGGCAAAGAAAATATATTGCAATATTATCTAGATGTTAAATTATTGGTCTGCTATTATTTATGAAATAGCACTTCTGCCCTTCAACCAAAACTTCTATTTTAAAGCAGTATTCTGTATCTGGTTTTTTTTTTTAAAAAAATAGTTCAGAATAGTCTTCCATTTCTTCATAGTTTTTGCCATCGTTAGATAGCTAAATCCAAGATTGCTGCATATGCAGTGGGATGGACAAGCTGGAATTAATTTGTTTTTCTATCGGTCACAAAAAATAAATAGCCCTGGATAGTATGCATCAATTCTCCAATTAAGCATTTTAATTGTCATGAAAATCAAAGAATTCTATCAGTTGTGACTTTTCATGTTATAGTGTTCATCTGCTAAAAGAGAATGTTGATTTTGGGGCATCTTTTTAAAATTTAATATAAAAGTAGGTAAGTTATGTTCCAAATAAATAGGGTAATATCATCCTCAACTGTTCAAAGTTATAGTGGTGTTGAAAAAGAAACTTTTGACCTGTCTTCACACTTATATTGTTGCATCATCCCTGCAGGCACTTGATTTTGGCAACCAGAATGTATTTATGAGGGTTGTGGCATCTTAGGGTCACACGATCACCATTTGCGACCCTCCCAGTTGGTTTCTAACAAAGTCAATGGGGGTAAACCACATTTGCTTAGTGGCCATGTGATTCACTTAACAACCATGGCAAAAAGGGTGCAAATTCAGGCAGTCATATTATGACTTAATGACCAGATCCAATTGTGGTCATAGGTTTTCTGCTGTGGTCCCCACCCTCATGTGAGATCCATTCCTACACTCCTGGACTTCCAGAAGAGCCTTAAAATTTGGGTTTGCCCCTGCTACATTGGGAATGACTGATGGGGTAGAGAAGATTTTCAACCCACCAAGCTGCCCATCTTGCTTTTAATTTAAAATTTTGTTATTCTTAATTGTGTTTAGCACCTTTTAACTTTTTCTAATATTGTAAGCTACCCAGGGTCACTATATTAGTGAGATGGGCAACATAGAAATGTAATAAATAACTTGAGGACTACCTGCGTTTACCAAGTATGTAGAGCTTCATTTTTTAGAATGCAAGAAACTATCAATATCATAAAGTAAACCTATTATATTTTTATAATAGCAGGATACTAATCCAAAAGGCAAGTTCCAACATTGTTTCTCAAACTTTATGCTTTATGGGGTTGCTCATCAGGTGGATTGTACAGTTCTTTACTAGAGTACATGATCCTGTTTCCAGGACAGTGATAAGCCTATAGTTGATCACTCAGGCCTATCACTTTCCTGGAAGCAGGATCGTGTACTCTAGTAAAGGGCTATAGAGCCCACCTGATGAACAATCCCTAACAGTAGAAAAGTTTGAGAAACAATGTTGGAACCTACAAGGGCTAGCTAATTTATGGCTGGAATAGTTGTTTTACAAGCTTGACCGATCCACTTCATTTTTTATCAGCATTATGTGATCGCTCACTGAAGCATGTCCTGAGTCCTATTGGAGAAGGGCGGTATAGAAATGGAAACAAATAAATAAATAAAAATGTAGCTCCAGAAACATATGTTTGGATTAGACAAATTCATGAAGGAAATTGGCTAGCTCTTGCAATGGTTATATGTTACTTTCAAAATTGGAGCCTATATGCCTCTCAATTCCAATTATTGGTATTTGAGAATACAACAGTGCTCATGTTCTGTTGTCTTCTAAAAGGCATCAAAAGGTAGGCCTTTTATTCACTAAATATATTTTAGTTTAATTGAACAAAAATTTGAAACATTCTTAATTCTAGGCTCTTAATTGAGTTTGCTGTCCTTCCATTAAAAAAATTTCCATTATTATCAATGTACCTGGGGAATAATTTTGTAGTTTCTACTTTTAAATAATAATTACTGGACATAAATCCATCCAAGCATTCTACTGCACTTATAAATCTACTGCACTCAGACAAATTAACACCTACAGCAATCAGAGTAGGAACAAATAGGTAGGTGTGCCATTCATAGCATCTACTTAGATATACACCATTAGATATGAGGAATCTCTATTGAATCTATGTAGGGTAGTTGGAATCCATTCTCAATTTTAATATTTCAAACTAATTTGGAGTAGTCATTCAGGATTCCCAGCAGCTTCTAAAACCCAATCCAGCATATGCATGTACTCTCTGCTGTTTGGGGAATCCTGGGAGTTGAAGTCTGCACAACTTAAAAGTTGCCAAGGTGGAGAAACATGGTCTTAGATAATTGCCTTTCCAATTGCCATGTCCTGGACGTTCTTATTTATAGTAGTTGTATATTTATGTAAATGTGTGCAGATATAAAAACCTTTTTATAGAGATATACCTACAGTTTCAAAAGTAAAACTTTTGAAAAGCTATAAAAGGATTACAGTTAAGCAATTAAAATATGAATATTGCTTATTCCATGCATTACATTTCATGTGGCGAAAAATAAATTATGTCAGAGTGACAGAATGCTAGACTTAAAAGTGAAGTATATGTATTCACATATTGAATTAAGTACGTGATGCTTTTAGTCATGAACTGCAAATGTGTGTAATGTTACAATCCCTACTGTGTAATCCCTATTACAGTGGTAATGCTGCAGATTGAGCAAAAGATCCAAATCAGGATATTGCCTGGCTTCTAGCAATGCTGAAATGAGAAAATGGTTTAAGAGTATGCAAGTAGTAACACAATTGATATAAATGGATACCTTGATACTATTGCTAATATATTTTCCATATTGCTAGGAAAATAGATATTTTATATGTAAAACATTCAGACGGCATTTTATAGAAATATATGTCACATTATTATGTACTAATTTATTATAGCCATCCCACTTCAGAAGGCTCTGAAATCTTTGAAATCTTAACTATTTTATTAGTTATAACATTTCTAACTCTGCTGTGTTTTCAGGCATGGTTATGATACCGATAGCAGTTGCTATGTAAAAATTTACCTCATTGTTTCATAATAGAATGTTTAATAATAATATTGTATAATTGCAATGTAAGAACCACTGATAAAACAATTATTATCAAAAGAACAATCAGTTATATCAAAAACAGATAAAAACAGCATTAAAAACCCACAGCTCATGAACATCATCTGAAAGACAAAGAGCCTGACCAAGCAGGATTGCCCATAGAAAAGAACAGACTTGGCCAGCTTGTCTAATATCCTGGATTATTAGTAGGTCATTCAGTACTTGAATGAATATTCTTTATTATTTTTCTGTCAAGTAGAGAAAGAAAAGCCTTTCCTGAATAATATATTAGAAAAGCTACACCTTGAACAAATTTTATTCCAGAATTTGGTCTGGAAATCAACTGGCAACCAATGAAATTGTTATAACAAGGGAGCAGTATGTGGTAAACAATTTGCCTGTAATTGTCTGAATTCATAGAAGTTTTTGAAGTTATTCAGATATTTAAGACATTGTTGCAATCAATTGATATCACCAAATCTGCGTATTCCATTTTTTTTTTTTTTTACAAAAGCACAGGCAAACTGTAAATGTATTTTCAGTTTGTTGACCCAGTCAACCACTTCAGTTGCATTCCCTCATCCAATCAAGACTCAGTGCCAGGCCTAGATGGTGACAATAATTCATTCAAGCTATGAAAAGAAATAAGAGGTTCTCCCTGATACGTTGTGTTGATTTAAAATGTATTTTCCTAAAATTCACATGAGGAAGATGTAACTGATACTTTCTTAAGTAATTATATGCTGTACTCTCTTAATCTAAGATATCTACTTTTGGTATTGACATTTCATGTGATTTTCTTTAAGTTAATCATTAACTTGATTGTTAATGCAGGAAGAAAATGTTTAATGCTTATATGTAATCCATGAAATAAAATACATTTAATTTAGTGAAAATTAGTTTACTAAACTCATTTCTTTCTTCTGGATATTTATAAAAATAAAGCATAGCTAGAAAATAAAATATGCATTTATTTATATAAATGTGTTTTCATGTTTATATAAATAAATATCAATTTAATATTGAGTATGAGTTGGTCTCAATTCTACAGTTTCATATGAAAGTAACATGAACAATATTTATATCTATTGAGTAGTCTGAATATTGAACTACAATAGCATACCAAAGCTATGGTCCTTGTGTGGTTTTTTTTTTTTTTTTTTGTAAAGTTTATCATTATATGCTGAGCGTAAATTAATTCTTTTAATTTTGATTTTCTGTTTTTATTTAAAATATTTACAGACATATATCTATAAAAAATAAACTTATAAAATGTTTGCTTTTAGTTCCTCAGAGCATTTTGATATGATCATTTAAAATGGATCCAGAAGAGCAGGAGTTGCTTGGCGATTATAGGTACAGAAATTATTCTTCAGCAATTGATAAAGCTTTGAGGAATTTTGAATCTTCAAGTGAATGGGCAGATCTCATATCTTCTCTTGGGAAACTCAACAAGGTATAGTATCTGTCTTTTTAAAGTATAAGTTTTTTTAATAAGATGTTAAGAAAGTAGCAATATCATCTATCTAAGGTATTTTAGTTGCAATATATTCCAATAGTGATGAATAGCTATGAGAGTGGGATCATAAGAAAGGCTAAGAGACAAAAATTTCACATTTTTTGAATTGTGGTATTGGACTTCAAGGAGATCAAATCAGTCAATCCTAAAGGAAATCAATTCTGACTGTTCTTTGGAAGGCTAGATACTAAAACTGAAGCTCAAATACTTTGGCCATCTAATGAGAGAATTCATTGAAAAGACCCTGATTGGGAAAGATTGAAGACAAAAGGAGAAGGGGATGACCAAGGATAAGATGGTTAGATAGTGAAGAACATGAATTTGGGCAAACTGAGAGATAATGGAGGACCGGGGGGCGGCTGGCGTGCTATGGTCTGTGGGTCAGAAAGAGTCCAACATGACTTAGCAACTGAACAACAAGTATAATACTAAAAACCTACAATAAAATATCTCCTATAATGAATAATAACAAAGAGGCTACTAGCTGTTCAACTAGCTTAAAACAGAGAACATTCACAAAAATCGGATTTCTCTGTATTAGATTATTTCTAAATACAATGAAGATTATTTTTTAAAAAAATTTGATTTATATGCCGCCCTTCTCCGGAGACTCAGGGCGGCTTACAATGTGCTAAGCAATAGCCTTCATCCTTTTGTATATTTATGCAAAGTCAGCTTATTGCCCCCACAACTGGGTTCTCAATTTACCTACCTTAGGATGGAAGGCTGAGTCAACCTTGAGCCTGGCGAGATTCGAACCTGCAGTAATTGCAGGCAGCTGGTCTTAATAACAGGGTGCTTTAGACCACTGTACTACCAAGGCTCTTCAAGTACAATGAAGGAATATTTTTCAAATACTTGAAAACCTTTTTGTCTGTAGGAAGTCATATGTGCATAAGAGAATGGAGTCTAAAAAGAGATTGAAGTTTACCATTCATAAATGTTATTATTGGGAAATAGTTGGTTTTTACTGTATATATTTGGGTGATCCTTTCCAGTACTAAATACAGTGAGATTAAAGTGAGAGCTCCTGTCTTTCTACCTCTTGAATGAGTATATTGGCTACAGTCGTTTAAAGGTCTTTTGGTTTCTTCAATATTTTTAGGCTACACATAGACATCATACTTATATTTTATTTCAGATTTTAAATAAATAAATAACTCAGCCTTCCATCCTTCCGAGATAGGTAAAATGAGGACCCGGTTTGTGGGGGCAATAAGCTGACTTTGTATAAAATAGAACACCTCTTGGGGGGGGGGCAAAAGCCCTACTAAGCAGGTATATACAAAAGTATGAAGGCTATTGCTTAAAAGCATTGTAAGCCGCCCTGAGTCTCCAGAGAAGGGCGGCATATAAATCAAACTAATAAATAATAAATAAATAAACTTTATTGTCATTGTACGTGTATATACAGTATACCCATACAACGAAATTCACTTAACACCCAAAGACCAGGTCCAACACACATAACAATCCCCAAACACAATACATTATCAAAGAACATTTCATTGTATATTTTCCATATATGTTTATTTTCTTCCAATGTAATTGCAGTTCTAAAAATGAAGCTTTCTTATTTACTACATGACTGTTTTCTTTTTCAACTGATATTTATTTTGATTAGTGTTGCTGGTAAAAGAAATTCTTTGGGAAGATACTTTGTATGGGATTATAATTAATTCTGTTGGTTTCTCTAGAAAATTAACAAATCTAGGTGAATGCGGTGCCCAGGTATAATGACTAGTTAGGTTCAAAAATATATGCTCTCTTTGTACTTCTTTATATCAACGTCAGTCATAAATATTTTAATACTTACTTGACTGGAGAACGGAATCATTATTTTAGTAACTATTAAAAGAGAGCTCTGTAAAATGGTTATTTATTTTTATAATAGTTTCAGTGCAGTGTTTTCTACTCCTGCAGAGAAAGAAAACAACATACAGTATTTCTTATGTTGTAGTTAGCCTGTTGTGTTTATGTTTTTAAAAAATTTTCTCAACCTCTCCCATCCCACCCTTTTCAGATATGTGAGAGTAGCTATTTTCTGCAGGTCATTATAATACTTGAAAAATGTTCACCAGATAGGTAAGCATTCTTGACAGTTGCAGTATTTGTTCTTGCTGGTTTATTTGACAAAAGTTATTATTTCTAAAATCTCGTAATTGGTTTAGGGATTTAATCTGGTGAAGTGATATATTAAATAATAAATATAGAGATTGCCAATATACATCCATGGGTTTTGTGATCAGTTTTTATAAAGATCTCTGGAACTCTGTTAAAGAAAATCTCTGCATTTTAATTCTCTAAAATAAAAATATAACTACAATTTGGTTTCTAATTCATACTAATTTAAATTTAATATGTAATTCTTACTTAATTATTTTACAGGCTCTTCAAAGTAATTTGAAGTATTCCCTTTTACCAAGACGCTTGATTATCAGTAAAAGGTTGTCCCAGTGTTTACACCCAGCATTACCTAGTGGAGTGCATATAAAAGCACTGGAATCCTATGAAGTAATATTTAAAATTATTGGAACAAAATGGCTTGCAAAGGACTTATTTCTCTACAGGTAAACTTTGAGGATTTTTAAAGCCTAGTTTTATTGACAGTCCTCTTTCTACTTATCTTCTAAGTAAGGTCCAGCTAGTGTTAATTGCTTTTAGGAATCTTTATTAATTAGTGTGTAAGGTTAAACCATGCTTAGTATGGAGGAATATACTATAGCTTTAGAAATACAAACACCAATTGCCTCCCTTCCTTCGGCTTTGGCTATTTAGAAAACACCAGATCTCTTTTAATTATAGCTTTGCTTGCATTTTAATTGTGATTAATATAACTAATCAATTTAATCAACTATGGTAGACTAGTTTTGAGAAATAGCACTAATGAACAATCATAAATTCCCTGGGTTTGTGGATCAGAACATTTTGTAATTAAAATATTATCTATCTATCTATGTCTGTCTGTCTGTCTGTCTATCTATCTATCTATCTATCTATCGTGTTTCCCCAAAAATAAGACCCTGTCTTATATTTTTTTGAACCCCGAAATAAGTGCTTGGCCTTATTTTCAGGGATGTCTTATTATTTTGGGGCACGTGGAGCAAGACGGGGCTCTTCTTGCCGTCTTATCTGGTTTCCAGCTCTGTCTCCCTAACCCTAACCAAAGGAAATGGCGGGGACCAGCTGCGCATGCGTTTAAATATTTTCGGGAAGGGCTTATTTTCGGGGGGGGCTTATTTTAGCACATTCACTCAAAAGCCCAATTGGGCTTATTATCAGGGGATGTCTTATTTTAGGAGAAACAGGGTATCTATCTATCTATCTTATCTATTATATATATATTAATTACAAAACTTCCATGTTCTCAAAAAGCGGAGGACAGATTCATAGCAGCTTGTTCTCATAATATGTTTATAATTCAATATCCAAGATAATACAGGCAGAGATTGAATTTTCCCTATCCCTCTCTGTGTCTCTCCAGTTCAGGCCTTTTTCCATTGCTTGGAGTTGCAGCACTGTCAGTGAAACCTGTCTTGCTCGATTTGTATGAAAAATATTTTCTCCCACTTCAGAAATCTCTCCTGCCCAGTCTTCAGGCCTTCTTAATTGGCCTTTTGCCTGGTTTGGAGGAAGGGTCAGAATTCTATGACAGGTAAAGTATTTCTTTCACATAAAAATTAAAATAATAAATACATTTTAACTCTCTTTTCATTCCATACCTACAATGGGAACCAGAGAAAGATGAGTGACGAAAAATAAAGCCAGGAATGCAGTACTGCATACTCTTCTTTTATTTGGTCAGGGCCATGTATTAAGCAGAAGCTTCAGTGCAGACAATCAGGTTTTTCCTGGTACATGCTGGAGGAAAATTATTGGGAGATGTCTTTCCACTAGAAAAGTTCTGGTCCAAACCAGAAAACGTTTTCAGCTTATCATTTATTATCATTCTCAACCAAGTATTTTATATTTCAAACCTTATACTCTGCCTTTTTGAAGAAAAAAGCAAAAAAAAAAAAAAGTTAAAGGTTATGCTAAGTAACATATGCAACCGATCATAAATTGCAGTCATGATGAAGAAAAATTGAAAATGGAACATTTTGAACATATATATAGTTTATTAAATGAACCAGAAATCTGTATTCACACCATAGTTTATAATCCACAGTGGCTAGATTAATTCAGTATGCTAACTCAACATCAAGCAAGCTATGACTTAAATCAATTAAAAGTTTCACTCAGCAAAAAAAAATCAGTAGATTAAGATTCAGTTCTCTTCCATTTAGCTTTCACATATATAGTAGTTTAGGAGTTAAAACCCAATAGTAGAAACAGAGACCAGTAGATCCAAATATTGATGATTCTTCAACCTAAATCTAAGATTGCTTTATCTACAAGGTTCATGAAGTTGTTGAATAGTTTAGAGAACAAAGTGGAAGCCTGTGGATATAAGTATAAAGCAAAGAGATTATCACTTATCTCCCCTCCTTGGAACAAGAATAATTACACAATTTCCATCCCATAATAATATGGTCAATAATACCAAAGAACTTTTAAGAGATCCAGAAAAACTAAAATAGTTATTATCCCCCACCTGACCAGGCCTCATCCTACAAATCCATAACCACTCTTGCTATTTCAGATAGTTTCCATCATAACATTAGGCTGAAAACAAGACTTAAAAGGATTTACCTCATTTAGATGAAATGTCTGTTTTCAGAGTTCTCAGAAAATTCTTATATGAGCTTTTACTGGTGTACCTTTCTCTGTAAAGATCTTATAAATCAATCTTAGATTTGAAGTGAAAGCCTATATCTTCAATGTGGGACCACTGTAGTTTAGAGGTCTCTCTTCTTTTTTCTTAGGAATTTTTCTAAACATTGCAAAAATACATTATTTAATATGTATAGTATAGATTTCAACATCAGCATGTGCCAAATTAATTTATTTTAATTTTGTAACTGCATAATCTCTTTTCTTGTTTTACAGGACTGATGCTTTGCTTGTGAAGTTGTCCCTTGTAATTGGAAAAGAAGTGTTCTATTCTGCCTTGTGGGCCAGTGTCTTGGTTAGCCCTTCTGTAAGACTACATGCTTCCCTTTTTGTTGTCAGTCATATCAACAGAGCAATACCTGGAAAGCAGCAGAATTATATAATGGGGACTGATCCTAATCTCACAGTAGGTTAAATAAATAATCTTTGTTTTTATATGATAAATAAATAATGAAGAAAAATGGAAAATTGCAGATAAAATCATACAATTTGGGAAGAAATATTACTCTTCAATTGTTGCATTTTCATTATTTTCTTAGTTAATTGTTAGTTGGCACTAACATACAGTACCTATGTATATATCAAGGTCACTATTATGAGATGGATGGCTCTATAAATCATATAAATAAATAATTGAATCCCTATGAAACGTGCATTAGGATAATATATTCTGGTAGAAGTGCTTCCTCCTTTAACTGCTTTGAAAAGAAAGCCTTTTATAAGGCAATTAATGCAACTGGAGGCAAATGTTCCATTTTCTGTGCAATGCATAGCAAATACATACTCATTAAAATTAAGTTTATTACTCAAGTTACAATTTGTATGTTCTGTCCATAACCATCATGCTAATTAGTTCCCTTGACTGCATTCTATGGAGGTTTGTGTAAAATTTAAATATTAATTCATTGTTCAAGGATGCGTAAGCCCTTATGTAACTATTTATGCAACATGGACATGGAGAATGCATTCATATGCCCATCATAATATTCCCTTTCTGTAAGCAACATTATGGGCAGCACAGAAAAGGAATAATATATAATAAGCCAAAGAAGTACAGAAGAGGAAAAAGATAAAAATTAATTGCATTTAGTTTATATCAGTCTCATTCACCACATTTCTGAATATCATTCTATCCTTGTTGCTACCACATCCATAGGTCACTTCACTTTTTTACTGATTTTTCACTTCTCTCACGTCCACACAAGCACAACTTTCTTTGTCACTTCATATATTTGTCTTGTGATTTGATTCTCATAGTTCTCTTCATATACCCAAATCACTACAGCATTCTTTGATAATGATCACTTAATTCTATATTCAGTCCATATTATTTCAGCATCCCTTCCTTCCTGACCCTAATTAAGATGCCCATCTGGTTAAAAACAAGAAGAAATAGCCATTGCTATTGCAACCTATTATGTGTCTCCTACCATATTGAGCTATTATTTAGATGTAATAGAATGGGAGGAAGTAAGCTGTTATATACAACAATTTTAAGTTCACTCCTTGTTTTATTTTAATTATTCATTACATGCAGTAAACCACATACTGCTATCGTATTTCTGCCAGCTTTTTTAACCTTAAAATTCCTCCATCCGTTTTAACATATTTAGTAAACATGTTAACAAAAAACACAAATTCATCTAGTTGGTCTTGATTTTCACATTTATGTGCCATTTGCAATTATTCAATTCATTTTCTCTACAACCATTGGTTTTGATATATTAATTATATATTTCATGTACTTTGTTGCATCATACAGTTTGTATAACATTTAAGTAAATCATTCAGGTTTTCAGTCAGCAACTTGATAATATTGCATATAGAAGCATTCATACATTGATAACCTCAGATAATTTCACCTTAATGTCACCACATACATTCTTTATACATTTGCCAATAAGTGCATTAAACAAGCAAGGGCCATAATGCATTCTTACCTTACTCCTTGCTCAGTGTTAAATCATTTGTCATTATGAGTGCTTTGCTTCCATTATTATCTGGTCTTTCTTATACATTTGGCAATCAACATTCAATCCATATTCATGGAAATATCCAATAATTCAAATTTATTCACTTTATAATATACTTTACTCAACAATCAACAAACATAATTACATTTCTTTCTCATATTCACATATTTCTCAACTATTTCTTGCAAAAACAAAATTATAGTGAAAATTATTTCCTGCCTGGCACAAAGCTGTCCCACCCTTCCAAACTTTGTTCATTATATCTTTCTGCATATTAAGTATATTTTAGTAGGTATGCCTCCTGTTTTGGTGAAATTCAGGCAATAGTATGTTGATGCCTAAAATAGTCTCTGAATTACTACTCTAGCTTGCATAGAATAAATAGGATTAGGATTAGGATGAAATTTGGTTTTTGAAATTTCTAATATGTGGACAAGGATGTCCAAATTTGCTAGTACTGTTAGTTGGGAATGTTGGATGTAACATACAACTTGGCTTATACTTTTTTTGCTAAAGAACGCTTGTGTTTACTGAAAATGAGAATACAGTTATTTCACATAATGAACCATTATCAAGGAGCAGGTTTGTGAAAGAGAGAATACTATACTTTTAAGGATTCTTACCAACCTGTTTACATGAGGAACTTAGTTCTTTTGAATGGACTTTACCTTGAATTGTGGTTGTTGCTTCGGTTTATGTCCAAAATAATGTCTCTTAGAAGTTTGTCAAACATAAATTCAGAAACTTTGACTGAAGCTTTTAATCATGGCCTTTTCTAGTACTGGGCCTGCCATATATTCTTTGGGCTGCAATTGGTACAAAATGCTTCAGTTCAGTAATTTACAGATGTTATCTGCAAGAAAAAATCTCTTCAGTGATTGCTAATAGGTTTCTATCGAGTGTAATTCAAAATGCTACAGGTATTGACCTATAAAGTCAAATGTGATTTGCATCAATATATTGTATCTTCAGGACCACAACCTCTACTTTGAATCAATCTCTCAGTACAATTATCCCAAAGTGATCATTGATGATCCCTCTTCAGAATTCTGTGTTATTAGGAAGTAGGAATAGTCTGATATAGGAAATGATGCAGTCTCATCTTTTTTATGATTAGGAGATTATTTGAAGTTTGTAAGTATTGTTTATAAAATTGTTCATAATGATTTATTAATTTAATTATTGTATGAGATAATTTATTTAGATGTTACTAATTTTGGTAATTATGGATGTGGAATGTTAATAGCATCATTTTCATAGTTCTACTTGCTAAGATATTTAATTGTCTATTGTTACATTATATTGTAGAAGCTTTATATGTTGTTATAAACTGTCATGAGTCAGATTGGAGTTGGCAGCAAGCAAATAAGATAAACAAATACATTAATGTGAGCAAATATATTAAGTGTATAAATACATTAAGTTTTGATTGTTAACAAACTATTTCCACTCTGAAAAATTTGACCTCCCCTCTTATTGTATGCCAGCTCTTAAAAAAAAAGTTGCTAACATATCATTTTGTCTTTAATTGTTGAATAATTTAACATGATTCTGAGTTTAAGGTATTGTTCTATTATTCCTTTTCAATGGACACATTCCTCAAATAATTTGGGGAAGGGAGTCCACAAAAAAATCCCTGTATCATCTTATTTTTTAATTAGCTGAGGAAACGTTTTCTTTCTTTCTTTTTTTTCATTCAGAATGTAAGTTAATTAATTTTCTGATTACGGTGTGGAAAAAGATTTAAAATTGAGAACTGCTGGATTTTAAAAATCAATTCCTACTACACTTTTGTCATGAAGTGCTAGTCTACAGAGCAAAAGGAAATGATCAATCTACTGGGGGTTATATCAAATGTCATTTCACTTTTTTTCTAGATACAAGCTATTTGTGTGTCAATGCTGGATTCAAATGTTCTTGTACAAAGAAACACTTTGGAAGTGGTTCTCTTCTTTTTCCCATTATATTCTTCTTTGGTAAGCAAATTATTTTTATTCAATTATTTTTGACTTTCCCAAAGGTGCTTTTCAAAAGGCAATTGGACTTCCTTGGATTTTTTTCCTTGAAAACGTTTTGCTTCTGTAAATAAGCATCCTGATTCAGGTGACCTTGAGATTACAGATAAATATCTAAGTAGCCTCAATGACTCAGAATGCTAATGGTGACCTTCAGAGTATTAATGATCAGATGACTGCAAAGAATATAAATTCTTCTATTCCCCACCATTCAGTCAGAACTGAAGAAGCTTCTTGGATGAGAAGTGAAATGTTTTCAAGGGAAAAAAACCAAGAAAGTTCAGTTGCCTTTAGAAAAGCACCTTTGGGATAACCATGACCTGGATGATTGAATATTTATCTCCGTTCATATTTACCTTTGTTTACAAAATATCATGGAAGATTCCTGGTAAGATTACTCCTATGTATATTTGTGTTCAATAACTAGTTGTTTACTATTTAAGACAAATCAAGGTATCAATAACATATATTTGGACAGACTTCACTGTAACAAATCATTAGGTTCTGGTGGTATCCACTTGAGATAGTCTTGATTCATTGTTATCTCCAAGTCAACAATGAGGGTAGCATTTCTCCAAAGCCCAACTGAGAGAAATTTTTATTATTTATTTATTTATTTATTGAATTTGTATACCGCCCAACTCCCGAAGGACTCAGGGCGGTGAACAGCCAAATAAAATACATATAATACAAATGTTAAAAAACCATTAAAATACAATTAAATAATTGGCCCGGAAAACGAAATTTAAAACACCCCAAATTCATAAGACAAATTTAAAATTTAAAATTTTTTAAAAAATTTAAAAACAGTTTAAAAAAGAGGTTAGGCCAGGCCAGCCTGCTGGAAAAGAAATGTTTTGATGGCACGGCAGAAAGCGCGCAGGTCCGGGATCCTCCGTATCTCCAGGGGGAGCTCGTTCCAGATGGCGGGTGCCCCCACAGAGAAGGCTCTCCCCCTGGGGGCCGCCAGTCGACACTGTTTGGCCGACAGCACCCTGAGGAGCCCCTCTCTATGGGAACGTACTGGTCGGTGAGAGGCTACTGGTGGCAGAAGGTGGTCTCGTAGATACCCCGGTCCTAAGCCATGGAGCGCTCTAAAGGTGGTAACCAAAACCTTGAAGCGCACCCGGAAGACCACCGGGAGCCAGTGCAACTCGCGCAGGAGGTGGGTCACATGGGAGCGCCACGTCGCTCCCATAACCACCCGCGCGGCCGCATTCTGGACCAGCTGGAGCCTCCGGGTGCTCCTCAAGGGGAGCCCCATGTAGAGAGCATTGCAATAATAGTGGGAGAGAGGAACTGGCTAACTATTATGAAAAACATGGATTAAAATGTATCTTGGGCCAATCTAACAAGGTAACTTTTATTCTAATGAATAATTTTGTTTGGTTCTCATTTTCCAACCCACTATTCCCACAGAAAATGAAAAATTAATTTTAAAAAATATTATTTTTAATACATATCTTATTGTTTTAATGCATTTATTTTAACGATTTTTATATTTCTAAACTGTTTCAACTGCTTTGCTGCTTTAGCTTCCCATGAAGCTAAACTGTGGCTTCATGGTAAGCAATATAGCAATATATTGTAAAAAATCAATAATAACGTATTGAAAAAAATCAATAGCTTAATAGGGGCAGGTACAAAACAATAGCTTATAGGCAACCTACTACTGTCTAATACAATTCTCAGACATTTCTTTACAAATTGTGAATTATGTACAGTATAGAAGTATGAATTGTGTGAATGATAACATTCTTAATGCCATCCCCACAGAAAATGAAAAATGAATTTTAAAAAATATTATTTTTAATACATATCTTATTGTTTTAATGCATTTATTTTAACAACTTTTATTTTATATTTCTAAACTGTTTCAAGATGTGGCTTCATGGGAAGCAATATAGCAATATATTGTAAAAAAATCAATAGTAACATATTGAAAAAATCGATAGCTTAATAGCTTATAGGCAACCTACTACTGTCTAATGCAATCCTCAGACATTTCTTTACAAATTGTGAATTATGTACAGTATAGGAGTATGAATTGTGTGAATGATAATATTCTTAATGTTGCTGGTATTGTGTGGTTTTCTTCTGCATTTTCTGCTGTGCTTTAGTTTTTGTTAAAAGACATGTGGTTTCAGCTGACTTGTTGATTCTTTGTTTAGGACCCAAATGAGAGTGCTATTCCATTGCATAGATCTGATGTGGTTCATATTCTTTCAGCAGCTGCACAAACTCTCTTAAGAAGAGATATGTCACTAAACCGAAGACTATATTCATGGTTGCTAGGTATGGTACCACATATAGTTGGGGGTTTTTTTTGCATTCTTTAATTATTCTGAAATTATTTTTCAGAATAAGGTAGGGGTTGAGATATTAAATCTCAAATAGTGTACAGTAATCTAATTTATATTCTTACAAAGAAATATCTGTTATTCTTTGTCCTCAAAATACTTCCCTGGAAAGGAAGTATCATGTGCATATCAAATGCAACAGAGCTGAAGATAACTGATGCAATCCTAATGGCAAGAAATAGCGGTGGAGCAATAGGAAAAGAAATGTTCATGTTTTGCTATCATTTCTTGTTTTATTAATTAAAACTATAATGCTATATTGTATATTTTTTCTTGTTACAATTATCTTTTTTTAAGGTTCTGATATCAAAGGAAGGGCTTCTGTACCAGAGCTATCTATTAATGCATCCTTAGAAGATTATGGCCACATTTTTTTTGAAAAATACTCCAAAGAACTTTTAGTTGAGGTAGGTCCATATTATACTCTTTAAAAGATGACTTCATTAAGTGGTGACAGTCTAATATTAGATTAATAAATTGTTGTTGCTACTGGTTCTGGCTACTATTATATAAAACCAGCTTTCAGAATCTTAAATGGAAAAGTGAAAATTCAGACACTCGGCAACTGACTCATATTTATGATGTTTGCAGTGTCCCAGGGTCATGTGATTATGTGACCTTCATGTGAAGGTCACATGATATTGTGACCTTCTGACAAGCAAAGTCAATGGGGAAGCCAATTCACTTAACAATCATGTTACTAACTTAACAACTGCAGTGATTCAGTTAACAACTATGGCACGAAAGGTTGTAAAATGGGGCAAAATTAACTTAACAAATGTCTCACTTAGCAACTGAAAAGTTGGACTTAATTGTGATTGTAAGTTGAGGACTACCTGTATAATGGAATAGTGCTTGAAAAAGCAAGATCAAAAAGAAAGCGATGAAAAATCTGGAAACTAGGAGTAAAAGTATCTTCTGATTGATTTTCTGATACGGGCTGAATTAACTGCAATTGTCCTTTTCTCTTCCTAAAATTTTAGTTCCGTTCAATTTAAATGCAGTGTTTTCCTTCTCCTACAGGAGTTAATTAATTTATAGTGTCATTTTAAGAATAATGTTGAATTTTTCAAATTAATTTATTGGATTTTTAATAATAAATAATTACTAATAAAAATTAGCTAAAATTATTTAAAAGGCAGAGAAAAACTAATTTGCACGGTTGTCAATGTTTTTTTCTTTGATTAATAGGGTTTAATTGAAATACTACATCAGAAATTTTCAGAATCTGACTTGGAAGAACAGCACCATGCATATTTGAAGCCATTCCGCATTCTCATAAGCCTACTTGACAAGCCTGAAATAGGTAAGAGAAAGAGAAACTTTTCTTCAAGAACTAAATGTGCTAAATCATTGGACAAACACAGGTTTCTATTGAAAAGCATGTGATAATTTACCACTTGACATAGATGCTGGTCAATCATTTAAGTTAACATTATCTAAATACAACTTCAATGTTCTTCAATATTTCTTACATTCATTATTAATTTGAATACAGCATGGAAAGAAATACTATACATCTCTCCATAGCTTGTTTTCTGATATTCCTATCTTCATTCAGAGACATAACATATTCTATCATACTTAATTACTGCTAGGTGTCTGTCATTGTTTGAGAAAATGGTTTAGGCTAGGGGTTCCCAACCCCTGGATCGTGGCCTCACTACCAGGTGGCGCAAGCAGTGGGCGAGATGTGTGCATGCACAGCTCCACTTGCTCAAGCAGTAGGTGCTCATGCACGAAGGTCCATTTGCATGAGTGGCAGGCGCTCATGCCCAAATGGAGTTGCATGCACTCACACACATGCCTGCCGCTCACACAGAATCATCCCTCTCCCTCCTGCCGGTGCACCAAGCCAGGAAGGTTGAGGACTTGGTCTGAGAATAGACGTAACAAATGAAAAAGTACATAGAAACCAGAAATCTGATATTAAATTTCCTTCATAAAAGCATAAAAAAGAACACTTGCATAATTCAATTGATGTATCAACTGAGGCTGCTGCTTCTGCAAAATAAATATAGTTAACATAAAACTGATCTATGTGTAATATTGAGATTCTGTTCTAGTCACATTGCTAATCATATGTGTGAAATCCTAACAATGTTCTTAAATTTACTGTATGTAATAATACATTGAACTGCAAAGAAGAAGTTGTGTCAATATAACTTTATAGTAAGATTATTCACATGTGTAAATAAGTCTTTAAATATTGGATTCCTTTATATTTCCCTTATTGTAGGCCCACTAGTCATTGCGGACTTGTTTCTTGAAGTGATCAGAGCATTCTATAGATATTGCAAGGAAACATTGGGTTCTGATCTTAAACTTAGCTATAGTCAAACTGGGAATGTCCTTACAAGGTATAGTTTGTTTTCTGTTTACTTAAGTAGCTAAATAAATAAATAAATTATACATCGATTATTTTTTTCCGGTTGCTGGATACTGCTGCTATATTTCTGATCAGAATTACATATTTTCATGTATCCAGTTCTTCAAAACATGCCTTGAAAGTAATTTGAGCATTTTGCAAGCTAAGGTAGTGTCCTTTTCTACTGCTAAAGGAGACTTTCTATGGGGGTCTCTGCTAAATTAGTAGTTGCAAAAGTCTATCAGAAATATGAATTTGTCTGTGTTAACATAAAACCAGTTTGTTACAATGGCTAAAGGCATTGGGGTAGAAACTGGGAGACCGTGAGTTCTAATTCTGTCTCAGTCATAAAGTCAGGTGATTTGGAACCAGTCACTCACTCTCAGTTCAAGGAAGAAAACAGTAGCAAATCACTGCTAAACATATTACCAAACTGATTGCTTTTATCCATGAAGTCTCAAAAGAACCAATACTGACTTGAGGGCAAAAAAAGTAATAATGGCTTAACAAGTTCATCTGGATAAGTTCATCCATAAAGCTGTTGTGGCTACTGCTACTGGACATACTTAAAGCAATTTAATTGAAACAGTGTATTCCCAGTAATCTTAATAAATTGAGATTCTTTAATCCCCTGGAAAAATGCTACAGAATTAGCAGTTAAAATGTCTATGGAGGTTCTTAGTCATCCAGGTCATGGTTGTCCTAAAGGTGCTTTTTCAAGAGGCAATGGGGCTTTCAGAAAAAGGACTACCAGTTAAAATAAACCCCATAATACTGCTTGAATGTAAAAGAAGAATGGTTATGTTGGAAAAGAGTGGTGCTAACCTTGGCCCATCCTATAACTCAGACTTAAATTTTAGGACAGGTATGAATTTAAGTTTTCAGCTTCATTTCTGAATATCTAGTTACACGTTTTGTACCATCACCTTAAAATATGTTTATTTATTATTAACATAATATGCCTTACTTTAAAAATATATTTCCTCTGCATATATTTACTAAATACTGTTGATTCTCTTTTTAGTGCAATAAAAGAAAACAAGAATGCATCTGAGATTGTTAAAACAGCTAACATGTTGATCACATCCTTAAATACAGATTTTCTGTGGGATTATATGACTGGTTGCATTGAGGACTGCTTAAGGTAGTTACAGATCTTGTATTTTTGCTTTGGAGATAAGAGAATAATAGGGGAACAGTAATAAATTTATCTTAAATTCAGAATACAAATGCCATGCAATATCACTGCTTTGCAAGCCACATTGACTTCCAATAAATTTCAGAGTACCATCTCAGGCAACTATCTGTCTCTCATCTTTGTTGCTTGTCTCTGCACCCTTTCTAAACTTTCAACATATTTTTTATATCATGGTAATCAAAACTGGACACAGCATTCCAAGTGTAGTTTTATCGTGCAGTATAAAGTAGTACTGACCTTGATATTATCTGTTAATGCAGCCTAGAACTGCATTGGGGTATTTTTGGCAGTTGCACCGCACTACTGGCTCATATTTAAGTGGTACTTCTAGATCCCTGTCACAGTTACTGCTGTCTCACCACTGAATTGCATTTTAATGAATAAGACCCAGTGTACAAGCCAATCAAGATCCTTCTGGATCTTGAGCCTATCTTCTAAAGCAGGGGTCCCCAACCCCTGGTTTGCAGACTGATACTAGAACACGGCCCATTTGGAATCAGGCAATGCAAATGAAGGGTTCACATGTGAAACTATCACCTGCCCCTGCTGTCCCACTGCCACTGTCAGTCTGCAGAGCCAGAAACGTTAGGAATCATTGTTCTAAAGTGCTGGCTATTCCTCCCAGATTAGTATCATCTGCAAATTTGATCAATTCCCCTTCTATCCCAAAATCTAAATATTTTATGAAGATGTGTATGAGTACTGGCTAAGACAAAATTGCATGCTTCTCTCCATGTAGAAGTAGTTACATTGAGGACTTCATGTTGAGTGTGGTTGGTCAGCCAGTTACAATTGGTGACATTTTACCCATTATTGTGAGATGTAGCCCATCCCCTTCCAGAAACCCCTCATGTAGGTATTATAGACCATAGTCTAGGATTCCAAAGTTCTCTCAGTGGCATCATCTTCTAAGCCAGTAATTTACTTCAAAAGTTCTGTGTTCCCTTGTTGGATGCCTACCTTTCGTTGGGAGTAGAAGAAAATACCACCTGTAGTCCCTTTTTTTTCCCTGTGCAATTGGTATCCTTGATGATGTCTCCTCTTCAGGTGTCTGCACATTTTTTTCCAAGGAAAGGTTATGAAATTGATCGTTTAGCTCCAGTAGTGCTAGACTGGATTGAGTTTGAGGTTTTTTCCCTTCTATGAATGACAATTTGTCATTGGCCTGTCTGTAAAGGTTCATTTTCTGTGTTAGTTAATTGTTCCTTATTATGTTCAGTTTCAGTACAATCTTCTTCCTTTGGTTGGAGTTTCTCATTTTGTTGATTGAAAGGGAAGGAGGGGGGAGGGGAGGAGGGAGGAGGTTTTTGATGTTCCCGGCAAAATTCCCACAAGGAAGCTCAATGGGGAAGCCAGCAGTAAGTCAGAAGTCACTCCTGTACCCACTGTTTTTTTGCCCACCCAGGGTCATTCTTTTCTCTTTATATAAGTAAATATCTATGAAACAATGACCCAACAGAGCATAGGTTACCTAATATCTACTAAAATATGCTTTCTACTATGTTTTAGAAAATACTGTGCTTGATTTGAGAAACAAAAGAATAGTATCTAGAGAAAATGGGTTTTAAAAATGTCTTTGGAAGAACCACATAACCAGTTCAATGTATGTTTTATGTGCTACTGTTTTTAATTGCATTTCTATTGAAAATTGCATTATGATCAAACTTGAATGAAAAGGCTTTTTTTTAAAAAAAAGCCATCTTTTTTTCAGCGACAAAAATAAATCCACACAGACACAACTGCTAACTAATGATGCAACAATTTCGGAACTCTGCACATTAACAGTATTTCTTCTAGATGTGATACCACTGGTAAGTCAAAATGTTTAATTTTGTCTCTTAAGCCATTTATGTAAATTATTTCCTCAATATGTATAGATGTGTTCTACTTGCCAAAGGAAATCTTTATGCAGGGGTATAGTTCCACTATTTAGAGTTATTTTTTGATATAATATATTTCTATGCTATGTTAAATTATAAAAACATTTAATGTCATTCTACAAAACAAGCAGCAATCAGCAGAAAGGAATAAAACTACAAAACAATTCAGCTAATCAACAAATAACATAAAACTTGAGATAAGAAAGACCACTTGCAGCTGAAATTTATTCTACAGTTCGTAACCAATATCTTTACCTTATTCTCAAGACATAGATTTGTGCTATCACCAAGAATTGGTTTTCATTATGCTTACATTCTGCTTCAATTTTATAGCATGTCTAAATTAAATAGTCTTTAGGAATGTGGACAGAAATTATTATAATTCATAATTTCATTTGTTTACTTACACTGTTTAAATCATAGTTACTAATATTCATTGTTTAATAGCAATTTTTTATCCTTTTGAAACAATATATTCAGTTATTCATAATTAATGACAGGAAAAATGGCACAATATACCCTCCATGACATCTGTAAACCCTTTGTTTATTGATATGTATTTTATTCTTATTTTTTTCCTACTGCATCTTATTTGTTTATATGTATTCAATAAAAAAGAGAAAAAATATAAAAAGGAAAAAATCTTATTTTCATTAGCCAAACAAGTGGGATTTTTTTTTTAAAAAAAAAAATTGATTTATATGCCGCCCTTCTCCGGAGAGTCAGGGCGGCTTACAATGCGCTAAGCAATAGCCTTCATTCTTTTGTATATTTTGCAAGCAGGAATAACTAGAAGGACTTTTGGAGGCCTTAATATCCAGATAGTTCTTTTTTTTTATTGAATAGCCCGAAGGCCTTTTCAAAAAAAAAAAAGATAAAGATAAAACAAACAGTTACAGAAATAACAATCTAAAAATATATGATATATGACATTTAAAATTTAACAATATTGAAGTTCAGTAACTAGATTTCCAAAACTAGATAACCCAAATAAGATAGCTCCTCTCTAACTCAGCTCATCTCTCTTATAATCAATGAAATTCTTTTCGATATAACTGGCTCGTATTGCTGTCATCCTTTTAAGGTAGCGAGTAATAGCCCTTACCAGGGGAGGAGAATCTGCCTTCAATAGAAATGATAATTTATGCCTTACATTCCAGTGGGGAAATTTATTTATAATTGGGGACAGATATTGTTTTCTTACTTCCTCATACAACCTACATTCAAATATTATATGCGCCGTATCCTCCACAACGTTTGCCCCACATATACATGTTCTTTCGTCATACGGGATTTTCCCATAACGGCCGAATTTGACATTGGTATCTAAAAGTTCAAATTTAAACTTGACAAATAGCTCTCTCTCCACTGATGACATTTCTAGATGTAAATATTTTTCCAGGGTAAAATTTGTTTTAACTTCTGTCAGAAGCTTAAGGGAGTGATTAGTTGAAAGAGTTGCCATGTCCATTTGCCCATGTATATTTTTAATCCATTGTTTAACTTGCTTCAGTGTATCACACAACGGGAACCCTATGCCATATCGATTCAATATTTCTGACAGCCAAGTTAGCCAGGAATACCTTTGAGGATTTGAAATCTGCTGTTCCTCTAGGCAGATTTTGGGAAGTCTGCTGGCTTCCATCTGAGTCATTTTTAGCCAGTAGGCTACCGCCCTAGTAATTGTGTAGGTGTGCAGTAAAAAATGTCCCAATTCAGCTCTGACAGCTGCCGCCAAAGTGGAATTGTTTACCCCCAGCATCCTCCTTAACAAATTATTTTGAGTTCTCTCCAATATGGGGGCCTCTGTAAGACCCCAGATTTCGGCACCGTAGAGCATAATCAGAACAAGTTTAGCCTGAAAGACTTTACGCATTGGTAAAATCGAGGTTGGTTGAATACGTTTACTTAATTTGGATACAAGGCTTGCCCCAGCTCTGACCTTTTGAGAAAGGTATTGATGGTGCAGAGTCCAACCACCTGCACTGGAAAAAACAATTCCAAGATAGGTATATTGGGTAACTTGGTCAATCTTTGTGTCATTAATATGCCAGTTATGCTTTTTATTCTTATTGCCAAAGACTAAAACTTTTGATTTAGCTACATTTATAGTCAAATGGTTTGTAGTACAATAATGTGAGAGCTTGGTGAGAAGTCTCCTCATCCCTATTTGGGTTCTGGAAAATAGCACTAAGTCATCGGCATACATTAATACATTAATAAATCTTGAGCCTATTTGGGGGCTATGCGTCAGAAGATCTTCCATCTGCGCTGGGATATCATTTATATAAAGGTTAGAAAGAGTAGGGCCCAGCAGGCAGCCCTGCCTCATTCCTCTAGTTGTCGGTATGCTGTTTGTTGAGGCCCCATTTGCCGCATATCTGACTCTAATTGCCGTATTAGTATAGAGAGTCCTGATCAACAAAATAAGTCTGGGGTCCATCCCCATGGCTTAATATCCAGATGAACTCATGGGGGACAGCCAAGGCCTATGTGTATTGGCTTGGGTATTTCTTTAAAATATAAGCCGATATATTGAATTTAATTCCACATTAATGAATGCCTAGTAATGATTCTTGCATTATTGCTGTAATATGATAATACTTTGCCAAGGCTGGTTCCCAACTATTAACCAATTGAAGAACAGTCTTCCACAGGATCCCAAAGCATCATATTATGTTATGATTCAGCAAGGTCTGACTGGCTTCAGAGCACTCACAACTGAGACACAATTACACAATTGTTACTTTTTTTGCCATTGCTAAAGTGCTGCCAGAATTACTGAGCTGATGCAATCCCACTGTCAAGGCTTGATTTTATTTTCTCATTTTATTTGGATTTAATTTCAAGTCTTTTTAAAGTGCTTTTTAAACCATCTTGTTTTTGTAGGAACTTTATTCTGAAGTACAGTCTCTGTATCTGCCACAAATGCTCAGCTGTATGGTGCAAAGTCTTCTTGAAAACATGGAAGTACTAAGTTTATCAGAGCTCACATACATGTTAAGAACATGCTTTAAAGTGCTTAGTAAAGTGCAAATGCCATCTGCCTACCTGAGTACTGAAACTGGAAGCTCAGACTCTGTAAGTATTACTATGTTTTTCTGACCAATTTTTGTATAAGTTTAAGTTAAGTTAGGTTTACTTTATTGTCATTGCACTCATACAACGAAATTAAATGCCATCTTCAGTGTACATTATAATTATAAATATAAAACACAAACACACATCCTTCTCATTCTATACAATTGAATTGAAAACCTGATATTGTATTAGTATTGCACGATACAGTAGAATTCAATATAGTTACTGCCCTGGGATAGAAGCTGTTTTTCAGCCTATTTGTCCTTGTTTTTATTATCCTGTACTGTCCGCCAAATGGTAATAGTTCAAAAAAAGGGTGCCCAGGATGAGATGGATCTTTAACAATGTTTTGAACTTTCTTAAGGCAGCAGGAGCTATAAAATTCTTCCAAAGAGGAGAGAGCAACCAATGATCCTCTAAGCCACTGATGGCTAACCATTTCTGGACCGAGTGCCCAAAGCATGTGTGCGCGAATGCACACACATGCCCTAAGTCCCAAAATGCAATGAGCTCATGGTCCCCACACATACGGCCCCCCCACATGCACATGCACCCCCACATGTGCCCCACATGTGCTCGCAGCCCGCACACACCCCACTCCGTGCATGCACACACTCCCCCACACTCATCCCACGTGCATGTGCATGCCCCCCCGCATGCGCCCAGCCCCCTGCACATGCGCAGCAGAGACCTGACGATCAGCTGGCCGGCAGGAGGCACGCATGCATGCGTGGCAGAGCTGAACTGGAGCGACAGCTCACATGCCCACAGAGAGGGCGCTGCGTGCCACCTATGCCATAGGTTCGCCATCACGGCTCTAGGCAATGCCGTTAAGTGCTGTCCTATCTGCCACAGTGCAATTGGCAAACCATACAGAGGTGCAGTAAGTTAAAATAAGCTCTATAGTGCAGTGGTAGAAGGTCACCAGTAGTTTTTCATTCAGTTGTTGTTTCCTGAGAAGTCTTAGGTAGTATAATCTCTGCTGACCTTTTTGACCAGTGCTGCAATGTGAGTGCCCCAGGTCAGATCCTCTTTTATGTTAACACCCAGAAACTTAAAACTGGCCAATTACTCCACTTGGTTTCCATTGTTAAGCAAGGGCTGGAAGTCTGATCTATTCCTTCTATAGTCCACTATAAGCTCCTTGATCTTATTGGTGTTAAGGACCAAGTTATTGTCTCCACACCACGAAAGCAAGTTTATTTACTTACCAAGGCCATACCATGTATATTTGTATTTCAGAATCACCAGAGTGATTCTGGTGGCTGCATGCTGATAGTTGGCATAAAATGGAAATTGTTCATTTAGCTGTGAAAACTATCAGTTCTCCACAACAACATTTATTTTATAATAATACTACAATTCCAATATCTATATAGGAAATTATAATACAGTATGGACTAAAACTGTGCTTATTTAAATACATTGTAGGGAAAGATACTTAAAAAACAGATTTTTACTTATTTCTTGGAGCAGGAATTTTTTTGTTTTAAAGTAATAGTTGATTCTTATTTCTAAACCTTTGAGATTAAGAGGTGTACATATTAATTTTTTTTCCTGTTCTATTTTTGGATTATTGTGTTCACATGTTTATGAGCATTGGTGCAGCTATTCATGTAATCTCAGACTATGCTTTATTAAGGTTCTTGTACCATTGAACATTCTTGTATTGTGCAAAATATAAAGCATATTTGGCATCCAGTTTTACAAAGCAAAAAATGCTTGTGGCTGTATTAATGAAAGTCAAATAGAAAAAGAGGTAGGACCGATTGACATTCTCAGAAGGAGAGGACCAAATTGGACCAAGTAAGCATTTAGCACCCAAGGACTGCACTTAACCTTTTGAGGTAAAAGCTGGAGTGGTGGGGTTACATCACACATGGGTGGGAATGAGTTGGGAAAAATTTGAGAGGTCCTCTTTGTTTCTTTTTTAAACATTAATAGTCTAGTTTTAGGGTTCATACTATAGATTAATCTATCTTCTACCTCAAAATGACAAAAAAACCTCTCTAGTCCCATATTTTGGCAGTTATGGTCCCCAGAAGCACTGAAGGCTGCAGAAAGGAATGCAAGGCCATCTGGGGCTTTGGAACTGAAGGTTGCCTGTGCAAGTTCAATTGAATACTTAAGCAAGAATTTGAATGTTAACTTTTAATACATGTCTTCTTAACTCTAAAGGATATATTTATTCTTACATAAGGTTTTCTTTTGCTGTCGTATAAAATAAATACATACTTATGTACTAGACGTATTCATTGCAATATTGCAGAGTCCTGTAAAGGATGACAACCAGGAAATAAGTTCAGAATCCAAGGCGCTAGAAGATGAAGAAGACATTCCTTTACCTTCAATAAAATCTGAAGACAGCGGCATTGCTCTTAGCGCTTCATCTCCTGAACTGTTACAGCATTTGAGGATACCTAGGATAATCCCTGACAAAGATGATGTCTGGAAAAAGGGTGGAAACATGCAGATGACTTTGCACTATATCCAGGAACTGGCTGCCAAATTTGCCAGTAAACATATATTTGAGATTCATTTACAGAATTCCAATAATGACAATGTTTCAAAAGTCCATGTCAGTCAAGGAAATAACAAAGAGAATAATTACCAAGTTACCATAAATACTGAGGACAAAAAGAATTTGTATGAATCCAGGCAGATAGTGGTGCCTCAGTTGAAGCGAATGCTATCAGATTTCTTCACCGTACGAGGATCACCTTTTAAACAGAAAGATCTGAAGCCTTCCTTCCCTTCTGATGAATGTGATAATCCAAGGGATAAAGAAGAGAAAGATTGGGACCTTGATCAAGTTACATTTGATTTGGGAGCTACACGAGAGGATTGCAGAGAGACCTTTTCAGCTCTGTGCTATCTCTTACTGGATTGCACTACATTTCCGGTTTATCTTTCTGAAGAAGAATCCGAACTGTTGCATTTGTCACTCTTTCAAGTGCCTGGTAAGAAAAACATTCTCATTCTAGCATTCTGATAATTTACATCACAGAAGAATGCAAAATAAGGAGACTCTCAAGGGAAATATTCACAAATGCTAACCTAATCTATACATCTATATATATAATTAAGGAGTTGAATACACATTGAATACATTGGATCCTACTATTCAGTGAAAGTATATGGTCATCTGTGGATGATATTTCTATGTTTCTCTTGCAAAATCAATTAAGAATTGCTTAATTTAATAATTTGTTGAATAACGTAATCAGCATATTATCAGGTAAAATGCCACCACTAGTAAAATTAGACAATGTGTACCAGCCGGATTAACATCAAAGTAAAGTTTATGAAAAATTAAGAGTTACTGGCATGTTTTTCAATAATTGCAGAAATAGAGCTATTTCATATTAAGAACCACCGTATATGTGTAAGAAAATAGTTCAAAGAGACTAAGCATTCTTGGTAGCTTTGGAATATTGAATGCCACTAGGAAAAGAAGTATTCATAAAACTGTTGGAATAATAGGTCATCTGTATACACTCCCAAATAGAAATACTGAGATTTAATAGTTGAATATACACTAAAAAGATTAATACACACTAAATATAAATTTAATAAACACAATTCAATATGAATAGATGAATAGAACGTCATTTTTATACTTTTCAAATCACCAGTTAATGATTGTTTGACTAATGCACCAAACTCTTTATCACTTTCATTAGGAGGCAGTGAATCCAGTTTTCCCTTGTGGCTTAAATCCTTGATGACAATATGTTGCTGTGTTAATGACTGCTACATTCAGAATTTGGCAATTTCTGTACTGCTAGAAGTCATCAACCATTCCCAGTCACTGGCATTGGTTATTGAAGACAGAATTAAGCGATATAAAATTCCTGGGCAAAACCCCTTCTTTGGAAGACTGCAGATGGTCACAATTCCTCCTATTGCTCCTGGAATCCTAAAGCTAATTTCAGAAAAAACTGATTTCTATCAGGTGCTGTGCTTTTTTTTTCCACCTAAGACATTTGTGCATATGAGACAATGGAATATTTACAACTCATATTATTGTCATTATTAACTGAAGATAGCCAATAGTATTTGTTGTTACTTTCCTTACTTAAACTAAGTCAACAAAATAATAGAGCTACTTAAGCAGGTGTGGGGATAGCCAGTTAAACAAATACTCTTTCCCTACATTTTTGCCTTTAACATCATGGGAACTCACAGGTTTAGCAAACAGTATCACATTTATAGTTCCATTACAACAGGCCTTCTCATCTTTCCTTTATTATTAGTCTTTAGTCTTATGAAATGATATTTTGTATATTTTAATCCATAATTACTATCCAAAACCAATGGCATAATAACTCTGAGCGCAAACTTGATTAGCAACCAATTCAGTAAAATACTATAAGTACTAAGGAGCTACGATTAAGTGATTAAGTGATTCTCCAGCCCAGTTTAGATTTTTGTTGACATATTTCTTATTTATCCTATTCTTTTTAGATAACTGATGTAAGGTCTCAATTCAAGCTAGCACAATACATGTTGAGCCATAGTCAGTAACTAGTCGGGGCAACTTTGGTAATGAAGTCAGCCTCTATTATAGTATTCATGTTGTTGCATGTATTATTGTAGGCTTCAGTGAGTTAGTCGATTGGCAATGAATATGGAGAAACGGGATTGAGTGGACACAAGAGGCTTTTCTGTAACTAGTGAACAACATGGCCCTATTGTGCCAAGGATAACTGTTTGAGAATCACTGAATTAAAGGCACCGTACTAGAGATGTTGAAGGAGCAGAAACAAAAATGGAAAGAAAACAGTAATTTACAATGGCATATGACAATGCCATCAAAAATAACCTACAATCAGTATTCTTTATTAAGGTAACTAAGCATTGTAGTGGCCAGGATTGAAGATAGTAAGCAACTGTGAATAACCGCAGTAGAAAACAAGAACATAAAGAATGTTGTTAATAGCTTGTTTCTTTCCATATTAATTCTGAAAAGCATTCAAACTTCTCAATATATCCATAGGGGAAACTATGGATATTGTATTGTATTCAATTGTAATACAATTTAATGTAGAGTTAATGAAAATTAAGACCAATATGTTTTTGATTAATATAGAACTTTCTTTATCATGTGTTAAATCTTTCTAAAATGGATAATTTGATTTTTTTTTTTAATTACATCAGAGAGTTGCTCAAGTGCTTTGGAATCAGCTAAGCAAAGAGACACGAGAGCATCACAATACCTGCGTTGAACTGTTCTACCGTCTGCATTGTCTAGCTCCATCTGCTAATATCTGTGAAGATATTATCTGTCATGCATTACTGGATCATGATAAAGTAAGGTTTTGTGTTTTACAATCCTGTCTAAATCAACTCATCACAGTTTTATTTGGGCTTCTTGAACAGTATGCCAGGGTCGAACTTCAAAGTAGTAAAAATTCTCCATGACATATGAATAATTATAATTTATGTTATGTAAAATTAGAATTCAGCAGTATTTTGAGGTCTTTAAGTTATATACCACTATTATAGAAAATATACATACTTAAATATAGTGCTATGTATTGAGGAAATTCCATCATAATCGTATGCATAGTTGTGGAAAATATGTGATGAACAAAACAGCATAAATATTGGAAATAATTAAAAGTTTGACATCAGAAAAACAAGGATAAAGTAATTCTAGAGCATTTTAACTCCCTAGGATATTATATCACAGATCTCAAAGTAACATTTTAGAAAAAAGATGCTTTAACACCACAGTCAAGTAAGACATTGCTGAACTCACATATCAGGGTATTTCAAAAAGTCTCAACACAATGGCTTTTTAACATACTACATCAGGGGTGTCAAACTCAAGTCCCAGGGGCCAGATCCGGCCCTTGGGGTACTTAGATCTGGCCCGCAGGGCCACCCTGGAAACAGCAAAGGACTGGCCCATGGTGCCTCTGCCAGCAAACAACCCTCCCAAGCTCTGTTTTCGCTGGCAGAGCACTCAGGCCACCACAGGTACCCCCAACACAAGTGACGTCAAGCTTCCCCCCCCCCCCAAGGTCAAACACAATCCTGATGCATCCCTCAATGAAATTGAGTTTGACACCCCTGTTCTACATTGTTAATTGATAAGGTACATGTGATCTGTGTCTAACCTGCATCTGTATAATCAGCCTATCTTTCCCTCCCTCACTTTCCCACGTCATCATCCCAGTTTAAAACATGTATCAGTTTAACCACTTCATGTATCTGATGAAGTGAACTATAGTTCACAAAAAATTAAAATTAAACCTGTTTAAAATTGTTTACTTATAAAAATTGTTGAAAAGTGAAGAAATAATACACTCAATCATTCCTGATGCTAATAACGCTTTCTTCCTAAGTCTCATTTCTGTGATCGGCAAAGATTGAAGAAGAATTGCTAGTTTGACTGCTGTTGTTTTAAATTTGATATTTTCTAAAAATACATTAATTTCCGTTTTAATTTTTATGGAATTGTAAATAGTGATTTCTTTAGCTACATATAGAAAACAGCATATACAGTAAGTTATAAGTATAATAAATATTACTGCTTCTCATATCAGCAAATTATTTCCATGTTCCTTAATTATCATGAATGTTTGCAGGTTTGAATGATAGAAATATGTGTATTTATATATAGTACATTTAACTAATTTTTCTTTTATTCTGGGTTTCTTTCCTGCAAGTGTATGAGACTGGAAGCACTGTTCAGATTCTCCATCATGTGGCATTTGACTAGAGAAATTCAGGGCAGTAGAACTACATCCCACAGCCGATCTTTTGATAGGTATAACTATTTTGAATTGGTATATTTTAAAAAACTTTAATGTAACCAGTATAATGGAAATAGACTACTGATATAATCTCATGCACAAGGATGTTTATTTTCATTTCATTATTACAGTATCGGGTTTTTGTACGCTGTGTTGTAGTCTTCTCAGTACATTATCATTGTTTCAATAATTCTGTCTTCTATTAATTTTTTTCTGTAGATCCCTGTTTGTTGTCCTGGATAGTCTGAATTATTCAGATGGAGCAATTAGTGCTGCAGCACAGGGTTGGTTGATACGAGCACTCTCGCTTAATGATGTTACAAGAATTCTTGAACCCGCTCTTCTGCTTTTATTACATCCCAAGACACAACGTGTCTCCCTTCACTGTATCAAGCAGAAAAACTCAGCAGGTAAGATTGTATTTAGAAAAACTCTTATTGGATCAGACCAAGATACCATGTAGCCTAGAATGTCTCTTTCCCAAGATGATCATTCAGGTACACCTGGAAAGAATACAAACAGTAGTTCTCCTTTTGCTTCTCTCTGCCAATAACTGTATTTAATGGGATGTTTTCTTTGACCTAGAATTTTATTTAACAAGCACAGATAATATTATTTATAGATCTGTCCTCATGATAACTAATTTAATTCTTTTTCAAGTTATTTTAGTTTATTGGCTATTGCAATTGTTTGGTGTATAGACTGTTATAGCTTATTTTGTCTCCTAAATGTACTGAGTTCACCTTATTGGATTACAAAGTTTTATTAGAAAAGAATAATTGACCTCACTTAAATCAACTTATTATTTATAATTTTTAAAAAACATTGTCGGTGTCACCATTAGTATTTTTTTCCTAAAGAGAGCAAAAAAAAAACCCCAACCTTTAATTTTCTTGAAATGAAAATGCTGCAAGTCCTTAATAATAAGCTGCATCCCATAAAATAATTCAAAAAGTTACAATTACACATTTCAGATTTGACAAAGTAACTGTGTATGTGTGTGTCTACACAATATATATGAAAAGCATTATGATAGTGGTAATTCTGTTTTCAGTCTCTGTCCTCCTTAGCATGGTATTTTCCTTTTGCATTGCTGCTATATGAGTGTTTGTGTATGTATATGCATGTGTTTATAAAACATACTTATTTTAAACTCTTATGTTCTTTTTAGAAGACATATATCTCTGGTATACAAAGAAGACCATCTTCCAGGAATCAGTGAAGTCTCGAGATCTGTGTGAAAGCAGTTCTGAAGAAACTTTGCCACAGAGCCAATTCACAGTTGTGGATAGAGAAGCTATATGGGCTGAAGTTGAAAAAGACCCAGAGAAATCTCTATTAAAAAATGAACTCTCTGTGAACAAACCTTCTCTGTATGCTGAATTAGTACTTGAAATGGGCAAAGATGAGAGTGAACACACTGAATCTGCCGATACCAGTACCGGGCCTTTGGACAGTGATAATACTTCATCATTTTCACCTTCTCTTGAACAGCAAGATCTGATCCATGAGGGGAATAATAGTGCCTCAGCAGATGGCAGAAACAGTATGAAACATACTGGTTCTTCTAATGTTTATCCTGCTGATAGTTCAAAATCAAGTGCTGTGATAAATTTAGTACGTACCGATTCTGATAGAACCCGGGCATCAGAATCGCTCTCAAGTGATGATGAAATGGATTTGGAACTTCAAGCACTTATAACAACTAGATTACTAAAGCAACAGAAAGAAAAACAGGAGATGGTTGAAGCTCTCTTTAAACATGTCCTCTTATACATACAACCATATGATTCAAAAAGGGTTCTGTATGCATTTTCTGTGCTTGAAGGAGTGCTTAAAACAAATCCTAAAGAGTTTATTGAAGCTGTAGCAAGCACTAGCATGGATACAAGTTCCACAGCTCATTTGAATTTAATCTACAATCTTTTAGCTCGCCACCAGGAATCACTTGTGGGACAGAGCTTCTATGGAAAACTTCAAATTCAGTCGCCAACAATGTGTCCCCATTCATTATTAATAGAATTGTTAATGTATCTGTGTTTAAGTTTCCTGCGTTCTTATTATCCCTGTTATTTGAAGGTGACTCACAAAGATGTGCTTGGCAATAGAGATGTCCAAGTGAAAAGTGTTGAAGTATTGATTAGAATGGTGACTCAACTAACAACAATGGCCAAATCAACAGAGAACAAGAATATAGAATTCATACGCAACTTGCTTGGAAGATGCAAAATTCAAGAGTTTGTCCTCCTTTCTGTCTCTGCTTCTATGTATATTAGTCAGAAATGCTATGAATGTATGTTAGCTAATAAGACTAATGGTTTAAGTGAACACTATATCCTTGAGGAAAGTCTTATCAATTTTGGTCATGATCAGATTTGGAGTGAACAGCCTTTACAAATCGAATTACTTAAACTTCTGCAAGTGTTAATAGTGTTGGAGCACCATCTTGGGCAGACTCAAGAGGAACAGGAAAATCAGCCAGCCCTATCTAAGGAATGGCAGAGGGCTCTTAGTTTTCAGGAAGCCATCAGTGCTGTGCAATATGTGCATCCACACCCTATAACTTCTCAAGGTTTATTTGTGTCTGCAGTAGTTCGAGGCTTGGAGCCAGAATATGGCTATGGCATGCATCCATCTTGGGTCGGTTTGGTTACATATTCTTTGCCATACTTTGGAAAATCGTTAGGATGGACAGTAGCCCCATTTATTGTACAGATATGCAAGAATCTGGATGAGCTTGTCAATCAATATGAGCATGAAGTGCTGAAGATGTCAACTAAAATGTCAGCAAGGTAGGCAATACCTACTTGTAATCTTTATGTTTTGCTACTTTAGGCTTTTGCTTGGATGAAGTACTCTACATTTTTGAAGTAAAATGTTCATGTTTACAGTGTTCCTGATTTTTTTTCTGTGGAAAAGAATAATATAAGATGTAGGAATATGTTTGTATATTTGCTCAGAATATTATGTTTCTAGCACATTATCATCTAGGGCAGCGCTGCTGGCTGGGGGATTCTGGGAGTTGAAGTCTACCCATCTTCAAGCTACCAAGGTTGAGAAACACTGATCTAGGGTGACTAGTGGCAATTAAGGCTCATGTAGAGTTTTTGCTAATGATTAAACTTGAGGTATCAGGAATTTATTTATTTATTTATTGGTTTGATTTATATGCCGCCCTTCTCCAGAGACTCAGGGCGGCTTACAATGCGTTAAGAAATAGCCTTCATACTTTTGTATATACCTGCTTAGTAGGGCTTTCACCCCCCCCCCAAACTTTATACAAAGTTATCTTATTGCCCCTACAATCCGGGTCCACATTTTACCTACCTCGGAAGGATGGAAGGCTGAGTCAACCTTGAGCCTGGTGAGATTTGAACGTGCAGTAATTGCAGGCAGCTGGCAGCTAAGTGCTACTTAACAGCACTTTAGTCCACTACGCCACCAACGCTCAATTGGTTCAATTGTCATTTTGGTATTGAGATCCTTTGACCTATAAAGCATATGCTTTACCATTGCATAGTTCCTTTCCTGAATTAAGTGGTTGTATCAAAAGGAGCACGTAGATGAGGAAAAAGTATCATTTCTTTTATCTTTGGTAGATTTCATGTTTGTTTTTATGGATAAAATATTCTTGGCTAAATAGCCATAACATATATTCTCTTTGAGAAAAGAGTGAATAAAAATGTATGGCTAATGGACAGTTACTTATTGAAACTTTCTTTCCTAAAGCATAAATTATAAAAGGGAGAACATTACACCAGATTATCCTTTAACTCTTTTGGAAGGACTTACAACTATTGGCCATTTTTGTCTTCTGGATCATCCAAACCAAACCAAAAAGGTATGTGTATGCAACCAACTCATTCTTATGGGAGAGCAAGAATGATGAAGAAAATCTAATGAAGGTTTGTTTCTTTGAATATTGATTCATTTGATTCATCTCAAAATGATCAGTGATCTCACTTCGTAAATTTTAAGGACATGTGTATATTTGGTGTCAAAAATTTTGAGACATGTAATTAATAAAAACCTTGCTCATTTTTTTTATATTACTGATTTTTTTTCTTCTAGTCACGTTTTAATGCTGATCCAACAAGTCTAAAAAATGCTAGGAATGCCATTTTGGAAGAGCTTCCTCAAATCATTAACACCATGTCTCTCCTCTGGAATGTCATTAAAAAAGAAGATTCTCAAAAAAGACCGTCTGATTTCCTAGGCGTAAAAGGCTGTTCATCAATTTATTTCAAAGCAACAAAAGTATGAATGTTTCTATAAACTTTAATCTATAGGTGGGATTGGAGCATAATGGGATAATATTTTCTAATGTGGAATTTTTTACAGATAGTGTGGAAGTGATTAACAGCTTTTCTAAAAGTTAAACTTAAAACATTAGTGTAAAATAACTTAAATTGAACAATTATATTTCCAGTTTTATTTTTCTAATATTAATTGCATAAATAAAAGCAGATACTTCTTTTTTTCAACAGTCAGAAAGTTAAACCATAGCTTTGTTCACTGCAATTTCATCCAGTTCAGGATCAGAATCCTGGCAATATTCAAACAAGCATTTGTCTATAAAGGAACAAAAATATCATTAGTTTATTCTTTTATTTTCTTAAACAGATATTAAAGAATAAAATCCTAGACTTCTTGAATCCCCTCACTGGACAACTTGGTGTGCAACTAATAGCTGCAACAGCAGCAGTTTGGAGCAGTAAAAAACCTCATAAATATCAAACAAAGGTAAAAAATGCAAAATACCAGTGAATCATTCCATTGCCAAGATTAAGCTAGACCCATTACATCCATGCATACAAATACATAATCCCTTTAGAGGTAAACAGTGTTATGCCATCCACATAAAGGGTTTAGCAAATAGCATCCGAAGAAACTGAATGCATGCAAAGTTAAGGTAGATTACACCAAATATATTTCTTTCTATCTTTACAGATTATCCTTATTTTTACCATATCTACACAGTGCTTTATAAAATGCCTTTGTTTCTTTTAATTTCTCACTTCTTTTTCAGAATCTGATCTACTTTATGTCAGACAACTCCCTTGGTCTTTCCATTCTTTTTAACCTATTCACTCTTCCTTCCTTCCTGTATTTCTTTTGCAATTTGCTACTCCTTCAGTGTTGATATAGAGCTAGTCCTCGGTTAACGACTGATTAACAATTTTTCAAACTTCAAAAAAGTAGTTTTACAAACATATGACTGTTGTATCATCCCTGTGGTCACACAGGTGCCATTTTTGAGTTTTCCACTTGGCTTCCAACAAGCAAAGTCAATGGAGAAGCTGGCAGTAAGTTGTAAGTCACAGTCAGGTGACGTCATATTTAACAACCTGCAGTGATTTATTTAACAAATGCAGCAGACCTGATGTCATAAGTCTGGCCCAATTGTATGATGTTTAATGACCTCATGACTTAGCGATAATTGCCAATCCCAATTGCAGTCATTAGGTGAGGAAACCAACATCACCCATTAAGTCTTGATTCTGTCTGTCTTGTTTTATCTACATACTTTTTAAATGCTTCATTTTTTCAAGTAATTTTATTTTCTCCAGACATATCCAGTTCTGCTTCCCACATAATCAAGTGGGCACAAGCACACTTTTATATACAGACATTTTCAGTTGTTATGATAAATATTCGTTCCTTGCATACTACCTATTATCTTTTTAGCAGCACTTAAATGTCTTAAAATTTATTCATACATTTTTCCATCTTTAGTAAATTCTACTAAAATATAAGTCTTCGTTCACTTGCTGTAGTTTGTTGCCATTTAAATATATTTTAACAATTGTTCCATCAAGTTTACTTGTCAAATACCACTTTATTTTGTACTGAAAGTTCTTTTGTCAGATCTACCTTCTTCTTGCATTATGTAATTTAACATTCACTGCAACATTCTTTTGAGTTCTGAGGCAACAACACAGCATTAGCTGCATAGAAAAGTACACATATATTCACATCCTCAGCCATACTCTATCACCATACTCTATCACCAGAAGTATATATTTTATATTTAAAGACATTAAACAGCCAAGGGGACATTTTTATCCCTGCTTACTTCTGAGCCATTCATTAAGTGTTATACCTGTTTTTACACATGCTTTACTTTCCTCATATACCACTTCTGTAACACTCCGTAGTCAACTTTCAACACAAAATATTCCTATTCACTCTGTTATTTTTTCATTAAATTTGCCACCATCATGCTGCAAGGAAGCTCTCGGTGGCTTACAATGTTAATCACACTTTCTCATACAAACAGGGGCTATGCATTAAACTGCTTGATGTATTATGAGTTACATAACTTGGTAGATGCTCATCAGTAAATTTTAGCTTTAAGTACTGAAAGTACTTGTATTTTAATGTTTCTAATTAGTGAGTATTCATTTACTCCAGTTGTTCAAAAGACACATTGAGCCTGGCTTCCATGAACCATGCTTAATAAAATGAAAGTACTCCAAATTATAAAGCAAACATTTGTTAATCATGTTTTCTTCCTTACTTTCTGTTAGAAATACCATTGAATTCCATTTCTGTAGAACCCGCTTCATCTGATCTGTTACTTTTAGGAAGTCACACGTAATAATAGAAGAATAGAATAGAATAGAATAGAATAGAATAGAATAGAATAGAATAGTAGAATAGAATAGAATAGAATAGAATAGAATAGAATAGGAATATTTTATTGGCCAAGTGTGATCAGACACACAAGGAATTTGTCTTGGTCCATATGGTCTCACTGTGTTGGTCTCAGTGTATATAAAATTGAATGATATGAAATTGAAATATAAAAATGTTCCTTCCAAACCACTATTCTCTGGCAAACTAATATTAATGCCTTTAAGATGAAGTTCCTGGGGATTGAGGTGGAGTATGGAGAAGACTTCATGGACAAAAACACGAGAACTGTATGCATGAGACTTCTGGGAAGGTCCAATGTGGCTTGTGTGTTGAATGTTTCTCATTCGTCTAGTTAATTCTAAAAAAAAAATAAGTAATACTTTCTTTGATTTTTTTTTCTTTCAGATGCCTCCTAAAGCTAATGCATTACAGCTAATATTGGTTGATCTTGTTTGTGCTCTCAGCACTCTGAAGACTGACATTATACTGCAGCTAATAAAAGAAGTTGTAAAGAAACCTTCTCAAATTAAAGGCGAAGAGGTAAAAGTATATTTAATGGAACAGTGTAACTAATCTAAATTGATGAAATAATATTTACTTGGGTTTTTTTTATGCAGGCAGAGAAAACAAGCTTTTTCATTAAAAGCTACATTTCTTAAGTTTTAAGTGTTAACTGCTAGTGTTTATACAGACAATTTATACAGATAGTTCTCAACTTATAAATCACAAGTCAAACATATCTATTGCTAAGCAACGCAATTATTAAATGATTTTGCCCCATTTTATGGCCACTTTTGCCATAGTTGTTAAGGGAATCACTACAGTTGTTCACTGAATCAAATGAATCTGGCTTCCCCTGTTGACTTACCTTGTCAGAAGCCACCTGGGAAGATTACAGATGGTGATCATATGACCCTGGGACAGTGCAGCTGTCATAACTAGATACCAGTTGCCAAGTGCCCGAATTTTGATCATGTGACCATGGAGATGCTGCAACTGTCATAACTCTGAAAAATAGTCATACGTCCTTTTTTCAATGTCATTGTAACTTGAACAGTCACTATACAAATGGTCATAAATCGAGGACTACCTGTAGTATAATGCACTATATTTTCTTTCCCAGAAATCTGTCCTAGTGGATATACCAGTGCTCCAATTCTGCAATGCTTTCATTCAAAGGTAAATAGTCTTCCTCGAATATATTCCAACTATTGACACCTTTGGGTTTTTTATATACATAAAGTATGTCTATTCCCTCCTATTTAATTTTTATTCCTGATACTGCAAGGACACAAAAATATTTCAGTTAAAATAGCTGCAAACATGTTAAGATATAATCTCCATTAAATTTCTTATTATGATTTATTACCTTGCAGTGTAGCATCTTAGACTGTTATTCTAGAAAAAAATAAATTTAAAAAAGTCATCATTTACATAACAATTGTATTAAAAAGAAGCACTGACAAAACTTGTGTACTTCAATGCTTTGGAGATACACATACCTGCATACATACATATGCATTATTTGTAACTCATAACAATAAGAGTTAAACATAGGAGTTTTCTAATAACCTTTTTTGTAAATCTGTATACTCAATATTTTCTAACTGAAATATAATCCTCCCACTCTCAGGCTTCCAGTTTCAGCCCTGCAGGAGAACTTCCAGTCATTATTAGGAGTGTTGAAGGAATCTGTGCAATTGAATTTAGCACCACCTGGTCATTTTTTGCTTCTCAGGTATGACAGTAGCAATCATTTTGGTACATAGTCTAATAATCACAAATGATCATTTTCCTGAGTTTAGTTTATTTTTCTGCAGTACTCTGAATGACTTTGTGACGAGAACTCCAAACCAGGAGAATAAAAAGAATCAAAAAGACTTGCAGGTATTCCCCAGCATCTTTTGAATCTCTGCATTTGGATTTGGAGCTCTGTACTTGTGTAAAATAGTATGTCATTTTTTAACCATGCAGAAAATTTGGCAAGCAACTTAAAAGTGTATGAAAGATCAGTAATTAATCTCTCCTGCTACAGATGAGATTAAACTACTAAAAGCTAAAATAGTTGCTTTAAAAAAATCTTCATTGAATTGTTCCCACATTCAGAATGTCATTGAAAACTTGTCTGTTTTCCCAGGCCTTCAGGCAAAATGATAGCTGTGGATTGTTTTATTGTAATTCAGAGTCTTCTGAATGTTTTTTATTAATTTATCTTTTCATTGTTCTTTATTAACATAAGTTGTCCAGAATCATTTAGAGTTGGACAACATCTAAATTGTATGACTAACTGGAATTTTCAGAATTTAGTAAATCAGTACACGGATTTGTCTCCAAAGCCCTGGCAAGCTGTCTGTGGGCTCTATCGTGCACACTTCTGAGATAACTGTCTCAAGCAGTCAATATTGAAGTTCACAATAGAACAGCAATCTTGTATGCAAGGGAAGGAAAAGTTGTTGTTTTTTTCCACCATTGCCTATTATCTGTTTGTATGGATTGCGTTTCTTTCACAGTCTGTTTGCCTTTCAGGATATAACTCAGAAAATATTGGAAGCGGTGGGAAATGTTGCAGCTTCTTCTCTAGAACAAACTAGCTGGCTCAGCAGGAATCTAGAGGTGAAAGCTCAGTCTCAGATCTCTTTAGAAGAACCCAATGTGGAAAATAATCTGCATGGTAAGTAAACCAGAAATTGCATTAAATAATAATCAAAGTATGGAACACAAGTTTTAAACATATATAGCTCTTAAGCTAAATGTTTGATGAAATGTAACTTTTGATAGTAGAATATACCAGAGTACTGCCTGCAGTATACTTTTTAAATCATAAAATGGAGAAAAGCAAAAAAATTAGTTTAAAGGTTATTTATTTAAAAAATATTTAACATTTAAAATCCCAGAACCATCTGTCATTAATATGTCTGAGAGAGAGAGAGAGAATTGAAACAGACACAAAACTACCTGAAATTGAGTAAGCCAGTATTTAAAAGTCTTAAAATATTTTTCACATAATTCAAACATCCCTGATAACTTTCCAAGGCCCAGTTTTCTCAGGGTGTCTATTCATTTACTCTGAATCTTTTTGCCCATGTCATAAAATACAGGTTTAAGGTATCTGCTTTCTGCAAAGCCTCTAATGAGAATTGCCACTACTCGTGCCTTAAAAGGTCATTTTGAATCAAGATTTAAAAGTCTCCAAGGTAGCTTGCAGACCATTCAAAATTATAACAGTCCATACAGATAACTGTCAACCCTCACCTGAACATAACCAATAAAGTAAAACCTACAGTCTTGATTTCAGTATAATGTTTTCTTAGTTATTAGGATCAGTGTTATGATTCAGATTCAGAAGCTGAAAAACGTGTCTCATCTGAGTCTCAGCCAGTCTCTAAAAATGAATTGAAGAGAATACACCTGAGAGGAAATTGTGTTGGCTAAATCATCTGATATAGCCCTCCTATCTAGACAAGTTCTGAGTTTAGCAACATGTTGCAAATTAAGAAGACAAAGGCAAAGGAAGTCAGGATTTATTTACATTTTTGAATGTGATATATTTAGTAATATATGCTTTGACAACAAAAGGATTTTCAGTTTGTGTAAGATTTATTTCATTTCCTGTGGAAATTATCAACATGTATGGCAAGACTACACTTTAAAAATGTACCTTTTTCAACATTGTAACTAATATAATTTTTAAAGAAATATTCTAAAACAAAAAAAATAAAGGGAAACCCAATGCCGTTGCATCCACAGATCATTCCACAGTATCATCTGTTGTGTCTGCCTCTGCTCCATCAATATACAGTGTTCAAGCTCTAACTCTCCTTGCAGAGGTGAGTCTTAGGTTTTTGTTATTGTAGTTGTTAGCAGAGCAGTTAGCACTTCTATAACTGTTGCTTTTCATATATGTGCTTGTGTGAACACAGATGTGGGTTTTGCACGCGGTGGCTCAGTGCTAAGATGCTGAGCTTGTCGATTGAAAGGTCAAAAGTTCAGCGGTTCAAATCCCTAGTGCCGTGTAACGGGGTGAGCTCCCATTACTTGTCCCAGCTTCTGCCAACCTAGCAGTTCAAAAGCAAGTAAAAAATGCAAGTAGAAAAATAGGGACCACCTTTGGTGGGAAGGTAACAGCGTTCCGTGGTCCTTTGCCATTTAGTCATGCCAGCCACATGACCACGGAGATGTCTTCGGACAGCGCTGGCTCTTCGGCTTTGAAACGGAGATGAGCATCGCCCCCTAGAGTTGGGAACGACTAGCACATATGTGCGAGGGGAATCTTTATCTTTACTAACTCCCTAGTGATAAGCATAAAATACTTAACTTTTCTGAACCTTGCAGTACAAATGTATGACACAGCAAAATCAAGGTGATATATTAAGCCTAATAGCACACAATAGAAGTTGAGGGTATTCTGAATTTTCTATACTTTTTTTTTCTACCCAAAAACACGTCCTGTTTGTTTTGGTAGGTACTTGCTTCTCTCCTGGATATGGTTTATCAAAGTGATGAAAAAGAGAAAGCAGTCCCATTAATCTCACGCTTGCTCTACTATGTGTTTCCTTACTTACGCAATCACAGGTAATTCCATTTGTCCTTGGATTATATATATGTATATGTAACTATATAAAGTACATTTTCTTGGATCAGTCCAATTCTAGGTAGTTCTAGGTTAACAACCACAGACCATTCAGCGACCATTCAAAGTTACAATGGGGCTAAACAAGGAGTTGTTACAACCGATCCTCAAAGCTCTGGCCATCCCAGCACTCTGTGCAGTTGGTAGCTGGCTTTCACTTATAACATGCAGAAGACTATCCCTCCTTTGTCTAACACTGAAAAATATACTTGATAATAAATTAAATTGGCATTCTTTTATAACATCAAGTATATACTGCTTCATATCGCAGTTTACTTCAGTTGTATAATCAGCCCTGTTCCTCACAACACAATTTAAACTGTTCGAGTAAACTGTAATATGCTACTAAACTGTATTTTAAGTCATTAAATTTAGTTAATTTTCTAGTTTGCATGCATGGTGCATTACTAAAAATTGAAAATCAAGTACAATATAATAGTATAGTAGTGGGAATACTATCTGATCAGCACTGTAGAATTTAGTATATGGAGATATATTGTGTAAGAAATGTGTATGTGTATGTGATCTGCTCATTTTATTCCTGTGTCTTTACAGTGCCTATAATCTTCCTAGTTTCCATGCTAGCACTCAGTTGTTAAGTTCCTTAAGCGGCTACGCCTATACTAAACGAGCATGGAAGAAAGATGTTTTAGATCTGTTTATGGATCCTGCTTTTTTTCAGATGGATACTTCATGCATTCAGTAAGATATACATTTAAAACAATATTGTGACTTGTTTTTGATTGAACTAACCGGCAAATTGCAACAGGTTATATATAGATCAGTTGTAATTCTAAGTCACACATGGAATCAATGCCAGTTAGTTAAAATTCATTGGCCTTCATTAAAGGAATTAAATGAATATGACATCACTGTGCAAAGAAAAAAATCTTAATATTATTTTCATTCTCTATTTTTTTCTGAAGTGTGATTTTAAAGAAATACAAGATCTGATATGTAACTTTAAATATAATTCTTTTGACATCTGAAATTGAACACATTTATTATAGCATACATTTGTGGATTATAATGCATAAAAGAGTGCTTTATGAGAAACATATTAGTCTTTAAGGTACCACAAGAAACTTGGATGATTTTGCTGCAAAAAGGAAATATAATTACCCTCCTTTGAATAGTAATTAAAATGATATTTTTTTAAAAAAAAGTCAGCTTTATAGGACATCAGTTATAAATTACTTACCTAAGCTCTCATGACTTGTCATAAATGAAAAGCATATGAACCAGGTTTCAAAGACTCACTATGTAAAATATTTGCAAAATTTTCATGATACTTGGTTTCTATTCCAGTTACACCAAACTTTACTTTTTTTTCAGCTGGCGAACCATTATCGATCACTTACTTACACATGAAAAAACTATGTTTAAAGATTTGATGAGTAAGCATTTTCTCATAATTGTTACCTAGCTAACTGCTAGAAAATATAGAATACAAATAGAGAATTGAAAAACCACAAAACCTATTTATTTGTTCATTTATTAGATTTTATATAATGCTAGTGCCAAAGTTTTTGTCTATTTACATTCAGAAAAAGTTGAAAACTAAATGCCACTAACAATATAAAGCATGAATAATGTTAATAGCCTGGAGAATATGCATTTTAAGACATTGAAAAATTTAAACTTCGTAGTTAGGACCCTAACTGTAAAGGTTACTACCAACATAACTCATTGTTGGGTATAGGGAGTGGCTGCAGTAATAGTAGCTAGAAATATTTCTGTTACATTGTTAAGTTTAGAGAAAAAGAATTCTACTTTGCTGGTTCATCAGTTAGAAATATTTGAAGTTCTATAAATGTCAGTAGGTTGATGTCATAGTAGCTGATCTTCAAACACTGACTGCAATTGGTCTGACAGTTTAATACAAGGTGTGAGCAGGTACTTCAAGAGAATAAGTAGCATATAAAGGGCAATATAATATCATATGATTCATATGCTTCTATTATAATTTTTCTCCTTGTACCGGCTAAGATAACTCTTGGGATAGATATGTTAACATCCATTTTCTTAATTATAGATATGCAGAGTAGTTCCTTAAAACTTTTTCCAACTCTTGAACAAAAGGCAATGCTGTTAAAGCGTCAAGCCTTTGCTGTTTTCAGTGGTGAAATTGATCAATATCATCTTTATCTTCCTTTGATACAAGGTGAGTAATAATTCATTTATGTTATAAATAAAGGATGCGATATAACTTACAACATTAACCAAAAAGGATAAAATAATTTTTAGAATGAAATTAAAAAAGACTATGAGCAACAGTTTCTGTATATGTGGCAGTGGAAGTGTGGAATTGTGCAGAGACACATTCATTATTTTAATAACTAATTCAAGCACCATAGAGCTTATAAATTGATGATGATTTGTATATCTTTTAGAGTAAAACAGTTTTTTCCAGCTTGATGCTTTTTGATAAATGCCATTTTCACTCACATTATCCTCCTACCTAGCCATTATGGTAAGTACAACATGTCTTGTAAACAGGAATTATCAAAAATGTCATTGGATGTCCTGATATCCCCAGATTCAAAATCCACTAATTAGGAATATATCAAATCAAGTTTCTACTTTATTGACAAAATACACAGATATACAGGTAGTCCTCAACTTACAACAGTTCGCTTAGTAACTGTTCAAAGTTACAATGGCACTGAAAAAATTGATTTATGACCGTTTTTCACAGTTGTGATATTTCCAGCATCTCCATGATCATGTGATCAAAATTCAGATGCTGAGCAACTGGTTCATATTTATGACCGTTGCTGTCTCCCAAGATCATGTGATCAGCTTTTGCAACCTTCTGACAAGCAAAGCCAATGGGGAAGCCCAATTAATTTAACAACTGGGTTACTAATTTATCAACTGCAGTGATTCACTTAACAAATGTTTCACTTAGCAACAGAAATTTTGCACTCAATTAGGATCGTAAGTCGAGGACTACCTGTATTCATTATTCTCCATAAATAAAAAGGAGAGGCTTCTATCCAATATTAAGGTAAAGGAGATGATTCACCTTTGCAGTTCTACATTAGGATGGGCTAACCACACTCAATTCACTACTGACTTAACATTATATTAGTTAAATTGCAGAGCCATGGCCATTAGTCAATAAATATTGCAACTTTTGTTTGTGAATCACTTGGCAACCCCATGACATCATCTGAGCCTTTCATTGAGATACAAAAAATAAACTTTGTCAGACAGGTGTAGGCAGGCAAAAATGTGAGTGGGAATGACAAAACAGGCATCATGAAGCAAAACCATAACTCATACAACTTCCTGAAACATGGGCAGGTAAAGACAAAACCTGCATAACATACACATCACATCATTTTGAATAAATCTTTGCTTCCTTATAACTGATTCATCAGTTTTGTTGACATACTCACTGCCAGCTCTATTCATAATTCAGTCTTTATCTTAGCCAGAAGGAGTTTTGATTTTAAAAAGTTTCAGTGCTTGTTTGAAGAGAAAGGAAAGATATACATTAACTAATAAATCAGACTGATGGTAACCAAACCACTTACATTTCAGTACTTTTCTATTTCAGTACTTACTGGTTTTAATTAGGTAGAAATTATTGTTGTTTATAAATACTAAGTTTTCATACTTGAGTTTTTAGTAGTCTGGATATTTTTTCTGTATTTCAGTAAGCCATCATGAATTAAGAACATTCAACAGCATATAAAATAGATTACACTGTTACTTATCCTCTTTCTTTCTCTGTTGTAATTTTTTTTTCTAAGAACGATTGACTGACAACCTACGTGTTGGACACACTTCTTCAGTAGGTGCCCAGATGTTCCTTTTTTTCAGGGTACTTTTATTGAGAATTTCCCCTCAACACCTAACCTCTTTATGGCCAATAATGGTAACAGAACTGGTAAGAGTAATAATTAATAGCAGAATGATAATAATAGTAGAATGAGTGATATTTTTAAAAAATAAATATTTACTAGTACATTTTTCTCTTTTCCATTTCGCTGATCATTCAGATTCAAACGTTTTTACAGTTAGAGGAAGATCTAACAGATGAACCAGCAAAGTAAGTTTTTTTTCCCAATATACTTAACAAAGAGAAACAAAAAATAAGTAAGATGAACAATCTGATCTTAATAGTTAATAATGTGGTAGGGAGTTAAACTACAGTTCAGCAGTAATAAAATACTGACCATGCAGAGGAATAATACACCACAGAAAAAACGTCTAATGCTCAATTTCTAGATCAAGACTTTAGACTTCATTAACAATATCTATAGACAATGCAAAAGAGACAGTTAACCAGCCCAAAAAGGAACAAAAAGACTCAAGCACCTTTCCACCAGCAATCAGCAGCCAGATCACGATATATTAATTCCCAAGGTTATCATCAGACCAACTATCAAGTAAATAATACCCCAATCAAGAAACTGCCAAAAAAGCCAACAGTAAAGACTCCAATCAAACAATCTCTTAAAACCACCCCCACCAACACTGACAGGACAAGCCACCAGAATATAAACTGACACAAACCACACTCCTTACTAGCACTGATGATGTTACCTAGGTTGGATAATGAAACATCTGCAAGAAAACAAGCAAGCTCAGAAAGCACCAAGGACCCCTCATGTCAACCCTGAGCTACAAACACTCTCCTTTATTAGTGCAAGAAATCTTTTTGAAAGGCTGCTGACATGCAACAGTTAGGGCTAGTAGAATAATTCTGTTACGAGTCCCCTTGAAATTATATGGAATATAATACCCATTTTGTTGGCTGGTTTGGAAAAGAAAGGAACGGTAAATTTAAAATAGAAATGGTAAATTTTAAAATGGAAATATCTTAGCTTTTTTTAGCTAAGTTCCAGTAAAATTAACTCTCAGCATTTTCTTTTTTTTTTTTTTTTGAAATTCCAGATGCATTTGTATTTGTACTCTTGTATGAAAGGGTTTAATTGTTCAGTTTGTGTTCACATTTTTTTTAAAAAAAGTCACCAGGTCTGTTCTGCAGTCTGATATTTCCTTTTATGAATCTCACAGAAACAGCAAAAAAATGAGCAGACAGAAAGCATCATCAAATGGCAGTGCTCGGTTACTTGGAGACATACAACAGAATGAATTAACCTTGTATTTATCAGCCTGTAAATTCTTAGACACAGCACTTTCTTTTCCATCTGACAAGATGCAATTGTTTCAGATGTAAGTGTTATATTTTTATTTTTAGCAAAATAGTAGAGTATTTAAAGATTGTCTCAATGTGATCTGATTGTGCCTCTCTTTCTACTGCATAACTATGCCACTCCATTAGTTTATTAAATATAATATTTTTCTGTCACTTTCAGAATCTGGTGAAACCTGTGTACCATAAATATGTATTTAAATGCATAAAATAAAATTTATAGATACAGATTATTTTGCAAAAGAATTCAGATAAGCTCAAATATAGTTATAAAAAGGTTAAAAATAACAAATATGTAATATAGCAATATATGTGGAAATAAGGTTGTATTTTTTCTTCTTCAGGTTTGTAAGAGAAAATTTCTGGTTTAAGAAAATGAAGGCAAAAATTGTTCCTATAGGGCTAAAATGACAAAAGTAAGAAACATATGTAGACAAATTTAAAGAGCACTTAGGTTTAAAGATTTTGTGCTGTGTACCAAATGAGATAATCAGCCTTTTAGAACTGGATAATTTTTTCTGTTAATCAACATGATCAAAAAATTAGACTATGTTAGATTTTGTACCTTACATAATGTCTGTTTTTAGGTATAGGTGGGCCTTTGTTCCAGAGGTGGACATGCAGAGTTGCAGCATGATTTCAGATGTAATGGAAAGTCACCAGGAATGCAAGCCTCATGTTGCTAGAATCATGGATTTATTGAAGCTAAAATATGGGGCAAGTACTATCTTTATTAAATTACTTTCATATCCTGAAACTCCATAGTTTCCTTATCAAATAATATTTGTAAATCAATATTTATGCTGCTCAGATGAACCCAAGACGAGATGAACCCAGATGAGGACCCAGTTTGTGGGGGCAATAAGCTGACTTTGTATAAAATATACAAAAGAATGAAGGCTATTGCTTAACGCATTGTAAGCCGCCCTGAGTCTCCGGAGAAGGGCGGCATATAAATCAAATTAAAAAAAAAAAAAGACAGTTTGAACAATATTCTCATGTATTGAACAGAGCTGCTTCAATTCAGCAACATTGCTCAGCAACATTTGTATAAATTTGAGAAGGCACAATCTAGTAATCCTTCTATGGAACCTAATTCAAGTTAATTGATTAGTACATGATACAGTTAACGTAGTGCATGTCCAATTCATATAAAATAAGCAAAGTTATTCATACTTAATGCAAAATAAACATATTATATGCAGCCTGAGTTTGTATTCAAGAAAATATGGATTGTGCTACTTTGGATAATATTTTAATAAGACTGAGTCAGAAAACACTTTTATTTTATTTTACTCTATTGTTTTCTGAAGGTTGCTTAGCTATTACTGTGGAAATGTATTTAACATTTCTACATACCTATCTCAGGTTGTGAGGGCCACTCAGATGGCTTACACATTAGATCTGGTTGTTATCTCAGATTGAGTGTAGTATAAACTGTGGTTTATCCAACTTCATTCTTACTTCCCCAACTTGGTTTTTCCTGTGATTGTGGAACATATCTAGCCATGCTTCTACAGTCATTCTTGTGAATTCTTTTGTCATCCTACAATATTTTGAATCTCAAAAATATGACAAATATTATCTATAATTTATAAAATAGACTGTTGAAAATGTCTATGATCAAACAAAAAATAGTGTGTGTGTATATATATGTATATTAAATACTTGATATTAAATTGATATTAAATACTTCCATGCAAATGCATATTAACAGTCACTTTTTATTTTATTTTTTTCAAGGAACAAAATATCAGTGATGAACCAACAAAAAACTGTGACTTTCCTCTTTTGGATCTTCATTCTGTATCAAATATCACACAATTAATTCCATTCTTTAATACATTAAACTCTGCTTTTAAAACTCAAAGTGGCAGATTACTAAACACACACAACTCCAAGTCTTTTAAAAACACCTATCCCACCAGCAGTGGAACAAGAATTTTGAAGCTGTTGGAAGAATATGTTGAGCGTGATTTTATAGATAATATGGAAAATGAATCATTGTAAGATATCTGTTCGGTTCTTATAATAATCAGGTTTCATTTTGCTAAAATGTGAAATGCTTGAAGCCACATGCAACTTTCCCTTGCTTTACCAAAACAAATTAGCTTAAATTAACATGAAGAATCATTATTTTTCAATTAAAATAATAGTTTAATTGAGATGCTTGTTTATGAATGCAGATTTGTTGACTTTCAATGAAAAAAAAATCCCTTCTACCAGGGATTCTACATTCTATATTTCTCAAAAGATAAATTCTTCTAAAATTAATTTAATTCTGCTCTAAACAACTTCTGCATAGCAATTTACCAAAACAAATTAGCACAGTTACATTAGTCATGTTTTTCTGACCCCAAAGTCAGAAAACACATTTGCAAGATTTGATCAGCCCTAGGTGGACCATGCCAGAAATTCAATTCCAGAAAACAGTAAAACTTGCTATTTTTATTGAAATTAGCTATAATGCCAGTTAGATTGTTTTGTGAATTAGTTTGCCTGAGGTGCTTCAAAACATTGTCTTATTCTTGCCTTAATAATGCTTCAACTCCTTTTGCCTAGGCAACAGATCATGCATAATCTCCAGCAAGGTCATCCTTTTTACTCTCTATAGGTGGTTGACTCATAGCTGTGGATCACATGAAGTTCCCTATTGTATTGCAACTCCACATTGGCATAATCATTTCCAATTCAGTGTTAGGCCTATGACTGTAAGCAAAAATAAATTTACTAGCAAGTAAGCTTCACCAAACCCAATGATAATTGCTTTTTCAGTAAATATTTTTCAGATTTGTCTTTATGTTTCCATGAAATTTATGAATAACCATTCTAAAACTAGGGGGGAAATTTACTTGGAAATTTTAACTAATTTAAAGCCATTGTTGCCTTTTACAGTTTGCTGAAATGGTACTTAATTGTAATAGGCCAATAAGAATGTAAAAGAATGTATGTCTAAGAACTGTACAGTTCCTATAGACAAGAATATATGTATAGTATGTATAGATTACTATGCTGCATTATAAGTACCTACTTCCAAACCTGTCCACAGTTTTATGCTGAGACATTCTTGTACAAAAATGTACATTTACTGAAAGTATTATAGAGGTAGTCCTCGACTTATGATCTCAATTAAGCCTAAAATTTCTGTTGCTGAGACATTTGTTAAGTGAATTTTGCCCCATTTTGCGACCTTTCTTGCCTCCCTTGTTAAGTGAATCATGCAGTTGTTAAGTGGGTAACATAGTTGTTATGTGACTCTGGCTTCTCCATTGATGTTGCTTGTCAGAAGGTTGCAAAAGGTGATCACATGATCCCGACACTGCAACTGTCATAAATATGAGTCAGTTGCCAAATGTCTGAATTTTGATCACGTGACTATGGGGAAGTTGCAATGGTTGTAAGTGTGAAAAACAGTCATAAATCACTTTTTTCAGTATAGTAACTTTGAACAGTCACTAAGCAAGCTGGTTGTAAATCGAGGACTACCTGTATAAGACTGGAAGCAAATTGTTTTATAGTTAAAGATTCCTTTTGAAAGAGAATGGCTCTTGTTCTAGCTAGGTTTTTGCACAAGATTTGTAATACATGAGCAGAACCAAGGATAAGAAGAAGGTCAAAGATGCCATGCAAGTAGAAAAACATAAGATAACAAAGCAAAGAATGTATATATTCAAAAACTACTACTCTGTTGTTTAAATGCATTTAGTATTTAATTGTACTTTTTTAGGTTCGGATTTTTTTTATGTGACTGTCCTTCTTTCTCCACCTGTGATGAGTAACACTTTGAGTTTCTCAAATAATATACACTGGGCAAAAAACAGCTCCAATGTGAATATTTCTGTTTCCCATTTAGGTAAACATTTAAATACCTTTGTTGAATTTGTTAGATGTCAGATAATAGCACGTTTTTCATTTAGTTTTGCTTTTCATTAGAAGCCCACCCAGATCATAAAAACCTGAAGTATGATGTAAAGATGTACTTATTTTAATATTGTAAATTATTTATGTATTTTGTAAACTTAAACAAATATACTTTAATTAAACTTTCTTTATCATTATGAATGTATACTTACGCCTTTCTAAATGTTTTGATCAAAGATATATGGTCCACTGTATAACAGATACTGCTGTATAATACTGTGTGTTTCCTGTCACGTGGAAATTTAAACATTTTCAAAATCTTTGACAATGTTGCTAGCTCTCAGGGAAAATAGACAGTCTTTGTTTGCAATGTCAGTTGTATCACAGGAGAATCTCACATGTCCCTTGCTCTTTATTCTGAGAAAGTGCAGCTAATATTAGCTGTTTTACAATACATATAATTCCCAAATCTAATTTAATCCTCTAAATTTGAAAGTTTAGTATCCCAAATACATTGTAACTTATTCTTCCATTACATCCACCACAAAACTTTCTTTTTTTTCCGTTCTTCTGTTTTCTCCTCCCCCCACTTTGAACTTAACTCAGGGGCTATAGTTATGACTTTATTGTCGCTTTCAATTTCATTTGCCCTTAATTGTTTATTTAGGTAGATCACCTTCTCTATAAGATATATTGATGCCTGATGCCTGCAGGAGCTCATTTGCTGCTACATTGTTTAATTTCATTCAGTCTCACAAACAGTATATTGCCTTTGTTTCTTCAGGCCCATTTTCCCACATCCTGTCTAACAAAATGTATTTCAATTAATTTAAAATGTACCTGACCAGTTGGATTTACCATCCTTGGGTCTCTATAATATTTCAGTAGATTTACTGTGCACAACTTGTAGCTACACAGCAATGTGAGATTGATAGCACATTGAGAACCAGTTTGGTCTAGTGGTTAAAGCATCAGGCTAGAAAGCTGGAGACCATGAATTATAATTCTGCCTTAACCATGAAAGCCACCTGGGTGACCTTGGGCCAGTCACTCACTCTCAGCCCAGCCCACCTCACAGGGTTGCTGTTGGGACAATGGGATGAGAAAGGTTATGTTGGATATGTTTGCTGTTTTGAGTTATTTGTAAAAATAATAAAGACAGGATTTTGTTTTCAAATTTTGAAATCAATATTGTCTGGTTTATCTGGAAATACCCTATTGCTGAAATGCTTGTTTTCCAAATAATCATAATATAGATGAAGTTTTGATTTGATACTACTGTTTTAAAATGACTGATAACTGAGTATCTTAGACAATGATTTATGGCAAAAAGAAGTTGGGAATGTAAGTACATATTTAAAATGATTGGCAAAGTAGAGTGGAGTATTATGGTAAATAGGTGCTGTATAAAGTTGTAATTAATATTGAAGGTAATTTTCATAGTCAATGTTATTTCAAAACACCTTGAACATTAAATGTTTGTTTCTACCACTTATATTCTTTATTTAGATTGGTCTTTCATACTGAATGTTTTATTTCTAAATCATAACCTTTTGAAACATCCACACACCTGCAAAGAAACAGTTAAAAAATAAATCATTTTAAAAACGAAGTTTCAACTCTTGCAATTATTTTGATAATCTATTAATCTTTTTTGGGATTTCATTTATCATTGAGCACATAACAGACACTTTGATAGCAGATACTGTATTATACAGATTCAATCTCTGAAATCTAAGCACATATACAGTTTCCATATGGAAGGTTGACATATGTATTGATTGTCATCCTGATGGCTCGCACCCCAGTTTATGCCAGGGTAAAAAGTTGTCTGTGAAAAACTTGTAAAAAATTGAAGAAATGTGTAGGGGGTTGCAATAATACTGCAGAAAAGATGAAAAACTTACTGGCTCTATCAATTCATATATACAAGTCCCAAATTCTCAGTCTGAAGTCAGCATTTATCAAGAACGAGCAGAATATGTCAGCAAAGAAAGGCTGAAATATGCCACATCATTGTTAATTTGTCCCCTTAAGGTAGACCTAAAGCAGCCCCAGCAAGTTAAATGTAAAAATTAATGTAAAAGTGGTAGTCCAATTAATGATGGCAGTTGGGACTGGAATTTTCATCACTGAATGACGTTGTCAATCCTGGAGGCCATCTTTTCTTTTGAATCTTCAGGGCTGCCACACTTAGTGTGGTGGGAAAGTGGGAGGGGGGTTGTATGGAGTTGGTAGAGTTATTTAGCCATAACAACATTCTTTTCTGAGAGTCAAGGACGTTCAGCTTGCACCTGGAGTGGCGTGACTGGGAGGCATCTCCAGTTGGGACAGTGGATTGATTGGACCATGTGATGGACATCTGGGTGCAGGGAAAAGGACTTTGACTTTCTTTTGGGTGGGGAAAATCCAGGAGGTTTCAGATTCAGGTTTTCCCAGATGTGCCAATATGACATTTCTAATAAAATGGATCTTTGAGGAACTGAATGCCTCAGAGTCTTACTTAGTTGGGGGTGTTACTTGGAACCCTGACATTAATCCGAATCTCCTTTAAAACCTCAACTCAGGCAGGGTGCTGTCCGGGGCCCTGAGCACCAATCTGATAGCTAGGCAGCATAAAGACTCAGGGAAGATGGAGGAAAAGACAGCAACTACAGAGGGAGCCAGCGGGACTGGTTCGGAGATCCTTCTCGAGACCCTCTACTCCCCTTCTGAAGCAGCCCCCCCGTGGCCTTTTTGCTCCCAGGAGGCTTCAGGGTGGCTTCCTAGGCCCAAAATGGGGCACACACAAAAAAGGACTAATTCCATTAACAAATAATAAATACAAGCAATCCTTTGCTGCAAATCAGTGTAAATGTCCTTCAAGTGTAGGGGGGGGAGGGTGTTTTGTTTTGTTTTTGTAAGCTGGCCCTCATGCAGGGGTGAAATCTAAATTTTTTTACTACCGACTCTGTGGGCATGGCCAACTTGACATCACTCACGTCACTCATTGTTAGAGCCAGGAGCTGCACATTCTGAAGCACATTCTGCCTTTCTGAAGCCCCCAATGCTTTGAGTTTCCCTCTGGCTTGACTGCCTCGGAGCCTTCTCTTGTCCTGCTCTCCATCCTGGAGGGCCACGCATTCCCCCCCAACAATCCTCCGTACAAACTGCCCACCCTGTTTCTGCAAAGGCAGAGCCTCCCCCTTGCAGGCCAATCCAAAGAGGGGAGGGGGATGCTGCAGAAAAAGCTGCCTTCCACCCGGGCCTCCTCCTGCAGCCAAACGCGCCCAGCCTTTCCTCAAATGGGCTGTGCATGGGGCGCTTGGAGAGAGAGCGAACAAGAGAGCTCTCCGACCTCTGTTTTTTTGTGTGTGTGTGAGAGAGAGAGAGAAGGAGGGAGGGAGCGATCTGAAGCCGAGGAACCCAAACTTCTGGCAGCGGCGGAGGTGGCTTCTGAGCAGCCCTGAGTCAGCTAGCTCCAACTGACCTACTCCCCGAGTCTCGACGTTCTCCTGGGCCCCTCCCCTCAAGCAGCAGCAGGTTCTGTGTGACAACAGGGCCTCTCATTTTTCCCATGGCGCGGTGTACGCTTGCTACATCTGCTTGTCTGCTTGCAAGTGATGATCTTCTCTGCTCCTTTCGGGATGCTGGTGTGGCACCATGGATGCATAGCTTGTCAGGGCTGAGCAGGGAAGCCGCTGTCACGCTACTCCCCCTTGCTTCCTTGAGCACAAAGCCGAGGCCATGCATTTCCTCACTGGGCTGGTCACCGTCAAAGAGCCATGCACCCAACAGCCACTCAATGCTCTGTGTGCAGCATTGCCCAGTCGCCAGTGGGGACAGAGCAGCCAGCCCAGCTTGGGCTTGGGCTGGCTGGCTGGAGCAGCACTGAAGATGAGGCCCCTGCGCCAACATTCACCAGCAAGCACAACTTTAGTTGGGCCATTCAAGCCACCACTGTAAGGCCAGCTGCCTAGTGCAAAACCTCGCGGTTTTTCTATTCTGAGTCCTCAGCGTCATCCTACCTGCTCAGGCAATGGCAGGGTCCACGGGAATCATTCCTGCCCATGCTGCTCCCCGGCAGCTGGGCAATGCTGCGCACGGAGCATTGAGCAGATGTTGGCACCGTGGCTCTTTGTAGGAGGCGTGGCACAATGGGTTGTTTAGTTCACCGTGGTGGTGCTTCGGGACGGCAGGCGGACGTCTGCAGCTGACAACTATAATGAATATGTCCACCTGCCCTCCCGAAGCACCATCACCACTGTTCGCTTTCGTTTCATGGCAGAAGGAAGAAAGCGAACGGCGATGGCATGGCAGTGCTCCAGGAGGGCAGGTGGACGTCTGCAGACAGGTGGGAAAGGAAAACAGTGAGAGCAGCGATCATAAGAGTGGCCGTGGCGGCCCCTTCCAAGCTCAGTGCACAGAGGCGGTGGGCAAGGCAGCCACGCCTGTTGAGTGAACAACTGGGCAGGTGGGGGCGGGGCCACCAGAGATTATTGCTACCAGTTCTCCAAACCACCAGCCGTCATTGCTACCGGATCAGCCAAGCCAGTCCGAACCGGGAGCATTTCACCCCTGCCCTCATGCATGAATAATCTGCAATTTTGATTATCTTGAATCCAAATACTGGGCATATAACTAAGAAAAAAATGTGTATGCTTAGCATTTTAGCTGCATTAACTTTAGCTTGAGAAACTAGTTTTCATCATGTACTGTAACACCTGATAACACTATTATCCAAACTGCCTTTCTAGTTTCATATACTTTTTCAGGTCCTTAGTTTCTTTCAACTGTCTTGTGTTCCAGGTTTTCTGGAACAAATGAAACCAACATTACATTTACAAATGTAATGTTATTGGGAAAAGGACAATTAAAAGCAATGACAAAAAATAAGTATAATCAGCCTAATAAAATATGTCACATTTTAGACAGTTCATCGCAGTCCAAACTTCAAAATCACAGAAACCTGGGAGCTCAGATAAACAATAAACGAGAGGTTGACCAGATTAGTTCAGACAAACACCTAGGATTTGCATATCTTCTTTTGCCTATAGAGCCAGCTATGACCCCTACATAACCCCTACATGATAGGAATCTGACAATAGCCAATAGAATACATGTTCTTGCACAGGAACAGGAAGCTCAAATACAAAGCCCAAAGAAGCTTTACTCACCCCCTCAACTCCATTTTGTCAGCTGCATCAGAACAATAAACGCTATTGGTTCTGTTCATCATTAAACCATCTTTCCAATCAGCCTCCATGTTTCCAGTGTCTTTCTCCCAACTTGGAACTGAACCAGATGGATATTTCTTCCAACACTAGTTTTCTTTTTCTGCTAAGAAAAAACAGAAATTTACCTTAAGAAAGTGATTAAAGTGTTAATTCAAAATATAACTATGAAAAATACCTTGTAACAAGTTAAAATACATAAATTGGGTGACCTAGATTATGTTCAATGCTACTTTTCTTATAGATATGCTTTTAAGAAATGGGAAACATCATACTTCAGTTTTTATTAACCCCAGTTCACATCAGATGGTTGATAATGCTTTTTATGTATGTATAAGCAATGCTTTGGAATATCAGAATGAAAGATCTAATGTAAATGTAGATCTGTCTACATTTTATTTACTGTTCCTCTTCATTTGTTGTCTTTGAGTAAGAGGAAGAGAAGAGAAATTTAATCAGAAACTGAGACTGAAAAAAGGTATGTACAGTTTGGTAATTGAAAGTATTTTATTTGGTTTCAGTTTGTGAGTCATAGTTTTATGCAGGAAACTAAAGTTCTTATAGTATACAAATATTCCATCACTTCTAAAAGTAAATGTAAGTACATTCTGATACGATTTTAACTTCTTTTTAACTGTTTACATACAAACATATGTACCATATTGGAATACAAAGTGTGATTATTTATTGGCGTACCATTATCTGTACAATATGCTATAACATCTTGTCTCTGAATTTTTAACAATATACAGAAGCCAGTCATGTAAACTTTGTATTCTCTGGAATACCTCCAAACCCATGCTTATAATCAATTTTTTTAAAAACCACAGAAAAGGAAGTTATGTCTCAAAGCAAATCATCACTTCCATGGATGTTTAGAAAATTAATGTATGTTACAGTGAAATGCTTTGAATAGGGAAATGTGAAAAATTTATCCCAGACTTGGTTCAAGTACTGTTTAAAGCAGGAATGGGAAATCAAATCTTACTGTGGCAGGCTTGGAATTTTGAGAGTATCTGGTAGGTTAAATGATTGTCATGAAACGTTATCTATTCACAAAATGGCTAATGGTCGACAGTGGAACAAACTGCTACCAGTGATGGCAAATACTCCTTTGTTGGATGTGCTGGGTGGAAAATTATATATAAAGGATATTATAATCAAAGGGAGCCACCCCTCCAAATGAATGTGATAAATGTGAATGTCCAAGAAACAAGGTAGAGAAAGCTTAAATAACGTATCTTTTAGAATTCTTCCCATCTTCTTTAGCCTCAAAAGGTCCCATGCTTGCATGTTTGTGTATGCTGAGAAGCATGGATAGGGCCAGAGGTGGGCTTCACATAATTTAACAACTGGTTCGCCCCAGCACCGAAAATGTGAGCGCGCATTATATGGATTTAATAAACAGGCTGGATAGATTATATGATATTTATTAGTTCAATTTATATGCCGCCTTTCTCCGAAGACTCATATGCTGTTGTTGTGGAAAAATTGGGACTGAACAACATTCCTGGGTCAGCCAGATACAGTTTATCGCGCAGGTTCAGAGTCAGATTTGTACCTGGAATTCTGAACAAAGAAAGAGCTCTGATAGACAGTTTATATATGTTTCCAAGATAAAGGGTTTGGTGAGCTCATGCATTTTCCATACATGGTGAGCCTGAGTGGCGTAGAAGGCTAATGCCTCCTACTAAGGCAGCATTTAACATCCAGCTGCCTGCAATTACTGCGAGTTCAATTCTCACCAGGCTCAAGGTCGACTCAGCCTTCCATCCTTTCTAAGATGGGTAAAATGAGGACCCAGTTTGTGGGGGCAATAAGCTGACTTTGTATAAAATATACAAAAGTATGAAAGCTATTGCTTAATGCATTGTAAGCCACCCTGAGTCTCCGGAGAAGGGTGGCATATAAATAAATAAATAAATAAATATATGGTTAACATAAGGGTTTGGTGAGCTCATGCATTTTCCATATATGGTTAACATACACTTGTTATATGATAATTGACACACTTCCTAATTATTAAACCATTACTAAACCATTATTTTCTAGTTTATAAGATTATCTTCAGCTATACAACCTTTCTTAGTTCTGTAATTACTTTATCTTTAGCTAGTCAACCTTCCTTAGTTCTGCTAGACAACCTTCCTTAGTTCTGTAATTACTAATACGGGAGATTTATTGCTGTCCTTAAGTAATAATTAACTCTTTGTAACATACATGTCTTTGTGTCTTTGACAGTGAAGCCCCTCAAATGTTTTCCATATGGCTGTCCTTCCGTGACAGCTAGGCCTCATCAGAAGATATATTACCAATAATGGGATTTAGCTGATTTTTAATATAATCTCCAAGCACTTTTCTCCCTTATAATAATGTGAATAGAGAGTGTCCTTTAACTGACCCTTTCTCCCTTATAATAAAGTGAATAAAGAGTGTCCTTTAGGGTTCATGTAACTGACTCTGTATGATTCCTACTTTATTCACTTTTTTCCCATTCACCTTATTCACCTTATTATTTTATTCACTTTACTGTAAAGAGGTTACCTATTCTTCATAGATTGTTTATATAGTATTAACCTCACATTGTTCTGCAAGGCACTTTTCCCTTTGTGCCTTTTAGAAACCCTTTGGTTTCTAAAAATGCTTCCAGAAGCCTAATTTTGGATGATAAAATTAGATTGCAAATTTGTTAATGAAGACAGGAATAGATAACTTGAATTAATTTTGTATTTTGGGGACAAACTGCTGATAACTGTTCAGTTGTCTCAGAAACATGCCCAGGCAAGAATCTTTTACAATCTTTTATCGATAATATAAAGAGATTCAATGCCATTTCTCAAGGGCTATATAAATAAATGCATCTGCCACACTATATCAGTTAACTACCATAACTAATTAACACAGAAAGTTCTGGTCACATCTTACTGCTGATTGGTTTATGTAATTATTTCTCTCTTCTCACCATTTCTCATTCACCCCTCCATAACAGTGATTGTCACTTTGCTTTAATTAAAAATATTGATTTAAAGACTAGCCACAATTCCAAGATCTTATGAGAAAAGGGATACACAATTCCTGAACACATTGCTTGATATTACTTATGTTTTCCATTTAGGTTGATTTCCTCCATTTTAATTGATAAGGGCTGGAAGCATACTAGAGAAGTTACTGCTCCTGGTTTGAAAAAGTAAAGATTTCTTTTAATGCATTATTCCATTTGATTAAAATTACCACTGATCTGTATATTTCTACATCACACAATTGAAGCCCTTAAGAAAACAAATAGTAATATTTTCAGCAACTTTTGTCAGTTAAAAGTTTAAATAATCAAATGACTAAAACTTTCTATATTCGATTGGTAGGTCACGTCCATAGTTTATGTTTTGAATCTGGAAGATTCAGGACGCAACGTTCTCTATTTGTATCAATTTTCCGGTCATTTTTTGCCAGATTCTAAGCTTGAAAGTTCGACTCACTGCTAGTATTTCTAAGATGCTCTTGGGATTCTTTGGCTTACTAAACTAGGGTTTCGAAATCAGGACAATCAGTCTCATTCTGAAGTTAATGCTTGTTTTCGCTTTACTGAATGAGCAAACAGCGCGCAAGACTGCGTCCCATAAGATTTATTATGGAAAAGCTGTTGGGCGATAGATTATTTAACGAATGAAGCGCTTCCTTGAGTGACAGGAGGGAAAGAAGCACAGATGCAAAGGCAAACACTAGATAGGAAAGGTTCGATAGCCGATGCCTTCTAGTGGAGGGTAATTGGAAGAAGAAAAAACTCCCTAGCTCTCAACACAGATAAGGAAAGCGAAGGAAAAATATACGTTTCCCTTTCCAGGCCCCGCCCCGGAAGTACATTGAATTTGGGAAAGAGGAAGCTTTAGGTTGGCTGCGGCTTTTGTAGTAGAGTTAAAATGGCGGCGGTGCAGAACCAGAGTGGAATTCTTCTTAGTGCGGTGAGAGACGGAATAGAATTTGGTTGTGGGTTTGTTTTGTTTTTTTGGCCAGGGGAAAGGAGGGGAGGCAAAGGGGGGGGAGGGTTTCCTTTCGACCCTGCCTGCCTTGCCAAGCAAAAGACTTGCAATGTAGTTATGTGTTGCACCCTTTTTTTTTTTCCTTCCTCGAATTGGGGGGTGGGGTGGAGGGAAGGTTTCTTCTCCAGTCTCGAATCCCGCTTTCTTTTCTGGTTTTATCGTTCGTGTTACGGATCTGGCTACGTTGAAAAGTGGAAGAGGGGTTGCTTGATTATATTGGTTTGCTTTTAACGGGTTTTTGCAGTGAAGTCGTGTTTGGTTTTCTGTTTTAATCCCGGAGAGCCGCATCACTGAGAATGTTTTGATTCTGAAAAGTCTATAGAGATTCTCAACCATCCAGGTCAAGGTTATCCCAAAGGTGCTTTTTCCAAAAGGCTACTGGAATTCCTTGATTTAAAAAAAAAAAAAAACATTTCGCTTCTCATCTGAACTGAAGAAGCTTCTTGGATGAGAAGCGAAATGTTTTAAAGAAAAAACAAAACCAAGAAAATTAAGGGGCGTGCATAAATGCACCAGCGTGCCTACCGTCCCTGTCCTAATATTCCTTTTTACTTACTCTTTTCATGTATTCAAATTATGTTTATACTTTTACCTGCTATATAAAATCCGGTTGCCTTTTGGAAACGATACCCTTTGGGAGTTTCATTTTTAAAGTTGTTATTGCCAGTGGCTTAAATAATTTACATAGCTTTAAGAATTGTATTAAAAGAGCAGATAAGGTCGATTTGAATTACTTTGTAGATCGAAAAGAGGATAAAGAGGTTAGATGATTATATTAGAATTTTACCTGCAATCTCATAACAATTAGTAGTCTTTCTCGTGGGAAATGTGATGGTATGAAGACGGAAAACGAGAATCTCAAGGAAGTGACCTATTTGGATATTGGAGATAGTTTTTGGTTCTCTATAAAGTGAGGCGGAGTCTACAACCACATGATCGCGTGGTTTTGTTTGTTAAATAATACCAGAATTGCAATCTTTGGATAAACACGTGCAGCTGCCTTATCAATCCATTAGTGCAGCATTTGGAATCTGATAGTGACTTGTTGCAGTTTCGAGGAAATAATGTTTTCTTGTCATGTTGTCTAAGATCATCTTTTTAATTTTAATTTTTGTAAGATTTTTGCCTCAGAAATGTTTACTTAATGCCATGTGACTAAGAAGAGGTTTGAATCAAAATCATACAGAAACCAGTAAGTTTCATTTGTGATAAAGCAGTAAAAGTGTAAGTGATAAAACAATAATAGCCAAATAGTTAACAGTGTAAGAGTGTAAAACCCACAATAATGAAATAAAAACAAGGGCACTATTAATTGCTTGGGAAAATAAGCATGACTCTTAAGCGGCTTTTGATACCATCGACCATGGTACCATGCTGCGCCGGCTGGAGGGGTTGGGAGTGGGAGGCACCGTCCTACGGTGGTTTTCCTCCTATCTCTCTGAGGGGGGCAGAGGTCGACCTCGAGGCACCTTGATGCCCTTGAAGTGATGTCCCGGTGCCTGGAGGCCATGCGGGTCTGGATGGGGAGGAACAGGCTCCGACTCAACCCCTCCAAGACCGAGTGGCTATGGTTGCCGGCGTCCCGATATAGCCAGCTGGTGCCATCGCTGGCTATTGGGGGCGAGTCATTGGCCCCCACGGAGAGGGCTCGTAACTTGGGTGTCCTCCTGGATTCACGGCTGTTTTTAGAAGAGCATATGACGGCCGTGGCCAGGGGGGCTTTTTATCAGGTTCGCCTGATACGCCAGTTGCGTCCCTTTCTGGATTGGGACTCCTTATGCACGGTCACTCACGCCCTCGTCACCTCTTGCCTGGATTACTGCAATGCTCTCTACATGGGGCTCCCCTTGAGGAGCACCCGGAGGCTCCAGCTGGTCCAGAATGCAGCCGCGCGGGTAATTATGGGGGCGACATGGCGCTTCCATGTAACACCTCTCCTGCGTAAGCTGCACTGGCTCCCGGTGGGCTTCAAGGTATTGGTTCTCATCTTTAAAGCGCTCCATGGCTTAGGGCCCGGGTATTTACAAGACCACCTTCTGCCACCGATAACCTCCCACCGGCCAATCCACTCCCACAGAGAGGTTCTCCTCAGGGTGCTGTCGGTCAAGCAATGTCGACTGACGACCCCCAGGGGGAGAGCCTTCTCTGTGGGGGCACCCGCCCTCTGGAACGAGCTACCCCCAGGAATACGACTGATCCCGGACCTCCGTACTTTCTGCCGAGCGTTGAAGACCTTCCTATTTCAGCAAGCTGGGCTGGCTTAAAATTTTAATGGGCTATTTTATGGGTAAGGAGTTTTAAAATTTGGGGAAGCCAAACTGATCTAATTCTGTTTTAATTTATTTTAATTTTTATACTGTATGTATTTTAATTTTGGCTGTTCACCGCCATGAGTCCTTCGGGAGAAGGGCGGTATACAAATTTAATAAACCATAAACCATAAACCAAGTATACTATATACATTTTGTTTGCTTGAATACTGAGCGAGCCACAGTATTTTGTGGAGATAGTTGCAAGGTACAGAAAGTTCTCAACATACAACAGTTTATTTAGTGGCTGAAGTTACAATGGTGATTTATGACTGTTTTTCACACATATGGCCATTCCAACATTTCCATGGTCATGTGATCAAAATTCAGATACATGGCAACTGATTCATATATATGCGGATTGCAGTGTCCCAGGGTCATATGATCATCTTCAGGCAAGCAAAGTCAATGGGGAAGCCAGATTCACTTAACAACCATGCAACTAACTTAACAACTGCAGTGATTCACTTATCAACTGTGGCAAAAAAGGTCGTAAAATGGAGCAAAACTCATATAACAAATGTCTCAGCAACAGAAATTTTGGGCTCTTGTATGCAACTCTTGTATGGGTGAGTGATTGGATACATCTAAAAAATAGAAGGTTGCTAACGCTGGAAGGCCATGATATGCAGATAGGGTGGCACACTATTCTCTGGGAAGAGAAATACAAGGTTCACAAGTACTTCCAGAAGCACTTCATCAGACGGACACCCTTAGACGTTTGGATTAAAATTAGGCAATGTACTTATATGGAAGGTCCGAATTGGATATCGACATTGGAGATGTTCACACATCCAAATTTTATTAAGTCAGGAAGAGTTATTACATATAAAGATTTGTTGAATGAAAGAGGAGAGTTGAAACCCAGGAAAAATTTAAATGAGGAAGGAATTGAACCTGAATGGTGGGCATATCTCCAAGTACAATCAAAATACGTGAAGGACAAAAAAGAAGGGGGCATAAAAACAGAGCTAACAAAATTAGATAAAATTTTATTAAGAACAGAGGAGAAGGCAATAAGGAAAATATATCATCATTTATTGGAACAGGATATGTTAGAAGAACAAGTAAAAGAATCTATGTTAATTTGGACTAAACATTTTGGCTATAGCATCGATCTAGACAATTGGCAGGATCTATAGGAAAGAAACAAAAATTACTTTAGCTACTACATACAAAGAAAATTTATACAAGATGTTTTATAGGTGGTATCTCCCACCCACAAGATTAGCAAAAATAAGCAAAAAAACATTCGTTGATGTGTTGGAAGTGTGAGGCAGTGCCAGGGACTTTTTATCACATGTGGGAATGCCCAAAAGCCACAAAAGTTTGGCACCAGATAAGACAATGGTTAGAAGAGATAATAAAGCAAAATATAGAAGCAAAACCAGAATTCTTTTTACTGGGCATTATAGAGGGCAAATACAAGAGTACAATTTATCTAATGTTACATATTCTAACAGCAACAAGATTGGCTTTTGCACAAAAATGGAAAAACAAAGAGACGCCCACAGAAGAAGAAGTGTTAGCTAAAATATTAATTTGTGCGGAAATGGACAGACTGATTTTAGAACTTAAAGATAAGAATGAATATTCAGAGTATTATGAAATCTGGAACAAATTTTATTATTGGCTGGACAGGGGGAGGAATGGTGGGAGGAAGGATTATTGACAAGTAAAATGTTTAGAAGTTTTTATGTTAATTTTCTATGTTAGATACAGTTGAATTGGATATTGATGTAACCTACATAGATGAAAGAATATATATATTTGAAATGTGATAATTAGTGTAAACTTGTATAGAGATAAGGAAGTGTATTAATTATAAGGTAAAATTTAATGAAAATGTTTAAACTGGAGATGTCATGCTATGTCCACTGTGTTTAATTTGTATTAATAAAAAACTTTTTTTAAAAAACCATAAATTTTGGGCTCAATTTGAGGACTACCTGTATTTGATACCTGGATATCTTATTTACATCTTCTCTGTGTTACTAACAAACATTATTTGAAAACCTTGGTGTAATATCTACAGGCCCATTTGGTAATGACCAGAGTGGATAAAAATCAATGATTTTTTTAAAAAAAATCAAAAAAATCGGATTTTTTTTATTTAAATCGGATTTTTTTGATTTAAATCGGATTTTTTTTATTTTTATCTAATTTATTTTAATAAAAAACTTTTGGGGTAAAAATCTATCGTAAGATAGTTTTCTATTTAAGATACATAAATTTAGTTTATTCAGCATGAAATGGAGCTTAGTTATGTAGCATGAGGCTGTATATTCTGCAACACTGGGACTATTGGTGAGTCAACAGTGGGTCAAAGGAGTAGCAGAGATGACAGTTGCTCTTTAAAAATTATGATTTAAATCGAGTTGATTTAAATCAAGCCTTTTTACTAGTGATTTAAATCAACTCGATTTAAATCAAATCCACCCTGGTAATGACCATAGGATATTGAAGATTGCAAGTGTGATATACAATAAGAGCAGTAAATGGTAAAGAGCATGAATTTAGATGAAACAAAGAAAAATACCGTAAATTGGCTGTTTGTGAAAACTAAGGAGTGGAAGCTGGTAATAAATGTAAATGAAGATTTGAGAGAAATTGATGCAGGAAAGAATTGATGCATTTTAATACGAATTATTATTATCTTAGAATATTTGCTCTTATAGAAGAATAGATTACATAATCTCCCATCTATCCATCCTCCTCAAAAAGTGTCAGGAAATTGTGCCGCACAATTTTTTTTATCCCTGTACATTTTTTTTTGTTGGAATTGGATATGGGGCAATAATCTTAGAAATCTTAATTTACTATGTTGTATATCATACTTTTATGATTTATGCTTATTGCACATAGATAGTACAGTGCCTATAACAGCTTCCATCCAGGTAGTGCTGATAAAATTCAGTAATTAATATTAAACGCACATGCCAAGTTCTCAGAACGTTACTAACTTTTACAGAATATTGGAGCTTTCACAAGAGACCTCAAGGTGACAATGCTAAGATCACATGAGATTTCAGCCATTTTTATATTTATACCATTGGACACCCTTCATTTGAAAACAATGTTCAACATTTACTTTTTGAATTGCAGTATTTTCTTTTGATTTTGCCATCACTTTCCATGAGCACCTCCTTTTTTCCATTTATTTATCTATTCTATCAATTATATCCCAATGCAATCATATATAGGCTTAATGTAAATGAAGGGATCTGATAGATGACCACTGGATAACTTTCTATTCACTCTATTCTAAAAGCAATGCATCCGGTTGGAAAAAGTACAAACTCAGCCAAAATCCTTTTGATACTTTTAGGAGGCCTCTAAGTTGTCAGAAGAAAGGAACATTCTAATGACATACAGCTTAAAGGTTGGTTAGGTCAAGGGTATTCACATGAGCTATAAGTCGTTTATCAACAGAAGATAATTTTTTATGCTCCAGTAATTTACAGAAGAATTATGATTGTTTGGCAAGGGTAATATAAAACTTAGTAATTAGGAAATGTCAATTAAATATAACAAATGTATATGACCATATAAACTGCTGAGTTAACAGAATCCTT